GCTCTAAGAAAACCATCATTTAAATCAACGTGAACTCATTTCCCGTCAATTTTACGCCCCCCCCCCCCTCTCATTACACGCTCAGTCCTAGTCCTAGAACAGTCCTAGAAATTTCGGTTTTATTAATATATAACACTAGAAGAATGCCCGGCTTCGCTCGGGGGTCATAACCCCGAAACCGGAAGTGGTAGACTAACGCCACCTGGCCTATGTTACTCCCCGGTCCGAGCTACCCCTATACCCCAAATTTCAGACTCGGGGCAGACCAAGTGTAGCCTCAACCCCGAACAGACAGACAAACGACAGTCACAAATATTAGTATAGATAGATGATAATCATTTATGTCAACATAATGACATTTCCACCTAATTGTAGTCACTGAACGCGCCATATCACGACAACGTCCCCTCAAACGCCTGATCACCACCCAGATACGGAATCTACGCAAAAAACTGGTCTAGAAAAACTTGGTCTCATAAATTCACAGCTCGGGTGGCGACCCCCCCCCCCCCCTTCTGCCACCGGACTACTTATATAGGCCTATAGTTATAGTTCTCTGGGAATTTCTTTTTCTATGAAACTGGATCAGTCTTGGTCCATACTTTTATCATAAATATTTGATTTACATGTACGTGTCAGCAATCGTTATCAAATCATGTAAAAATTCTTATCAAGTGGATGAATAGTTTTTGGGGATTCTCATTTCGAAAATATTCAAACAAACTGGATTTGTATGATCAGCAATGCATTTCACTACAAACTGGGCTATCTGTCACTCCCTTGTATCTTTGAGCCGTGTGTTAATTCTGTAATGTATTTCCAGAGCACGCTCGTGTAATTTGACCAGATTATGATCTAATAGTATATTTAATCTGGACAATAGTACACATCCACATCTCACGTTAAAAATTTTATTCTTGACATTATTAGATGATAGAAATAAAACAAATAATTTATGCAGATAATCAAAATATGTACAGATATCACGTTTTAACATTTATCGTGATCTGTGGGGTGCCTTACCCTGGAGGGGCGCCGATAATGACATGATTGGTGGGGCGCCTTATAATGACAATGTATGATTGCCAGGCCTTACACAATGCATAAATCCGACTGAGATTGGATGGGCGCCCACAGCTTGATCAATGGGGTGTCCAAAACGGCATGATTGGTGGTGCCTTATCTCGGAGAGATTATTGGACCGCCCACGACGATATAGGCGCCCAACCAAGAAAGCGACCGCACACCGACGCCCGAAGAAAGCCAACTGGAGATTGTGGGAAATTCACGATTAGGATGAGATTGATTCAAGCCCGCACCAGACGTGACAATCTTCAAAATTCAAAAGTCGCACTCTAACCTGATTCCGAACCTTTTGTTTTTCTCATAAATTATTATAGCTACGCTACAGTCGTATTCCTTCCTTCAAATTTTTATAATATTCTTATCAAAATGTCATAATACGACAATATCGCAAATTCAGGCTCTAAATTCAAATTTTCCGTTTTTCCGTTGTCGATCAATTTTGGTATACCATTACTTACTGGAACTCTGTAAAAATATTTTTTCCGTCCGCACTTAACACATTTGGTCATATTTATGAGAAATACTACCTGGTGTAGACTATTGATTGGTATTTAAGATATAAAAAAAAAAGTGGTTTTTTTTTGGTTTTTTTTTTAAATCATATGGAACGCAAAATTTGAACAATGATACCCTATGCATTTATATTCTGCTTACAAGATTTTAAGAACACAACTGAATTAATGGGGGAGGGGGGGGGGCAAGTAAGCGCCCCTGGGGTTCACAAAAAATTATTAACAGCAGTAACAAAATCAACAATAATAATTAATATGACATGAAGTGTATGTCAACTTGAATAAAACTGCTTTCGGACGAGGGGGTCACGGTGGCTAAGTGGGTAAGGCGCTGGCTCGCTAGCCTGGAAGTCGGGTGTTCGATCCCTGTATTGGCCTAGAAAGTTAATTAAGATTTTCCGGCGGGGTTCCCCCTTGTCAGTGATGCAGGACGGAGGGACTGACAAGGACAGCTGTATAGTCATTTGGATGGGACGAAAAACCGATGTCCCGTGTACACATTGGCGTGCACGTAAAAGATCCCTTGACAGTTTGAATTCGATATAAGAGTAGGCCGTAGTGCCGCTAACTGGGCACATCTATATGTGTTATTTGGTGCATTTTATTACGTATTTTGTTGACATTAATGATTGTTAGGTGGGATTCGCTACTGGCTAATATAGTCCAAAAATAGACGACATTTTCCTGTTATTCCGACCCGGATAGAAACGAAATTGCCGGTGAAAATCTTTGCTGTCGTGATTACTCAATTTTAAAGAAATTTCGATTCCCGAAAAATGGATGAAACAAATAATAATCGATGCCGAAAACTGTCTCACAAAGCAGTGTGACTGCTGACAAAAACGTCGTAGGATTTAGAAATGTTTTATTTTATAGTCGACATCGAGCGATACGGATCGGATTTCATTTATAATCTAAGAGTAAATAGATCAGGTATACAACGGATATTAACCAAAATAGTCATCATAATAATTTATGTCATACGTATATCAACTTTGTCGCCTGAAGGCAAAGAAACTTTTCCGGGAAACCCCAGCTATGTTAGTCGTGACGCACCAAATATAGGCTATGACAAATAATGTTAATAGTGTACTGTATGTCGGGTTATTACAGGGAGGTTTAGTTATATATATATAACGCATTAGCTTAGAACTGCAGGGTGTGTATCTTTTATAGGTTCGTACATTTTTAGTTACTAACAAAAAGATTCCACATCTCGGTTGTTTTGTTTTTGCGGCATTATTATCTTCTTATGTCATGCCGGTGTGTGTGGGGCGGGTGTGTGTGTGTGTGTGGGGGGGGGGGGGGGGTAACTTGCTTGTCTACAGATAAAGCTCGTGTTTAGATCAGATGTAAATAAGCCGACTTCTGATTTTAAAATGTTTGTGATAAAAAAATGTAATCGGTGTTATCAAAAAAACGTGTTTTATTTTAAACAAACAGCATCGATAATCTGCCAATTAGAATCCGTCTGTCTGTATACACCGTACAATGGTTTGTGTTACCATTTGCCATAGTTTATGTTAGCGATATATTAAAAATGTGAACCGCCTAATTTGAACCTGTTTAATTAATTCGGAAGTTATAAGTAGTCAGCTTAGTCAGTAGACTTAAACGATACTTACATTTTAATGTAGAACAGTTAGTTATACAATATGGTAAAGAACTGATGTTTTGTCAATATGTAGTTGTGCAATACAGTACAATTTAAATCTGCACTTTTACATTTATGGGCATTTTTAAAAATAAAACAAAGTTAAATCACTGTGCGGGTGACTTTACTTTTGATCTTTGCCATTAACTTAACTCCTAGTAGTTTCGTGTTTAATGCATAGCGACGGGTGCAGGATATAAACCCTACTTAATTACTTATTGAAATACCTGATACCACTACTCATCTATCTTTAAAACTTTAGTGGCTAGTTACGCTGTTGATGACCTTTCTAAAATCAAGTTCCAAACTATCGATTCATTAAGTTATATTATGTTGTGCAGGGGCGGATCTAGGAATTTTGAAAAGAGGAGGGGGGGCGCCGCAAAATGAGGGCACTGACCGCGAAGACTTGGCACGCCGCTGAGACAGAAAATTGTCCGTCATTTCCTGCATCTGTAGCCATTCCAAGAGCTATTTGGCTGAAATTTTCGTCTAAGTAAACGTTCGGAAATCGTTGAAAAAAAGCCAGTTGAACACGCGACTCGAAAATTGTCATGGCGAGCGAGGCATTATGAGGGGAAAAAAGACGAATCTATTCCCTAGCCACTTCACTATTTAATCCTTGTAACTTGTACTGTCCACACATGAAACAATGCTACATCAAGTTGCACTAATGCGCGTCGGTGATGGGCATGAGTGTATAGTAGTATACGCCGCCGATTCCACAAGATGCTATCATTGATGTCTGTCTCTAGTCACTCTATAGGATTAGGGCACCGTCAGCTAAACAACAAGAATTCGTTTGAAAGTGGAAGCATTAATTAGACCAGACTGGTGTGTTTGTGTCGATGGTTTGAGTCATATGAGATCCCTGCAACGGGTTGGGAACGGACATATTTGGGTCTGAAAAAGGGCACTTTCAGCAGTAAAAAAGGGCACTGTCGCCCCCCCTCCCTTTGATCCGCCTCTGTTGTGTCAATCTTAAGCGTTTGCTTAATTAATATGCTTTTAGGACATTTTGCACTCGGCAAATCTCGGCAGATTCCGTTACTCTACATCTAGCCTCGGCTGTATGACAGTAAGTGATATGTACCTACGCATATACAATTGCGATGCGGCACCGGTTTACTTATACGGAAAACTTGCCGCTTTTGAAAAGAAGTTATCAAAATTGCGTCGTTCGAAGCGTGTGTACAATTTTTAGCGCAAAGTTGTTCTTGTTTGAAGAAAATCGGATAAATTTAAAAGAAAAACAGTTTCACTTTGACATATTTGTATGATAAAACATTCTTCAAAGGCCTCGTCATGGGCAACGTGGTTGGTAATCCGGGAACATGAAAGTAGTTTCAATGGCGGACTTCGTCATACAGCCGAGGTTAGATGTATACTGGAATCTGCTGAGGTTTGCCGAGTGGGACATTTTGATACTACTTTGCACGTGATTCAGATTTAATCGGTCGGGAGCGCACTGGGGTCCATTGTCACTGATTGGAAGAATATCGATACATATATTTGTTTCAAACTAAATAAACTTCATCCACTGAAAACTAAAATGGCCTAAATCCGAGGAGAAAAATGATCTAGGTGTAAAAGTTGAATCCAACTAGATTCGTTTTCTCATCATTTATCACACATTCTTCACCGCGATGGAGTCTGATGCAAGTGCCGTCAGCAACCGAGCCCCGCCCCTGCATTTCACGGGCTTTCTGTATTCTTAATTGTAAACATGTGCTCGTCTTTGATTACAGATAGAGGAAGAACCATGACTGAACTTCTTGAATTCAAACCAGAAGTTGCCACAGAAGCTGACTTGGAGGGCGAGGCGAACTGCGACAAAAATCCCGGCCATAATGGTTTTATCCCATTTCAAGACTTTTCCATGGACCATCTACCATCGGTATGGCAAGAGAGGAGGGTGTTTGAATATATCAGAAGTTTTGGTGAAAGGGTTGTTCGTTTGGTTGTTAAGTATGATAATGGTTCTTTTAGGTATGGGTCTGGTCTTGTCGAAAAATGGGAAGATAAATATGTCATAGCAACAAATAATCACGTGATCGAAAATGACACCCAGGCTAAACGATGTCTTATTGAATTCAACTTCAATAGAGATGACAGCTCAGACGTAATAGTGTGTGAAGGTACAGGCCTATTGGAGACATCCAAAACGCTGGATAAAACTTTAATTACATTTCTACACGTACCCCAAACAATTCAAGAAATCTATATGGTGGATGAAAGCTTGTTTATTCCGGAAGTAGTAACCGTGGATGACGATGGACAAGCCCACAGCTACCAATCTTTAACCATGCCATACACAGTTAATAATTTACCAATCCTTGCAATGCCCCTTAGATTTGATTTGAATAAGATGAGAGAAACTTCGATTGAATTCTATGACGGAACCGTGAGTAAAATGGCGAGTGAGATAATTAAATTTGAACCTGTTCCAAGTGAAATTGAACCAAGAAATCCGAATGTAAAAGACATTCAACCGAATATCTTAGTTAGGGACACCAACGGTCAGATGAAGACCATGACTGGTAACATAGAGTTTATTGAAGGAAAAGTCTTTATAAAACTACCAGAAGCTCTTACTAATGAAGAAGCTCAACAATGCACAGTTACTTTTTCTGATGGCTGTGTTAGTAAAGGTACGGGGGTGCACTTTCTACCCACAACTCTAGCCACCGCTAATTTGCAAGGTCTGGATATAAATATTGGCAAACTTCTGACCCTGGGTATTCCAGAAATAAAGAGATTTGCCAATAATCCATTCTGGAATCTACATTTTAAACCGACTCCCCCGGGTCTTGAAAATCAGTTGAGTATTCAGAGTACGTATAATACAGAGGAACGGCGGCAAATTAATACAGCAATCGCCATTGGACACCCTCATGGTGGAAAGAAAATGGTTACGATTGGCAGAGATTTAGCATTCAATCTAGAACCAGCCGTAACGGAATTGCGATGCAGTATCGCGTATTCATGTCAAACCTGCCCTGGATCCAGTGGTTCACCAATACTATATTTACGCAGCTGGAGATGGTACGTGCATTGTCTTGGACTTCGGGCAAACGAATTTCAAGATGAGGTTGTTGAGACTGGAAATGTTAATAAAGCTTGGTGGTGGAAGCAGTATACTTCAGACATTCTTGTAGACCAGCACGTGTAAATCATTGTTTGGGGAAAATTTATTCCCTCAGAATAACCGACATTATCTATATACATATAATACTCATTAGTTTTGGTTTACATATTCCCTATCTTTATTAAGCAGTAGAAGTAATATAACAATACTCATATGGCTGTTAGGTTGACTACTGCAGTTATTTTTAATACAATCTTCCATCAAAATCAAAATAATGCATCCCGTATTATTACCCAAACTAAAACTACAAGGCAAGTCACCCCGTGCTTCATGGTCTTACACTCTTAAATCTCTACTTCCCCTTTACACAGCAATCCTTACCCCTTCATGTCTCAATATATCCGGCAAACGTTCCTTTTCCTTTGCTGTTGCATTTCATGGAATTCTCTCCTTCCACACGTTTATATTGTTAAGCTATTCAACTGCTATTTATTCATGTAAACATAGATTAAAGAACCGTCTTTTTTAAAATCACAAGGGTTCTTAGGCTTTAATGCTTCAAATTTAGGGGTTTTTTTTATAGAAGTTATATTATACTTTTTTTATATTTATTTTACATTTTTAGTCCGGTAGTTGTACATTTTACGTTTTAATTCTTATGCTGTATTGAAATTGATTACTGGAAAGTAGACGCTATATGAATATTTTATTATTATTATTTATATAACTATTATTGTTATTAAATATTACATGAAATCAGCCCAGTTGAATACTTTCTGTGACATAAATCAAAGGGGTTTAAGAGCGTGTCCGCGAGAAAACCATGCAGAAGGTGCTAAGGCTTCAATCACAGATTTTGACCAAATTTGGTTTATAAGTTGGGATAGTACCAAAACACATAAATGTGCAATATTAGATAAATCTTTCAATTCCTGTATGAGAAAATTGAAAAAACATTTTTCATATGGTGAAATTGCCAAAATCTGTCTTTTCTCAAATACCAACTTTGGCAAGTCCTTACACCTTTACTACACGTAGCAGAAAGACCAAACTCACACAGTTTATCGATGACTCAGTGCTGTTACCACAATATTAACTTCAGACGATTCTGGCGAACGAGATCTGTATACGGACTGGATATCAAAGCCTGTCTAAATTCCCCATTTTTCGTCACCCAAAGTTTGACGCCCTATAGCTACTTCTTTCATGGGGTGGGTTTAAAAAATTTATGCTCACGTGAACAAGCAACCACCCAACATTTGATACAAAAAATAAAAATGACCGGAATCGACTTGACAAAAACTAGGTAAAGGAAACATTAACCCATGAAATTAACCTGTAATTTCCCTATTGTGGAGATAATTAACCGTAGTAGATAAAAAAAACTAACAATATATTTTCCTTTTCATTCATATGGTGTTTACTACCAGCCCTAAAATACATTAGTATCTGTTTTATAAAAATATCTTGAAAAAAAATACTTTCAAAGGCCTGTAATCGTTCATGGCTCATCTGGCGTCAACGGGAATTGACTTCTGCAGTTGTCCACGACCTTCCATTGGAGTTTCGACGTGCTCAATCTTAACAAACATATCCATTACTCTCAAATAGACATTATTTTAAATAAAATAATCCAACGAAAATGAAATTCACCTAAAAGTGAGATTCGAACCACCAACCGCATGACTTCCCCCGACCCACCCTCTCACCGAGTTGCTTGCCCCAGGCCCCAAGGTCCATGTAGTGGGCCCTGTTCAGGGGGTTTGCCTAGGGCCTCTCTTATTCTAAATCCGGCCCTGAAGGTGCAGCTGACGGTGCCCGAGAGCTGTAGCTACCATACTGCACTGTTCAATGTCACCCACTTCGACGCAATTAGGCTTCGTTGCCGTTAATATTTAAGCTTCTACATTTCTGTATTGTAGAAATCAGTGGATGTGTCCCAAAATGAATAGTGGAAACATGCTCTGAAATTAAACATTTTGTAGCCATTTTCGGTAATTTGTTTGAAAATGAAATCTTAAAGAGACAATACAACAAATATGTTAAAGGGACAATACGACAATACCAAATATACAATAAATACAAATACACACTTATATAGAGTACAACATGGTACAAATAATGGCTATGGATATGATGAAAACGTATAAAAGTCAAAAATTTTATTTCTCTAATCAAATTCGCAAAAAAATGTATCACAAAAGCTTTTTTTTAGCACTTTTCAATAAGCTGTATATTTTAAGTATGTTGCATTCCGGTCATTTTTTTTACACCTATGGATACTATGTGCTTAGCACTTCAAAACCATTCAAAGAAATTCTACTTGCGACCATGAAAGAAAAAGTTACAGTGTATCTTTTTCTGCACTATAAGGACAATGTGAATATGGTACCCTAAAACAAGTCCACACAAAATTAGTATGTACTGATTTTCTTTTTCAAATGAGTGCTGGGGTAGAAGTTGACCACCCGCTTTATCAGACAGGGTCAAAATTAGAAGGTTGCTATTCCACCATAGAATGCAGTCTGTGCTTAAAAAAGGTGATAAATACACATGTGAAAATGAATAATTCCTGTACAGTCCTTTAGAGCGACATCAGACTGTAACCACTTCAGCATGTTACCTCTTGCCCCTAGGGGGTGTCATACCATAAGTTTGATCAAAAACTTCCGACCCCCCATCTTAGCACTTTTTGCGATTTTTGCATGGTCTTCTCGCGGATACACTCTTAATTTGTTTAAGTAATTTGTTTTGTTAGCTATAAGAAGGAAACCTATCCTGATTCAATATCCTGTGGCGGGTATATCGAAAAATTAATGACACTAATATTTAAGAGCTGTACACTCTACAATGTGAACTTTTATATACGCTATGCGATTCGTGAGTAAATGCTTGGGTTTTCTGTTATACAAAGACTTCACGAAAGCACGTTTATTGAAATTTGTAGTTGTATAATTATCACTCAACATAACACTACACAACCCAGAATGTCAAGATTATTTGTTTCAAATTGTTCAAGCTCGAAAATGGATTGCATATTTATTATACTCGTGAATTCGAGAGAGAGAGAGAGACAGAGAGACAGAGAGGGGGGGGGGTAAGTCCACTCGACTCAAGCTAGGTCATTTCGGGACTAATGAATGGTTCAATGCGCGTAGGGGGTCTTTAGCAGTGGGAGTAAACCGGAGGACCCGTAGTCAATCGGTACAGATTACAAACACCAACAGCTTCTGTACCACTCCTACACGGATGATACACAAATTGTTGACAGCTGGAATTCTACAGATCATCAGGATTCATTTAGTAGAATCACATTAAGTACAAAAGCTATTAAATCATGGATGACCAATAATAATATGCTCAAACTCATTGACGACATAACAGATGTCATGGTTACTGGTACCAAACAGCATCTATCACTCAAATCGCTGCGTGTACTTTTGTCAGACCATTAGTTTCCTTATGACTCGTCTACTGTATAATAGTCTACTCTGTGGCATAAATCGGAGCCTGTCTCATTACACCTGTTTAAAGGAACTGCACTGACTACCAATCACCCACATAATCCATTTCAAACTCCTGTGTATCTCCCATAAATGTTTAAATGGAACAGCCACATAATATCCTGGTTTAATGATATCTGAGTATATCCCCAAACGCACCCCAAAGGTCACAAAATGATCAGCTTCTAACAGCTCCAAGTAATAGACTTAAATCCGTTGTATTTCGACGATTTTCCCACTTTGTTTCAAAACTATGGATATCTTTTCTAAAGTGTGGATTGCCACGGCACGGTAGTCAGAGGGGTCGGGAGTATTTCATAACAATTCACTTGAAGTGAGTTTCTCAACCCTATGTCCGGATACCACACGCGTTACAGCTATGGAATTGAGCATTTGTACAGAAAAACAACATGACCACCTGAACTCCAGATTGCGAAAGGCAAATTATAAAAACAATAATAGCCAAGGAACGTGTTGCATCCGTAACTGCGGAATGTGGTGGGATCACCGCAGACCCGAGGTCCCAATCAGGTTAATTCGGCCCGACTACACCTCATCCAAATGACGTACAAGCCTGTCTTAAAATGGTTTGAAAATAAATTGTTTTTGGGAAATAAAAATTGTGATTTTCGGGGAAAAGATAACAACTTTCGTTTTAGTTAGATTTGTATCGATTGGCTATCGTTAGACAAGATTAATGTTTAGATAGATCTATTTTCTTCTAAAAAGAATATTGACAGATGTTGCAGCTGTAGCTGTGTATGACGCATGCAAATTGTCATTGTGGCTTGACTTAGCTTTGAATCATTTGGTTTAACTCTATTAAATAACTGTATTTAGACGCACACGGACTAGCTACCGACAACTAAACAGCTGCTATAATACAGTGGGGTGGTTGACAAAAGAAAACATAATTTGCCCTTTTAACATATTATAGGCAGTTGGCCTCAAATGTACCTAAACAGTCTTTAGAAATCGGTTCGAATTTCATGACATCACTGGCCAATTTGCTGATGGTACCTTCGTGAAAATGCACCATAGTTTCTTTCGCTTTATTCAACTCACACCTAAATCACATTACAAGAATGCCCGCATCGTTTACTTTATTTGGCGTGGCTAGAGCTTGATATCTGTGAGTTTGTCAACATTTTCGTCGATGCTTGCCCCCTCTGGAATAAATAAGTTCAGATCGTATATCTTCTTTGCCACATGTTGAAATGTAATTAAAGTTTTGTCTAACCATTCTGATGTCTTCAGTAGATACGTGCCTTCGCATACTATTACGTCTGATATGTCATCACTATTGAAGTCAAATTCAATAAGGCTTCGTTTGACCTGTTTTTCCTTTTCGATCACGTGATGATTTGTTGCTATGACATATTCACCTGCCCATTTTTCTACGAGTCCAGAACCATAATTACGCTGACCACCATCCCCTGTAACAATCACACGAACAACACTTTCACCAACATTTCGAATCTATTCAAATATTCTCTCCTCTTGCCATACCTGTGACAGGTGGTCAATTGCGAAGTCCTTAAATGGTATAAAACCTACGTGTCCAGGATTCTTGGTGCAGTTCATCCCGCCCTCTGCGTCAGCTTCAGTTCTATCTTAAACTCGGGAAGTGTGGCCATAACACTGTCTCGTACAATCTTCTGTAACCAAAATAAAAAAAACAGATTTAGCAGTAGGTATAATCAACAATCAATGGATTAACTAAATAACTAGCATTATATTTCTATAACTTAAAGGGGTGGTGCTAGTCGTGTTCAGGAGTAAACTGCGGCCCATCCTGTACATATTGGCATGCATGTAAAAGAACCTTTGATTGTTAGAATTTGAAGAAGAGTAGGAGGAAACGCGGCTGTCTAGGCAAAATTATACCCCCCACATTTCACATGTAAACCACAGACATTGAGTTTGCTAAAAAAATAACCGAAGTATTGTGTTGACCAGACTTTAAATAATAATGTAGGCGCACAATTTCAGTTATACCAGATTTGAAAAAAATAATATTTGCTTTCGAAAAATGGTACCTAACTGTCAAAATTGTAGTTTTTTGTCAATTTACGCCACTTCCGGTGCCGACAGATAACACTATTGGTAACAAACAAAATGACAATTGAGACAACGGAGCATATGAACTTTGTTTTATACAAATCGAACAATAAATAATTAATCTAGGACTGAAAAACTGAATTAGCCAATGGGGGCCAAGGAAAATTACCGAAACAAAAAATTTTCACATTTTTGCCCAAGTCAGATGACTCGTTATATTTGTGTAAAACACGATTAAAGAATATTCATAAATAAAAAAGTTTTTTGTAAAAATTTAAATTTTCTAAATTTAGCGCCTAATATCTGCGAAGATTTGCCGAAAATCAAAAATCAAAAGTAGCGTAGCTATGTGCCCCGTCTCCGGCTATGCCAAAATGCATCGAAAGTTAAAATCCAATGATTATTGTTAAAATTACTGCAATATTTCTAAAAACGATAGCTTCGGTGATTTCGGACATTTCGCATTGTCGCAGAACGTTCAAAATAGCTTTATCCTCTAAGTCACACCCACTTTTCCGATAAAACCGAAGAAATCGTAACGATCCGACAATCAGTTGCTGAGATCTACTCAAAACAAAAGAAGAATAATAATAATAAGAATAATAATTTTAACAAAAACAATAGTGTTTCACACAAGCTACGCAGTGTGAAACCCTAATTAACACAATTCAATGCACGATAATAAATCCCACCCATTTGCTAAAGAAGTATTTACTGACTGCAAACGCCAAGTCCCTCAGACACTCGCCATTTCACACATGCACCTATTGAATACGCTAAACAATACAAAGATGTGTAGATTATGATGCATTTACTATAATCAGATGAAATGATATTCCCATTTTGAATATATTTAACTAAACTGAATTTGAATAATTAGCAATGCATTCCATTAAATTAGCAATGTAATGCTTGCATCTTTGAGCTGTGTGTTAATTCAGGAAAGTATTTTCAAAGCACGCTCGTGTAATTTAATCAGATTATGATCTAATGGTCTATTTAAAGGGGCATTAGTTAAGATTAGATAAAGAGCTGACAGTTCTTACTGTAATAGTTAAAAAGGATGGTGATAACAGAAGATGCTGGAACTTTCAGTCAAATTACTTCACTCTGAACCTCGATAGTAGCGATTCAATTTTAGGCTATTTTCGATCGTCATTACTACCGTTGCTGCGATAATAATCAAAGTCTCGATTATCCACTTTTACGGTTATTCCTCCACCACACGACGTATTCAAACCCACTAAATATGGCAGACACCCGATGGCATCGAGAGTTGATTATGGTCTTGGTAAGTTAATTAATGTCTAATTAATAATTTAGATAACATTTAAAGAATGACCTGCCATACGCAGATTTAGCTCTTGCATAATGTATATTTTTAAGCTGGACAATAGTACACATTTCGCGTTAAAAAAAATCCAATGCGTTATTAATAACTCCGATGGCCCAGCAAGTTGATTATGGGCTTTATGTGTTAATTTATGTTTAAATATTAATTTATGTAAAATTTGAAGACAAACACAAATACCTGCATCTTTAATTTAAACAAAAATAAAAGCTTACTGGGCTATATGATAATGCCATAACTCCGATCTTAGTGGATGTAAATCAATAATATTTGAAAGAACTACAGTATCATAAGAAACAGAGGGTCATAACTTAAGTAAGGATTTGTTGAATTCGGGCATTTTATTTATTAGAGTACTTTTAATTATATATACAATTTAGTTTTTAAAAGCTACATGCATCCTTCGCCATTGTCTTTGTCCTCTCTGATTCCAAAAGGTATTCTATGTACTGAAAATGAATCGGAATGAATGAATGAAATGGAGTTTTCTGCACCAACCGTGTTATAAATGAAGAGGGGGGTTGGATGGTCGAATGGTTAGCACGTGCGCGCTGTGGTTCCGATTCCCCGGTTGTACGTGACAAACAGTAGGGTAGCCTGTCCAAAATCGTGGGTTTTCTCCGGGTCCTCCAGTTTCCTCCAACTGCTAAGGACCCCATGTGTTAGTTCCGAAATGACTTAGTTTGGGTGGTTTTTTTACGTATGTACGTCAACGTGTGGAGACTGTATTTTTCATTTAGATTAGACGTTGTCCTGCACCACCGATTAAATTTTCGACCAACACCGGGATCAAACCCCGCCCCCCTGGTTAGTGAGCCGGCACCTAACACTGAGCCAACGTGACCCCCTAGGGAATTGAGAAAATGAATAGCTGTTTTACACAAATCCGTCATCGGCCCAGATCTGCATAGATGTTAATTTTCGTCCACCGATGGAGCAACTGGTAGAACGTCAAATACAGGGCCCGTGAGGGGGAGGGGCAGCTTGGACACTTGTTCGGGGACCCGAAGCCTAGAGAGGCCCGAAGATATGCCGACTAATTGTTGGTATAAATTAATTTTAAAAAAACCCACACTGTTACTTGATCGATAAGTAGAAGAAAACCGGTGACTTTTCTGATTGTGGGTATGTAGGGGTGTTGGCAAAATTAGATTCGGATTCTTTCAGTACACTGTTTTTGGAAAAACTGGTGAATTAAAAACTGTAAGCCACCTGCCCGGAACTTCGCGCCGTGGGGCCCCAGCCCGTCATCGTTTCGCTTGAGGTTCTCACCACCGTCACGACGTCGGGGTATCCGGGTCCCCTTCCCTTTGAATCCAGTTCAATATGATTTTGGGTATTGAAAAAAAATAAACGAAAAGTTTATGTGATGAAAAAAATTTCTTTTTTGATATTTTGGCGCCTGATGGCCACGGCTTTTATTTTTCCATTTGTTTACTTGTCAAAATCATTTCCTGTCAAAATCATGTACATCTGATTATTATTACATCAGTAAAACTAAAACATGTAAATGTATTTGGTATGTCATATGTTGTGTTAAATCTCAGTTTGCTTTAGCAAGTTGACCTCAAGTTACCCACCAGAGCAGAAAAATATGAAGTTATAAACCCCATTTCATTTCATTTAATTTCCAATTACCCGCCTTCACCGCGTTGTTTGACCCAAGAGGCCGGATATGGCCCTGACACCCACCTGGTCAAATAGCACATTTGTGAACGTGTAACTATCCGCCGTACATTTCGACGTAATCACCCCCTTGACTATTTTATCCTTCCGCCTAAAAATGATGAATATTCACCATGCACCGTGACACAAAAGTTAAATTCAAACCTGTTTCTTCGAATCTATACCGGCATAAAGTCATCAAAAACCGGCATGCAGAATATGGTGGAGTCGGGGGACTATATAAATATATATGTAAACATTAGAGTTTTTACTTCTCATGTATTCTAACATGCCACTGGAAGAAAGGAGAAAATAGTGAACCATTAGGAAAATTATTTGCTTTATTTCTTTGAGTAATATTTGAGTTCTGCGAAGAACGTTGGAAAGTTGAAAACAAATCGCAAAGAAAATGATCAAAATATTAAAGTTGTTTCAAAAACGTGCTTTTTTTTAAATGTATCTCTCAAAATGACAATAATTTTCTATATTTATTTTATATTATTTATTTTATTTATTCTTTTAAGGGATATATTTATCCCCAAAAATGTCACTGGCTGAATCAATCTAATCTTTGGTGCTACGTTTACCATCCAAGGCTAATTATGCGCACAATTCAAATAGGCTACTTGGATATGTGAATCGATTTTACAAATATGCATTGATAAATGCAGTGAAAAACCACCCTTGGTTGATAACCACCCTCCCCAAACCACACGATCACAAATTTGAGAAAATTTCAATGTTTCAAACATCAGTGTTATACTTGAAGTTTATATTGTAATCATTGTTTTGAAGCAAGCTTTTCGAATCAGTGCGTCAATTTCTTGAAAGGCATTTACCAAGTTTGTGGAACCAGTGTCACTGTCTAATTGAAGAATGAAATAAAGAAACAGTTATGACAGAGTACTATAAGTATTAGTGGTCTGAATCCTATATAAGCGGCCCGGACTTGAAACTGAAAGTGAAAGTATATTTTTCCTTGAATTTTACCTGACACACAATAAAATTTCTTTGTGCGTACTGCAGGCTGAACTTACATGACTAAAGCTCGAATTCATTCAAGCATCAAGGTAAGATTAAAGGTGTAGATTAAAGGGCTCTTCTTGAAAATAGCATCTGATTGACAGATTAGATTTATTGTTGAAAACTATAGATTTCTATTGCCAAATCAAAGGTATAATATACTCTTCGAAAAAAAGGTAGAGGATATTCAGAAATAATACAAAACTGCGGAAATGCACTGCTGTTTTTTATTAGAGGTAACCACTAACCAGTGTATGTTAATAACAGGCCAATTGCCTACACATGAACATAAACAGTTCACTGTCAAAAGTGAAAATAGACGTTTTTGATTTTTGTCTTAATAATGAGTATTTGCTCCACCAATCCCCAGACATTCAGCAATTCGTCGTGGCATCGCTCCTAATCAACCGTCCAATCACGATTTGGGGCAATCTGAACCACTCCTCTTGCAGTGCCAGGCCAATTATTGCAGTGTTGTCCGTTGACGTCGACGAACACGTCTCCCGATCATGTCTGACATGCTCTATAGGGGAAAGGTCAGGACTCATGGCTGGCCAAGGCATATGGACAATATGGTGACGCTGGAGGTATGGGCATTATCATCTTGAAAGATGAAACGTCGACCTGCTCTATCGGTGACAGGATGTGGTCACGATAGTACTCACCAGTGACCCTTCCTTGAACAATATGCAAGTCCGTTCTGCCAGTCATGGCGATTCCTCCTCACACCATAACAGACCCACGCCGGAATCTGTCATGCTGTCTGACGTTAATGTTAGCATGACGCTTATTTACACGTCTCCAAACGCGAGCACGCCTATCGGTGAAATCCAGAGTAAATCTGGACTCATCTGAGAATATTACACGCGCCCTTCGATGATTACCTCAATTTCTACGCTGCCTACACCATTGACGCCTGTTTGCCATGTGCTGGCGAGTTAATGGAGGCACAACACGCGGTCGTCGCACATGCAAATGGGCTGCATGTAGCCGATTTCTAATCGTTTGGGGTGTAACTTGAATTCCTGTAACTTGGTACAAGTTTACAGAATGCTGATTGGCCGTTTGTCCTCGATTTCGCAGGCAGGGTGTATGAATGTATCGATCCGGGGCTTGTGTAGTGGCTCTAGGGTGACTTGAACAAGGTCTATCGTCAACATTGTGTGTTTCTTGGTACCGGTTCCACAGTCTGCTGATCACAGATTGTGACACATTAAGCATGTTGGCTACTGCTCGCAGTGTAGAACCCATTTGAAGCATGCCAATAGCACGTAGATGTTCATCATGTTGAAGATGTCTCATTGCAAATTAAAGGAGCTAAGTCGCTAATATTTGGGACCTAGAAATTGACACAAATGGGTAGCAACGCATACAATAATGTAATATGAATGTATATAAATTGATTTACATTCAATCGTTTCTGTTTTTACTGTAATTTCTAATCAGTTTGGTTCGGCGAAATACGCCAGTATTCTCAATCGAATTTCAATCTCTACCGTCTGGTTTTTCCAGTCTACGCCGATAGTATTTATTGGGCATGCTCTCCAGATAAGAATATAGCGTCACCGTTTGACATGACTTGTGGAATATGCCTAGCCTCGTTTTTCGAGTCCCTTACTACAAATAGCGCTGAAACGCATTACGGTACCAATTGTAAAATGTTTATTTTGTCTTAAATATTGGATATCAGAAGGTTATCTTTTCCCGGTAAGATCACAACATCAATGTTGATTTAAAGCGACAAATAAATCGTGATTTCAGTGTCGAAGATTTTTGATGATATTGAGTTAGAGACTTAGCTACTTTAAACATAACATACTAAAGCAAAGATATGCTAAACAGTAAATTTTGTGCAAGAACCGATAGGAAAGCAAACATGAATAGGATAAACCAGCACGTGGCAGTTTTCATCAATACTTCCTGGAAGTGTTAAATTTGACAATTAATCCCTCCCATGTGTATGGCGCTATTGCGTGTCACACGTGCAGCTCAGTGATTCTGTTGGGGCGATAAGTTCTTCATCTGTGAACATAGGCGTAGGGGCTCGATGACAGTTAGGGGGGCAGAACCCGAAATGCCCGAAAAAATTTCGGGTTTACAGACAGCAGCGACCTTGTATACCCCCCCCCCCCAAAGACAATTTTGGAATATTTGACGACTGCAAACACGTTTTCCTGCTATTGCAGCCGTTGAACAAAGCAACTTCAAAGTGGTCTAATATAGCCTAATTAAGGTGGCTGACTCGGAATTCCAATCAATCGTTTACAGTCCTCGAAGACGGGACCGTTAGGAGTAAATTTTGAAAATTTAACTGCCGCAAACGCGTTTTCCCGATATTTCAGCTAGTGAACAAAGCAACTTCAAGCGGTCTAATATAGACTAATTAAGGTGGCTGACTCGAATTCCAATCAATCGTTTACAGTCCTCGAAGACGGGACCGTTAGGAGAAAATTTTGAAAATTTAACTGTCGCAAACGCGTTTTCCTGCTATTTCAGCCGGTGAACAAAGCAACTTCAAAGTGGTCGAATATATATTATAGCCTTATTAAGGTGGCTGACTCGAATTCCAATCAATCGTTTACAGTCAACGAAGACGGGACCGTTGGGTGAAAATTTTGAAAATGTAACTGCCGCAAACGCGTTTTCCTGTTATTCCAGTCTGTGAATACAGCAACTTCAATTTGGTCCAATATAGCCTACCTGGCTGACCCGAATTCCAAACAACCAATCAATCGTCGCGCGGTATATGGAGGCCTCACCCTCCCGGAGAAAAATTTGAAAATTTAATCACCGTAAATGTGTTTTCTGCTATTCTAGCCCGTGTAAGCAACTCCAAAAGTATCCAATGGTTTTGTAACTGAAATCCCACTCTGCATTCACAAATAATAATCGATGCCTGAAAAATGTCGCACAAAGTAGAGTGGCTCCAGACAAAATGTTTTAATCCATAGTCAACTCAGTACAAATTCGTGATATTCAATTACAAGAAAAGTAAAATTAGTGTTTTATTAGGGCTCGATGACAGTTAGGGAAGCAAAACTAGAAATGCCCGAAAATTTCGGATTTATATAGACAGCAGCGCCGGTTTTCTTTGAGAGGCGAATGACCCGCCAAGAAAATTTTGGAATATATTTGACGGTCGAAAACGCGTTTTACTGCTAGTTTCCTCTGCCGCTTTCCGGCCCGATGCCCGTTTTTCGGGCAATACCTATTTTCAGGCAATACCGTTTTTTCGGGCATACCTATCATAAGAGAGCTTCGGGCATATTTTCGGGCATATGCAGTGGACAAGAAAAAGACGAGAAAATACTTTTCGGGCAGTGTGGATCTCATAGAAATAAGTTAGTTATATTTTTTCTCTAAACGTTAATAGAAAAAAAAAGGTCTCGAATTTTTCATTGCCCCCCCCCCCCCGGCTCCTACGCCTATGTCAGTGAACATAGTCTCAAAGCATGTCAAGTGTCCGTGACTATTTATCATATCACAACCTGGATAGGTATTTGCATTTCAATATCCCCTACTTTTTTTTGAAAAGTATATATCATAGACTGTATCGTTTACTAACAAAGCAAACAAATCGCCCTTTTAAATAAAATCCCTATTAGAATTTAAAGTAGGCCGATGTTCACAACAACCCCATTTTGTTTCTTTTCACTTACTTGACCAAAGTAGACTTTAATAATAAGTAATAAAAAAAGGCAAATAAAGAAGAGATAGCTTACAGCACAAAATCAAAGATTTATACTGGATTGCTTTAACAGAAAGGCTGACAAATTATGGAGCATTATGATAGATTCTAGGCTGTTATAAAGTAATAGAATCTTTAAGAAAATAGGAGAAAAAAGTTGATACCATGTGGTTTCACTAAAGTCCCATGCACAATTAAGGAACCCGCTCAAACTGTGACATAATAGCCTTAGACAACATATTACACCAATGGCTTGTTATAAATAGGGGAAGCTTTATATATATAGAACCTGGACATTAATTATTTTTTTTAAAATCTGGATTGAATACGATTTTTATACGCCCACATTTTCATGTGGACGTATTATGCCGTCGCCCTTGTCCGTCCGGACGTCCGTCCGTCCACAATTGTTTGTGGACTCTCTACAGGTCACAATTCTTATCCGATTTCGACGAAACTTAAAATATATGTGTTTCCCCAAAAGATCCTGATTTTGTTGAAACTTGAAATGTAAGTTTATAACCCAAAGATCTCAGTTCCTTTCGATATTCGCGCATATCGGACAGTAACTTCCTAAATTATGGCCCCTGATTGTACGAAAAATCACGTTTTTAGCTTGTGGACCCTATAGAAGTCATAATTTTTACCCGATTTAAAAAAAACGTATTATTATATCACCGTTATACCCTAGGGACGACTGAATTCGAATTTCGTGAAAATCGGCCCAAAATTGACAGACAAAATGGCCGCCGTTCGTTCTCAAATAGCGTAAGAAAATGGTATATCAAGGTTGTGGACCCTATAGAGGTCACAATTTTTAATCCGATTTTGTTGAAACTTGAAATGTAAGTTTATAACCCAAAGATCTCGGTTCTTTTCGATATTCGCGCATATCGGACCGTAATTTCCTGAATTATGACCCCTGATTGTACGAAAAATCGCGTTTTTAGCTTGTGGACCCTATAGAGGTCATAATTTTTATCCGATTTAAAAAACCGTATTGGGGATCACGTGGCTAAGTGGGTAAGACGCTAGCTCGCTAGCTTGGAGGTCAGGTGTTCGATCCCTGCATTGGCCGAGAAAGTTCATCCAGATTTTCCGGCGTGGTTCTCCCTTGTCAGTGATGCAGGACGGAGGGGCTGACAAGGAAAGCTGTCTAGTCGTTCGGATGGTACGAAAAACCGAGGTCCCGTGTACATATTGGCGTGCACGTAAAAGATCCCTTGGCAGTTGGAATTCGATATAAGAGTAGGCCGTAGTGCCGCTGTCCGAGCAAAATTTCCCTCATAGCACACTGTATGGCGTATGCCCGTCTTCATTAGCCCAGGTTAGGAGCAGAACAGTAGGACGTTAAACCCCATTTCATTTCATTTTCATTTCATTTCAAAAACCGTATTATTATATCCCCAATACACCCTCAGGACGACTGAGTTTGACTTTCGGGAAAATCGGCCCAAAATTGACCGACAAAATGGCCGCCGTTCGTTCTGGAATAGAAAAAGAATATGTAATATCAAGGTTGTGGACCCTATAGAGGTCACAATTTTTATCCGATTTTGTTGAAACTTGAAATATAAGTTTATAACCCAAAGATCTTGGTTCCTTTCGATATTCGCACATATCGGACCGTAACTTCCTGAATTATGGCCCCTGATTGTACGAAAAATTGCGTTTTTAGCTTGTGGATCCTATAGAGGTCATAATTTTTATCCGATTTAAAAAAACGTATTATTATATCACCGTTACACCCTGAGGACGACTGAGTTCGAATTTCGTCAAAATCGGCCCAAAATTGACAGACAAATTGGCTGCCGTTCATTCAGTTCCTTTCGATATTTGCGCATATCGAATTGTAATTTCCTGAATTATGGCCCTTGATTGTAGGAAAAATCACTTTCTTGTTAGCTTGTTCTCTATCCATCTCTCGCTAGTTAATTATTGTTGTTAATTTCAGGTGAGGCTTGTCAATACAATTTCTTTTCGAGATGGCTAATTGTAAAACCATTAATAACTGCAGCATATGTTTATGTGGTTTCACAAAGCCCAAAATTCTTGAGTGTTTTCACAGTTTCTGCGAAAAATGTTTAGAAGATTATGCACAGAAATTTACAGTGAATAACCAATTTCCATGCGCATTATGTCGTAAGAAGATAACAATCCCTACAGAAGGTGTCAAAGGATTTGCGGTAAATTTTTACATTGAAGAAAAGCCTATGGAGGCATCAGTTTTGCAGAAGTGTCCTGATCACGTGGAACAACCACTTGATGGTTATTGTGAAGACTGTGGTATGATCGCATGTCAAATATGCTTGAAATCAACACACGAGGGGCATGATTATAAGAGTCTCCAAGATACTCGAAACGATATCTTAAAAGAAATGGAAAAGCTAAAACAAAAACTACATAACCAATTACCAAAATTTGAATCTTACACAACTTTGGTTAGAAGCAGGATATCCGAAATCAAAGAAACTGCCGAGGAGGTCTGTAAAGAAATAGATCAGCAAGTAGAAAATATCACCACAAAGAGTCGGATCATGGCACAAAATCTAAAAAAAGAGGTGAAAACTGTGGCAGTTGAAGAGGAGAAAAAAATGAACCGTCTTATTGTGGATGCAAAAAATAGTATTCATCAATTAAAAGCTAGCCGGGATTATGTTGGTAAAATTTTGAAAACAAATTCAATAGATGACATCGTGAACATCAAAACGCTGGTTCAGAAACAAACCCAGGAAAATGAGGAGAAGGTCCTTCCAGAATTGCCGAAAGTTCAGATCATGGAGTTTAAAGCCAATGAAAATATTGATTGTGAATTTTTGTCGGAACAGTTGGGCGAATTAAATGCTATAGAAGAAGAGATGATAGAGTTTGATTTCAACATTCGTAACATCAAAGATAATGTTCATGTGTTTGACAATGGTGTTATTAACAAATGTGATTATAATTGGTCAATGAGCATTGGGAAGGAGGTATATAAAAGATCCAAGTCTGCCTTGTACATTATATTCAGAATGGATAATGCAGAAGACGATGTTAATACCATGGTTAACCTTAGACTTGTAAACCATAAAAATTGGGGACAGTGTATAAAAAAAAGAGAAGAAAAGGTGTTTGTTGAGTATGACAATTGCATAGATTGGTCCCGTGTAATAGATTTAAAGAAGTTATCAGATCCTTCTAACGGATTTATTGATGAAGAAGGCAAGTTTACAGTACGAGTTCAGCTAAGAATCATTAACTGAAATTAAAACAACAGAAACATTTGAATCATTTTTCGTCCTATTATATTACAATCTTTACACCTTTCAGTTAGCCCCAAAATTAAGCTACTCATGTATAATATGGATGTAATATTTATGGAGTTCCGCCCTTATTATTGTGATTTTTTATTACCTAAGATATGACGTCATTCCCAAAATAACGTCGCAACTCAGTCAGCAGACGGCTGTCCCTCGAGACAGTCTACATTTCCTATTGGCTTCTTTGTATTCAGTTTTGTTTTTGTTTTGTGACGGATGGAACTTGTACCCTATATGTATTGAATACTGAATCGTTTCTTGATTGAATTTAGAGTCTAGACTACTTTTTTTTATACATTTCACCGATGTGGTTACTTGTATAGTTGAATTTTACTACATTCGTATTTCGTGTAGCATATAGCAGATCATGACTCATGCTGGCATTGCACAATGGGTTCTTTGGGTTGTATTCCTAATTGTTTTCAAATTTGAGTGAAGTCTGTGTCACTACAGACCCGGGACTGTACAGCGCAGTGGACGCTTACGGCTAGCCCCCGGATCCATTCACTTTTTTTGAATTGTCTGTATGTTTATGTTTTTCGGAGTATGATGTCCTGTCTGTGTATTTGTTTTTGTGTAAATTTTGTGTGGTGCAGCCCCCCTGCACTTACTATTAATGATCATTTATTTACTGTTTAAAACATAATGATAATGGTTTCATATAAGTACTTTCCATAAGTATGTGTTTTGTTGTTTCCATAAGTATGTGTTTTGTTGTTGGTTTCATATAGTTGGCCTATTGTTGTTACAGAAACCGTTATATACTCTTCAAAAAGAAGTAGGGGATATTCAGAAACAATACAAAACTGCGGAAATGCACTGCTGTTTTTATTAGAGGTAACCAGTGTATGTTAATAACAGGCCAATTGCCTACACATGAACATAAACAGTTCATACGGACGGCTTATCTGACGGCCCCATTTCACTCGCAAAGAGATACGCTGTCAAAAGTGAAAATTACCGTTTTTGATTTTTGTCTTTATAATAAGTAATTGCTCCACCAATCTTCAGACATTCAGCAATTCGTCATGGCATGCTCCTAATCAACCATTCAATCACGATTTGGGGCAATCTGACCCTCTCCTCTTGCAGTGCACATGCTACCGTCAATTCTTGCAGTGTTGTCGGTTGACGTTGACGTCGACGAACACGTCTCCAAATCAAATTAAACGTAACACACTAAAGCAAAGATACGCTAAACAGTAAATCTTATACAAGAACCGATAGGAAATCAAAGATGGATAGATAAACCAGCACGCGGCAGTTTTCATCAACCCGTCCTTGAAGTGTCAAATTTGACAATGAACCCCTCCAACGTGTATGGCGCTATTGCGTGTCGCATGTGCAGCTCAGTGGTTCTGTATGGGCGATAAGTTCTTCATCTGTGAACATACTCTCAAAGCATGTCAAATGTCCATGACTATTTATCATATCGCAACCTGCATAGGTATTTGCATTTCAATATCCCCTACTTTTTTTTTGAAGAGTATATATATTTATTGAGAGTATTACATAGTAATTACATGTTATTGATGTATAATTTATTGTTATTTAGTATTACATAGCTTTACCGAAATAATTAGTCTACGGTATCTTTTTATCTCACGTCAATACTTAGTGAATGATAGATTTGGTTAACACTTAACATGTAAACATGTATCACAGTATTATGCTTTAAGTAGTCATGTTTTGTCCGATCGGAATGATATCTTTATTCCATTTCATTTTTGTGGTTCCGATTTTCTACACCATATCAGATCTAACACATATTAAGGGTGCCTGCCATTTGGGCAGCTGACATCGTTTGCATTATGCTCAAGCCTTTAGTGTTTTTATGAATAATTAAATTGATGGTGTATTGGAAACCAGTGTTTTCATTGGCTGTGTACAGTACACAGCTAAGAACAGGACTCAATTATAGTTAAAATAAAATGAAATGGGGTTGAACGACCTATTGTTCTGTTCGACCGGGCTAATGAAGACAAGCATAAGCCATATAGTCAGCCATGAGGGAAATTTTGGAAGGACAGCGACACTACGGCCTACTCCTTTATCAAATTTCAACTGTCAAGGGCCCTTTTACATGCACATCTGTGTATACATGGCACCTTGGTTTTTTCACCCCAATATGAATGACTATACATTGTCCCTTGCTAGGCCCTCCGTTCCACACCACTGACAAGGGGGAACCACTCCAGAAAATCACAATGAACTTTCTCGGTAACACAGAGATCGAACACAAGACCTCCAGGTTAGCAAGCCAACGTCATTATTCACTGAGCTACCATGCTCAATGATAGTGCTTACCTTTAAATGAACTGGAGGTTTATTGCACCATAAAGTCTGTTATTGATTGATACAATTGCATAAGGCAGGGTATCTTTTTATTTCGAAACCATTTTTGTTCTACCGATAGGTTATTGTTCTACAGTCTATAGTTTGGGGAACTACTACTAGGGCACCAAAAGGATATAAAGCAGTGTAGAGTGTGATAAACTAAACATAACACTGTGAGAAGTTATCAGGTACAAAAGGAGAGAGACAGATTAAGAGAGAAATAGAAATTAACATCCACTCGACATTGATTAGGTTATTTCATTTTTTTTTTTTCTTCAATATGGTAATTCACATGCACACTTCGTTCTTTACTACTCTTTTAACAGTTGGAAGAAAACTCATGAGATTAGACAGACGACACTAAAATCCTGGGATTGAACCCATATCGGGCCATGTGATCTGTACGAGACATTAGACCACTCTAAAATCAGCTTTTTGACAAGATGTAAAGTTAATTTAGCGCACTTGTTACAGATAAATGCATTTGGGATATAAAGGCTGTTGACTCTCTTAACCCTTTTCACATTCCAAATTTCAAAAATATTAGTCAAACCAAGGCCATAATATCTAGCAATTGTGAAGATCTCTACAATAACAATAATAACCACTAGTTTATTGATGATAAGTTTTTATTGTGTGAAAAGAATGCTTTTTAAGCTTTTAGACACATAGTAGGTATTAATTTATTATATAAAATGACAAACCCGTTTATATGATACCTTCCAATCTGATTAAAACACAAATCCTATTTCGTATCGTTTTACTTGTCTTTACTACACTAGAATCTGGAAGAGTTGTTATATAACCCTCATTCTGGATGACGTGAGGGATTAGCCAATGAAACGATCTGTTACTGCGAGTTTTTGGCTTGAGGTGCACAGAACTGTGGGTAACCCACTAGAAACATCAATGCTAATTGGTTAATCAAATGTCTGACATCATAGGGTCAAAAGCCGCTCATATGACCTCTGACACGACCTTCCACTACAACTGGTCAGATCTTCATGTAGTGTAAGCCATCAAAAGTATAAAAAAACAAAACAAAATACAGATCTGTATTTTAATCAGATTGGCTACCTTCAGTATTGTGCACAATCCGTACCAAATACTGCAAAGATAATGTATATACCATTGACCTTCTAAGATGATAAATAACTATTTTATGCTGAGCTATAGATAGGTCTGTGCGTCTTAATAATGTCTGCAAATGTTGTTGCACTCACTAATTCAGGAATTCAAACAAACATATAGATTTACTTTTCATGCAATGTTTCAGTACTCTTACAGGTATCTTTATACTTCCAAATGTCATTCAAGGATATTAACATATAATATGTCAAATATTACTACATCACTATGTAAATGTCAACATTTATGGCAACTTGGCAAGACAGATTTTGTCATCTAATGTTAATAGTTTTGATAGAAAATGTTGCTTTCTAAGCTAATTAATGACATATACCTAGAAAATAAACATCTAAACATAGTGAGAAATACACAATTTATCCACAGATTTACTGTGATATAAACAAAAACGTTAACAATCACAAACAGCTTTTGAAGTTCAAAAACAAATCTGAAGATGTGCAATCGTCTTAACAATAAACAAAACAATACTATTTGCACATAAATATACAACTTACACAATTGAAAAAAAGGCATCAAAAATACTATACTTGAGAATGGAATGTGTATAAGAATAATAATAAAAATAAGCAATACATTTTGGTCTATTTTTGTTCATATTCATACAAAATAAATTCAATTATATAATAGCATACCGGTATACATCAATCAAATTCATTCTTTGACTAACTACAACATATTTATTTAATTATATTTACATTATTTTTATGTATAGAAAAAAACAATACATATCCAAAAACAGAACAATATGAAAAATATATTATCCATGCACAAGCAATAAACCAAAAATACATTTCTATAACATGTATGTATATTTGAAAACATCAATTTAACTCATGTTATATTTTCATGCAATAAATCAAAGTAGCATTATGGGTAGGACTGTGACCTATTGCAAATTAGCAGATAGACTTACTTCCATAAAAATATGTAACACATTAATTAATTGGTAATTAAATTGGTTACAATTAATGACAAATATTAAACCTAAATATCTATTTAATAAAAGTCAGAAATCACCTTTTAATTCAGCAAAATGGTTGGATGATCTGCTAATAATGAACATAAGCAACTTATTCTAATTAAATCCATACCTGTACTTGTACATATATTAAAAGTATCAGATGATTTTGATTGTTTCTGTGTGTTTGAAGTATATGTTTGTGAAATGCGCTTAGAAACACTTCACGTGTAATGAAGCGCTATATAAATCGAACAATAATAATAATTATTAATACACAAAGCTATATAGGAATATTAGGGCTAAAGAATATTCCCAGAAAGTTGACTTAATATCTTAAATCACTAGATTTAAACAATATTTTATTCAGATAAGATTCATGTTGAATACATACATTGTCAAAAATGTAAGGATCTAAAAACAAGCCAAAGGTTTATATTAATTCATCTCCTTAGAATCACTTCTTAACTATGTGATTTAAGAGGAGTTTCCATTTTCACAAAGAAAATAAATGTAATACTCAAAATAACCAATGTATAAACTTTAAAAAAAAACATTCCTTGAAGAAGGCTTTCAATGAAGTCCTTGAAAATAATTTGAAAAAACATGTACACTGCTAGATTTTTGTCACAAATTTTGTGAACAATCTGTATTTAATATTATATACTAATTAGCTGTATATAGATACAAATCATGATAGTACATCTTTAAAAGTTTAATTACAACCGAACTTACAAAAGAATTTATCTTTTAATTACAACCGAATTTAAGTTTTAATTACAACAGAATTTAAGTTTTAATTACAAAAGAATTTATGTACAAAAACACAAAAATGTTTAATGATTATAAGTTAAGTCAATATTTCTTTTAATGATGATAAATAAGTCAATATTTCTGTAGAAGAGAAAAAAGAATGCCCGTAGGAAATATTGAAACCTGAAATATGGACAATTAGCATAAATTTATCTGACTAGGAGAATTATTTATAATCTTACTCAGTCAGATCTATGGGCAAAAATGAGACTGTTGATGTCCAAGCCCGATAAAGAAAATAACAATAAAGTTAGTAGTTGGTACATTTAAATGCAAATCTGAGAAAATAACAACAATAGCTTTAGAAATAAATAATTTCTTGATCAATAACAAAGTGGAAGCAATGGGTGGCTAACTTGTGTGAAGATCTTGCAAACTTTCAGTTAAGGTATCTTCCGAAGCTTCTGTATGATTTTTGAGAAAATAATCACGTTGCTCATCTTGTGGTAACGTACAAACACCATCCCATTGAGCTTCATGAAAAGCATGAGACTGGAAAAAGAATTTAATAAAATAAAACAATTTTGATACAAATTACTGTAAAAACACTTTTAAATTAAGCAAACGAATGCACCACTGACAATAGGAAACCACGCTAGAAGTTCTGTGGAACTTTCTCGACCAACACAGGGATCAACATCATCAAACCCCAGACCTTCTGGTTAGTGAGCTAGCATCTCACACACTGAGCCACCATGGCTCCCTAAATTAAAGGGGCATTATGGAAGATTAGATGAAGAGCTGGCAATTCTCACTATAATAGTTAAAAACAAGATAATGTAAAGGGAATATGCTGAAACGAGATATTAGCCTTTGAATTTTAGGCCTAGCCTCGATCATCATTATGTTAAACCCCATTTCTCTCGCTCTCTCTCTCTCTCTCGATCATCATTACTAAAGCCACAATAAAAAATCATAGTCTTGATTATCCAATTTTGGATTTAACCATCAGTGAGCATTGAGCAGCAGATCAGATTCAAATCCAGTGAAAAGATGACACATAAGATGGCATCGAGAGTTGATTAAGGTCTTTTCATGTTAATAAATGTCTAATTAAAGATACATTATGGGAGATTAGATAAAGAGCTGGTAGTTCCCACTATAACTAGATAATGTAAAGGGAATTTGCTGAAAATTTTATTCAAATTGATCCACCCTGAACCGAGTATTTAGTGATTGAATTTTGGGCCTAGCCCCGATCATCATTATTAAAGTTGGTACAATAAAAACATAGTCTCGATTATCCATTTTTTGATTTAATCAGAAGCATCAGACCAGGTTCTAATCGCAGGCTAGCGATGCCATCGAGAGTTGATTATGGTCTGGATAAGTTAATTAATGTCTAATTAATAATTTAGATAACATTTTAGGCCTAAAGAAAGACCTGCAATTGGCAGATTTAGCTCTTGCATAATGTATGTTTAATAGTTTATATAACATTTCAGGCCTAAAGAAAGATCTGTAATAGGCAGATTTAGCTCTGGCATAATATATGCAATCAAATGGCCATAAAGTAAAGATACATTATGTAGGATTTAGATAAAGAGCTGGCTGTTGTTGTTATAATAGTTTTAAAGTAGTTAATGAAAAATTAATATATCACAAATTGCAGTCATATTACTTTATTCTGAGCAAAGTCACGAATGGCTACTTTTATTGGGCTTCAGACGTACTACTTTTATTCCAAATAAGACTTTTAATATATAAGAAAAAAACTCTATTATCAACAATCATTGTCTCATGCATTTAATATTCAGGCCATTATTGGCTTATCATGTGAATAAATGTAGAAATAACCATTTATATATAATCTGAAGTCAGAAAAAAGCCTGCAATAGGTCAATATATCTCCCACATTATGCCTCTTTATGTTAGAACTGATTTTAATAGTAGTAATAATTGTATTTTTGATTGTGTATGCTCCTAAAACCACATAGCTGATTATTAGTCTTCAAAAATATTCTACACAATAATTACTAACCATTTTTATATTTCTGTGCCAAACTTCATCACATCGACCTAAACATATGGGACAGGGACGTGTTAATGGATATCCACCACATTCATGACAATCTTTGGTAAAATTACCATCAAACCAACAAACATGACATCTGAAATATAATGTAAATATTTGTACAGGTGCAAATTATTGTAATCAGATATGTTTACTTGTATTTCAATCGATGGCATGCATGGTGGTCAATACAAAATCACAACACAATATTTTTAGCCAAGGGAATTCCTCAAATAATATATGGTATGAATTGTAACAGAAAGAGTATGCGCACTCTGCTTCATACCTGACACCTGTCACTACCTAAACATAAGATAGGTAGCCAGGCAACAAAACATATGCCCACAGCAGCTAAATCGTCCGAGCGGTCGACAAGGGTTGTTGCATATTTATTCCTTTGTAGGTAATTGGGGGCCTTTACAAGACAGTTCCATACAGATCAGATTATAATTTTTGCCGTTTGAGGGTTCACAAGGTTCTACAAATTGAAACAAGTGTCTCAACTCTGGAAGTTTACTACAGAAATTGTTAAAATTTGACAGGCTTTTTCGTTTTACTAATTTAAATAATGCATATAAATTTCATACAGATCAGATGATCACGTTTGTCATTCAAACATTCACAAGGTTCACAATCGCCATAACTCTAGAAATTATTGACGGAAATTGCTAAAATTCAATAGACCTCTGTTTCACAAATAGAAATGATGCATATTAATTTCATACATATCGGATGATAACTTTCATCAATCAAGCATTAACAAGGTTGAACAAAGTGAAACAAGGGCAATAGCTCTAGAAGTAATAAACGGAAATAGTTGAAATTCTTCTCTTTCTTAATTTAAATAATGCATGTAAATTTCATACAGATCGGCAGATAACTTTTGATGTTAGAGTGTTCACAAGGTTCAATAAAGTGAAAGAAGGGCCATAACTCTAGACATAATAAACAGAAACTGCTGAAATTCAATAAGTTTATTCGTTTCACTCATCTAAATAATTCATATAAATTTTAGAAAGATCGGATGATAACTTTTGCCAGTAGAGCGTTCACAAGGATCAATAAAGTGAAACAAGACCAAACTCTAGAGGTAATGAACAGAAATTATTGAAATTAAATAGGATTTTTCATTTCACTAATTTAAATCATGCATATAAATTTCACAAAGATTGGGTGATAACTTTTGGCGTTAGAGCGTCCACAAGGTTCAATAAAATGAAGCAAGGGAAATAACTCTAGACATAATAAACAGAAATTGCTGAAATTCAATAGGCTTCTTCGTTTCACTAATGTAAATAATGCATATAAATTCAGAAAGATAGGATGATAACTTTTTGGGTTAGAGCATTCACAAAGAGAAACAAGGGCCATAACTCTAGAAGTAATGAACGGAAATTGCTAAAATTCAATAGGCTTCTTCGTTTCCCTAATTTAAATATTGCATATAAATTTCACAAAGATCGGATGTTAACTTTTGGCATTAGAGCGTTCACAAGGTTCAATAAAATGAAACAAGGGCCATAACTCTAGACTAATAAACGGAAATCATTGAAATTAAATAGTCGGGCACAAAGTTTAAAAAATATTAAGTACTAGTTCATTAGTACCTGACAATTTATCAGGTACATCTAAAATCAGTATTTACAGACATGCATTATAGAGTTCAAATACTGATGGTCATACATAAATTTACAGTTTTGACTAATGAAAACTGAGATAACTTGTAACTCTTACAGATGACATGTAGCTATTTTTTTCTGATATGGTTCTGACTTCATGAGGTCTTCTACTTCTGATTTACTGTAATCTTTACCGGAGATATCAGATGATGTCATGTTAGGTTGAGTATCAGGAACATAAAATACTGTAGCTTGTGGTCCATTTAATACTTCATCAACTAAATTCAAAATATAATACTTCGTGAGCATCTTGTTAATGGAACTTGGTTCTATCAGTGCGAGCGAAAGTAAATTGAACGTTTACGTTAATAATTAACTAAAATAAACAGATAACATTAATTAAGATAATGTATCAAGTTCTAGTATGTAATTAAAAACATTATTGCATTACCTTCAGAATCAGCCTGTTGATTGGATACTTCCATTGCTTCATCATCAGCATTTTCAGTTTCTACAAATCCTTCATCATCTAAAGCTGGACTGTTATTCCAGTTACCAGCCATCCTTTGTCACTTGTCTCAATAAAAGTACAGCTAACAAATAATAATTTAAAAAAGTATAAGTGCAGTTATTTATATAAAAAAGACCAGAAAATCTGTGACTTTTCCATATCAAGATAGAACTTGATAATGTTGAGAGAATACTCTTCGAAATGTCGCCCAAATAAATAAGTAGCTGTTTTCCCATAAGAATGTTTAAATTTGTGACAGTTAGTGTAGATGCCAAACTACATTAGGTTTCTAGGCAAAAGAGGTGGCCATACAGAACGCTATTCTTAAAATGCCTCTTGTAGACTACTTGTTGAAGGGAAATAAAATTGTCATTATATGACCGTAACATACCGGCTCTCTAATATTGCAGCTACACAGAAATATTATCAAATCTTTACGGTCAAATTTTAAAAACAATAGTACAAATATAATTAAAGTATACATAAAACCATTTAAATAAATTTTAGCATTATTGTCTCTTTAGTAGGAATGACACTTTAATCAAATAGAAATCACTGCATGTAAATATCCAAATATATTCAGTTTACTAAACTTGAAATGTCCATTAATATCACAATCTTATTTTACTGATTGTGCATTATTATTTTCTTCCAACACTAAACAAAGTTTGTCTATTGGTCTCTGTAACACTGAAGACCATGGTTTTAACATTAACAATTCTTACAACACCTTTCTTGTCCTTTATTACACTTAACACACAAGCTAAACACCACGAATTATGTGGTGAGGAGTCAATAATTAACACTTAATCATTCACAGCGACATTTCTTTCGATCTTGATTGAACCATTTCTGTCTTGTTTGAAGTAATGACAAGTACTTTTTTACCATCTTTCCAGAATACATCAGCAATATACTGGATTTGTCTCCATCTCTTTCTAACGTAATTATCAATTTGAGATAATTACCAGGTGGCAGATCAGGACCTTTCCATAATAGTAGTAGATGATTTGGGGTAAGGATCTGTAGATAGTTCTGTGAGAAGTCTGCCATTAATGATGTTTTCTACTTCACAGAACAGGGTTTGTACAGATTCATCGTTTGGTCTCATCAGTTGTTCCTTCAACAAGGAAAGCGTATCATCTGTTGCCACACTCCTCCAAAGTGGGACCCACTGGGAGGGTTGAAACTCCACTTTACATTTCTTTGTACTAAATAATCTTTAATCTGTTCTAAATTCCATCTTTCTACTTCTGTTCAATCTGATCCTATTTCGTTTTGTTTTTTTATGGTTCAAAATTCCGTTTTACTTGTCTTCACAACACCGGATCTGGAAAAGTTGTTATCAGGCATTCTAGTTGATGTGAGGAATTAGCCAGTGCAACGATCTGTTATGGCGAGTTCTTGGCGTGCTCTACACGGAACTGTGGGTAAACCCCTAGAAAAGTCAATGCTGATTGATTAATTAATGTCTGACGTCATAGTGTCAAAAGCTGCTCGTGTGACCCCTGACACGATCTCCCAGACACTCCAAGTACAACTGGTCAGATCTTCATGTAGTGTGCGCCATCGAAAGTATAAAAAAAAAAACGAAACAAAATATAGATCTGCATTTTAATCAGAATGTATTTCTATTCTGATTTCCTTTTCTGCTCCAACTAAAAACAAGTGAATATGACACCACACCTTATGACGGTGGAGAGGCCTTGCTTGATTTCAAAGGGACCGAAGAAATCACAGCCATCGATACTGACTCTTTCTTTCGGCAGGTCCGCCATCTTCTGAACGAAAGACTTTCCACTGTACTATCTACACAATACACATCTTGACAAAATCTGTTTCAACAAAGAATTACCACCAATTAACCAATAGCTCTGACGTATGTTAACATGGGTTGTCTTTCTTCCAAGATGTCCAAGCAACTGCCCTGAGACTATCTAAAATAATGTGGTTGGCAATTCCACAATTCTTTGGTAAGATAATAGGATATCTTTCAATGTGATCAATATTACATGTAGCTCTGCTAAGGCACCCTCCAACTCGAAGTAAGTTGTCTTCGATGAATGGATCTAACTTTCTTAATGGACTGGTTTTTTTCAATAGTTCACCATTCTTTAGGCACTTAAATTTTTCAGCAAAGTGTTTATTTTAGAAATGACGAATTATCTCCCTTTCTATGTCTAAATACATTTCGATTTCTATCTTGTTTTATAGATTTTCTTTCTTTCTCTACTTCGGTTGCTCCTCCTTTTTTCTTTCCTAATTCGGAATAAGGTCAAGAATTTTATTTTCCTGGTGAAAGTAAGTATTCTTGAAACTACTGACTTTAATTTCCACAAGAATTCTGGACCATAAATATAACATTTACTTCTATTTATGTCTTAAGTCGTTAATCCTCAAGACAATACATCTGCTGGATTTTCTTTCGTAGGACAATATCCCTATTGATCGACAATTATTATTATTGTAATTCGATTGGCCACGAATATGTGTAATCAAACTGTATCATTCTCTTATTTAATTAATTACCTTTTGACTATAACTTCAATAATGAATTGGTGAATCTTTATATCTAACTCATCTACAATCACTTTAGAAATTCTGATGGAAGTAGTTGCAGCAGCTAGTTCCAGTCTGGGAATTGTGATTTTCTTTAAAGGGGCTACTCTTGTCATGCCTATGAGCATACTACAATGTACAGAATTACTTTTGTTGATCGTAACTAAGCCACTATACCATATCCAATATATTACATACTTTACCATATGGTTTTATACTTCATGGAATCTGAATTTCATCTAGTAGTAATGGTAATCCAATTAACCAGTTCTGTCACATCTTCAATAAACTTCCAGTCACATCATTATCCCAATCAAGTCCTTGCTTACATATTTCTTGAAGTAAGGTCTTTGCTGTAAAATGTATGGAACTGGTAATGGATAGGATTCCTCTTCTATTTGCTGGTTTCACTGGGACAGCAATCTTAAATATATATATTGTGGTGTAATTGTCGAGATATTTGGAGATATTCATTTATGGTGGGGCACCCTACAACTAGTACAGATTTCTACTATTGCTGGACCATTTGGTGATATTAAATCCTCCAATTTTACATAAAGCCTTCAAATCAGATATAGGGTCACTTTCATTCTTGAAAGATTTTTAACAGTTGTCTACGTAAAAGTTTCTCATTTTTATGTTGATGACGTCTTGTTTAAATCTTTCTGTGTTGATAGTTTTCAGTTAGAGTGCAGCATTAGAACAACTGGGTGAAGACGAAGCCCTGAATAGATGTATTTTCATTCTGAATACTTCTGGGTTCTTATTAGAAGAATCGAAGACAGTCTCCTATTTGGTAAAACATGGCTTCAATGTCTCTGATTATGACGATCTGCTCCTAGACTGTCAAAATCTAAGGAGAACTCCTATTAAATTGTTGGTATGGTTTGGTCCAGGTAGTAATAAGCTATTAAGAGATATACCATTGTATAGTGCTCCACAATCAAATACAACACGAATCTTGTCTCTTCAACTATGATGTTGTAATTGGTTGAAAGAATGAAACCCAACAATTAATAAACAACTTTTAATAGTATTAGAACTAGAGAAGTGAATTGACAAGTAGTCTACAACAACAGACATTTTAAGAATAGCGTACTGTATGGCCACCACATTGCCTAGAAAGCTAATGTAGCCTAGTTTGGCGTCTACAGTTAGGAATAATTGCAGTATAAATGGAGTTTTAACCTATGAGGTTTGGTAATTGTGATTTGTCATGAGTTTTATTTTTGTTCATTGAACACATGCAAGTGGAATTTACCGACAGACGCCTTTCAACTCATTATTGTTTGGTCCGCCTAATATTCTGCCATAATTTGTGAGCGAGTAAACCTGCTTGAGGCACCAGTAGGTTACAAATGAACGATACCTATCACTCAGTCTCGCCACGTTGGAGTACATGGACAGAGAAGAACTTTGCCTATATTAATTCTTACATCCTAGGTATTAAAAATGAGATTTTTGAAAATACAGCGACTTCCCGTTATTAACTGGCCAATGTCGTGTGAATGAATGCGACTAGGCTACCGACATTGACAAGGCAGCAGTCAAAATTAAAATTTAAAAAAAGACAAAGTAATTTCATGCGCACTGATATGTACACTTTCCCTATTTAGACGTCAACCAAATTATAAAAAAACAAACACATAACAAAAAGTAGTCAGCCCGACAGCATCTCGAATTCACAAGAACTTAAATATCTACCTTGTTTCTAAACAAAAACAATATTCTATGCAATGTTTACTTCCGGAAATCGAGCGTTCAACATGATGTCGCAAAATTATGTGTCGAAAACATTTCTCTTTCTATTTAAGCGTAACTTAAACCATAAAGTTGTACATGATAAAGAACGCAGACATGCTGTAAAATAATTCTGCTGTAAAAAGAATAATAAAGAGTATAATATTACGACAACTAAAATGGAGTTCTCTCCCTTATGCCATTGTAGGGGTTTTACAGCCATTTGCCAGGTCAATAGTGTCATTTCAAATTTTAGAATAAGCCTACTAGTAAAAATTTAATTTCTTATGTTAGGATAACCCTCCTCCTTAAAATAAGTGGGGATATCGTTAAGAATAGGCCTAAATGGAATAACCAATAATAAAAGCTATAGGGGATAGGCTAAATGTAACATCAATATAATATAATCCTGATTCCTAGGCCATGGCCATGATGGCCATGATGGCCATGGATGGGGGGGGGGGGAGAGATGGCCGATTGGTTAGCATGTGCGCGCTGTATCATAAGGTCTGTCATTGAGTCAACTGGTATGGTTTCGATTTTCCGGTTGTAAGTGACACAGAGTAGGTTCGTCTGTCCAACCTCTTGGGTTTTCTCCCGGTCCTCTGGTTTCTTCCCACTGCTAAAGACCCCTACGCGCAAGCGAATTATTGAAATAAAATTGAACCATGTTTTAGTCCCAAAATGACTTTTTCTGTGTCGAGTGGATGTTCTCTCTCTCTCTCTCCATAGGCCTATAATAGATCCAAGGACTTCCGGCATCGTCCCAAATAAAAAAAATAAGCCCACAAACCTTCAACAAACCGTAGAACTGTGAAAAAAGATAAGCATTTTTGGATGTCAGGGGAGTTAGGACGAAGCAAGCACCATTGCTAGCTGAGTAAAATATTGCAGAACATAAGGTAAAAGTTATCTGAATTTTAGATACCGGTAGTTGTAAACTTTTGAATGACAGCAAAAAAACTAAAGTTGAAATATTGACATCTTGATGGCTATTGTATGGCCTGCATCCTCCTCTGGCCGTTATGACATTGTATGAACATGTGTCGTTAGTGTGAACCAGCTAGGAAAACAAGAAAACTTCTGCAGAAAAGTGTTTTGGTTGACCATTTTACCTCAAATTATACTATAATTAAAAGGGTCCATCAAACCATACGGATCAGTAGATCTTTTATCTATGACAACCATCGACCTATGATTGGGTGAACTTGCCTATAGATGAAATGATAGGCTAAACTGAACTCTGAGACTTATGTGTAAACTGATGCACAACTCAGTTTTGATAGATTACCTACTTATTCAATCTGATTTAAATGCAGATCTATATTTCATTTAATTTTTTTAACTTTTGATGTCCTCTCATGAAGATCTGACCGGTTGTAGTAGAAGGTCACGTCAGAGGTCATACGAGCAGCTTTTGACCCTATGATGACAGACTTTTGATTAATTCCAATCAGTGTTGATGTTTCTAGTGGGTTACCCACAGTTCAGTGCACCTCACGCCAAAAACTTGCCATAACAGACCGTTTCATTGGCTAATCCCTCACATTATCCAGAACGCTTGTTATATAACAACTCTTCCAGATCCTGTAGTAAAGACAAGTAAAACAATTTATTAAGCAGTTTCTGTAACTTGTTAACATATAAAAATATTTGTATACAGTTGTACGGCTAGGTATTATAATCACACAAGAGTCAATCAATGTCCATATCACACATCTAGGGTTATAATCCCATATTAATTAAGTGGTTTCCATCTATGTGTACATTACGATTAGAGGTTTATATTTCTGCATATGGTTTCATTATAAGATCAAAGGTCACTGTTCTCCTAATTTATGGTTTCATTGAATGTTTTGATTGTACATAGTATATATATTTCACTCCTTCTGTCTGTATCAGTATTGTGCTTGATAACGACAAGAGAATCATTGTTGAAACGTAGCTTTAATTAAATATAGTAATTGTTATCCATAGAACTGTTGTGTTTATTTTAAGTAAAACAACATTTTAAACTATAAAAAATGAAACGAAATAGCATCTGTGTTTTAACAAGATTGCTACTTATTATTAGCCGAAAAATACCCGACTAAAGGACAGCTGTCTAGTCATTCAGATGGGACAAATACCAAGGTCCCATGGCATGTACATATTGGCATGCAAGTAAAAGATCCCTTGGCAGTTGGAATTCAATGGAAGAGTAGGCAGTAATGCCACTACTGTCCAGGTAAAATATCCCTCATAACACACTGTATGGCATATGCCCGTCTTCATTAGTCCAGTCGGAGCAGAACAGTAGGACGCTAAAGCCCATTTCATTTCATTTATAAAAAAACAATCATGTATATCATAAAATCAAAACAATCATGTATATCATAAAAAGATCAGCTTAATTTTGACAATATTTTATTACACATAGGGCAGCACCAGTTGCAGAATCACAGTCTAAACCATCAACAAACGTAAAATCTTTAAATACTTCTTTTAAGTGATTTCTTATCAATGGATTTCGCGAAAGAACGCTTCCACTACCCATAATCCTTTCAATATTGTGTGATTTTAGAAATTCTACAGGCATCATTGCTTGTGCATTTTTAATCAGGCCAAAGCAGATTGAATTAAACAGTTGGGGAAGATTCAAATTTTTAGGGGTTAAGCCAAGGATGCTACCAAATTCACTTGGTGCATGACGTTCTCCAAATAATGTTGGTTTAACTTCCAGATGTTCATCTAGGGTTACATTTTCACTTTCTTTCAATAATTTCTCCCAAACATCATTTTCACTAATATCCACACCTGTAATAAGAGTTAATAAAAAAATCAGTTTAAGTCAGATTGGAACAATATTTACATAATTGTTTGGGGCAAAAAGTTTTAGATAGGTCTGGGATACCACTTTTGAAAGATAAATAATTCGACTGTCCATCAATGAATATTAATGTAAGGTGGGAATCCATGTGAATTGTCAAAATTTCTCATGTACTCTTAACCTTTAAAGGTTTGGCAAAATAGGTATAAGAAAGGCTAGGGAAAGAGTCTGATATTCAAGCTAGCCATGCCTTAAGCAGTGGACACATTAGCCGAATTATTCAGCCGAATCAATCGGCGCCCAATTTTATTCGGCCGAATGGGTGGACACACTAGCCGAATGCTTCGCCCGATTCACCAGTCGATTGCATCACCTTTCACGTCACATGATTAAACATGGCGGCTATGTCTTCAAACTATCACGTGACTTCTCTATATGAGTGGTGATTGGCTAATGAATTCTATATTCGGCCAAATGCTTCGGCGAAGCGGACACACCAGGCGAATATAATTCGGCCGAATATATCAAATCTGTTTGATTCGGGCCAATGACAGTGGACACACTAGGCGAATTTCGACGCCGATTGATTCATTCGGCTAGTGTCCACCGCTTTATCTATAATCTGGTTTCATAATGGTCTTTTCTGTTTTGTTTTTCAAAATTACAGTCTGGTAAAAATTTTGAACTGTTTTTTTAAACTTTTACAATACAAACAAGAAAAGGTATCAAAATTTTAAATGGTTAGCGCGTCTGCGCTGTATTATAAGGTCTATCATTGAGTCAACTGGCGTGGTTTCGATTCCCTGGTTGTACGTGACAAGGAGTAGGGTCGCCAGTCCAACCTTGTGGGTTTTCTCTGGGTCCTCCAGTTTCCTCCCACTGCTACAGACCCCTATGCGCAAGCAAATTATTGAAATAAAATTGAACCATATATTAGTCCCGAAATGACCTAGTTTGTGTCGAGTGGACGTTAAACCCCATTTTGCTCTCTTTCTCCTGGCCATCAACCCTCACAGTGTTCACCAAAGAGACAAGTTAAAAGAGTCAGACACTTTGGACTCAGTTTAACCAAGTATAAGAGACTGATTAGGCCTATATAAAGACCAGGCTGTATTATGATTTGAGGATGATAGTCCCTCCTATAATGCTTGCTTGAATAGGTGCATGTTTCAGAAGCAATTATTTAAAAGTTCTATGATTCTATGAAGATGGATTTCTTTTGTGTACTGATGATAACAACAAACAGTAAGTAAACGACACAAGCTAAATAGTACATACTAAATTGTTTCATCCATTTGACAAGCATCTGAACAAATTGGTTAATAACATTTCCTCCATTTAAACTGGCTGCTAAAGCAAGATAGTCTTCATTAAAATAAGGAAAGTGTTGAATGTATGTTGAATCTGGTTGTTTGAAGTTATCTTGTTTAACTATACAGCCAAGTTGTAGTGAGGTACCCATGTTTAATACTGCTGAAATACAAAACACAAATTGTCAACTAGAACTGCGATTCAGTAATGACGGGTTTCACCGGTGCCCCGTTACCCTTGAACATATGTCACTTCCGGTACCGATGAAACCATTAAACAGGTTTCCATTTAAGCATTGCACACATCACATAAAATGTACGCAGAATCAACCAATTCCGGCAATATCAATTCATTGTATACATTCATTACATGTAAGTGATCCTGACAACATTACATTACTTCCGGTGATAATAAAAATGTTAAATTAGTTTCATGAAATCTGAAATAGCATAAGGCATCACATGGTGAAAATTTTATGTAAATCGAATAATTAGTTGATTAGAATAAAATATCAAAATTTTAAACAAATAACAAATAAGACTCATTTGAATAAATTACTGGTTTTGAAGGTTAGAAATACAATTTTTGCCCAAATTACGTCATTTTCGGTGACATTGAAAATGTTAAATTGGTTTGACCTTGTTAAAATTGACAATACGCATCAAATGGTGTCACTTTTATGAAAATCGAATAATAATTGACTCTTATACAGGCAAACTAGCATAAAAAGTGACTCATACAAAATTGCCCATTTCTCGGCAACTGTTCATATTACAAATTAATTTTCACATACATTCTCTTCGTATGGATTATTGCTACTAGTTTATGAAAGTTGCGAAGAAATATTTTAAAATATGAAAAGCCTGAATGAGTTGTGAATAGCTCATTTTTTCACCTTTTTTCACCTTTAAATCGAAATGATCTGAAAAACGAAATAAAAATTAAAAAAACTGAGCGCGATGATTTCTGCGCATTAACAGGGCAAACCCTTTCAGTCATACCAGATTTGAAAAAAATAATATTTGCTTTCAAAAAGTGGTACCGAACTCTCAAAATTGCAGTTTTTGCTAAATTTATGTTACTTTCGTTGCCGAAAGGAAAATGTACCGGTAACAAAAAAAAATGACATTTTGGACCGCGGAACATATGAACTTTGTTTTATACAAATCAAACAATAAATAATTAATCCAGGACTGAAAAACTGAATTAGCCAATGGGGGCCAAGGAAAAATACGGTGACATTTTTTGTCAAATCAGATGACCCTTTAAACCTTGGTAAAATACCACATAAAAATATTCATTAATAAAAAAGTTTTTCGTAAAAAATTTTAATTTTCAAAATTTGGCGCCTAATATCTCCGAAGATTCGTCGAAAATAAAAAATCCAAAGAACCTTACCAATGTGCCTTGTCTCTGGCTATGTCAAAATGTATCAAATATTACAATCCGACAATTATTGATAACATTACGGCAAAATATCAAAAAACGACAACTTCGGTGATTTTGGACATTTCGCATTGTCACAGAACGTTGGAAATAGCTTTAAAACTTAAGTCAAACCCACTTTTCCAGTAAAGCCGAAGACATCGAATCGATCCGACAAGTAGTTTCTGAGATATGCTCAAATGGAAAAATAATAATAATAATAATAAGAAGAATAATAATCCGAACAAAAACAATAGTGTTTCACACTGGCTACGCAGTGTGAAACCCTAATTAACATTGTTTTATAAGCTTAGTAGAAACATACTGAGGTATTATCTGAGCATGTCCATTTTTAATATATGAGGCCTGTTCCTATGAAAGTCATAGGTTTATTTCTGAGTTTGTACATGACAAGGAGAAGTATCTCTTGTCTAACTTCTTGGCTTTTCTCCAGGTTTCTCATTGGAATGAATTTTAAAAGTGTATTTACCTGTATTTTGACACAACAAGGAAGAAAGGAATGAACACTGAACATCTCCAAGTCCAGCTAAAACAGATACACCCTTTTTAATGCAATGCCAATCATCAACAAGTTGTCCTACAATGGTACCTGCTTTTACAATCCTTGGTAATCTATCAACTGGAAAGCCACGTGTCTTCAATCTGAAATTAAAAACCTTTATATAAATATTTACAAAATTAAATAAACATACCGTATGCTAGGATTACCATTTAAGAAATACAATCATCTGCTATTCGAACCATTTTAGGCCATGACTAAAAGACAATGCAGGAAAAATGCACAACAATAAACAGATATAACAAACTATACTACAGGACCACAGCATTAACAATACAAGATATAAAATTGGAGTGAAAAAAAAAGAAGAAAAATATAGATCAACAAATAAAAATATATTTATCTTAATGAAATTTGAAAATAATGTGATTTAATTTCCTACTGCTATGTATTTTACTCTTTATCGGAGCCATGGTTGCTCAGTGAGTAAGACGTTGGCTCACTAACCAAGCGGTCCCATGTTTGATACCTGTATTGACCGAGAAAGTTTATCAGGATTTTACTGCATGGTCCCCCATTGTCAGTGGTGCAGGACAGAGGGCTTGGCAAGGGCAACGTATAGTTGTTCGGATTGATCACATTGACAGTTGGAATTCAGTACAAGAGTAGACTGTAGAGCCAGGCAAAATTTCCCTCATAGCACACTGCATGCCTGTTTCCATTATCCCAGTTTGAGCAGAGCAGAACAGTAGGATGTTAAACCCAATTTCTTTTCATTTTACTCTTTATAATAAATTTTTTTCCATTACATTTCAATATTCCAAGTATTTGTCTGGGTATTAAAAAATCCTAAACTTGCTGCTAGTTGACTGGTCGTTGCTGGATGTTCTAATCGACACAATGAGAAAACAAAGTGATCCATTATAGTGCCTAACCAATCAAAATGTTTAATCATGTGTGGCTGGTGCTGTAATAGCCAAAAGTAAGTCACACAGCCAAAACCAGTTGCTAAGGGAATATGACTGTCTGGAACAGGTAGCAAAGACAGGAATTCTGGGATAGCTCTTTGATCTTGCCAAGTGTACAAATTTGATGATTCACATTTCATTAAACCCAAATCACTGGCCTGTGGTGTTTTCCACAGAACCAGCCCATGCATTTGTCCTGTTACTCCTATAGTTTTGATGTTATTTTTCAATTCATCAGGTATCTGGAGAACTAATTTTTCCAAAGCTTCATAAATCTTTCCTACATTCTGTTCATAGCCTGCTTCTCCAATCACGCTCTCAACATCAGCATCTGTCTTAACATTAGACGAGTAAAGTTGTTGACTTGTTATATGATCCAGAACAACTATTTTTACTGAAGTTGTACCAAAGTCAATTCCCAGTACATAGTCCATTTTTTAATCTGCAAGAATAAGAATCAAGCTATGACTAAGTATTTAATCATAATATTTTATTTAAGACAATGGGGGAGAGAATTACTAGTCTGAATCCTAGAAACCACCTCCCTTTAATGTGTCAAGGGAGGTAATATTACATAAATCTCATTTTTTCCACGTACTAAACTGTTAATATTTACTACTGATGTATTTTTATAGGTTATATTAAACCCACTGCGTCTTAAATCTTATTAACGGATTCGTATTGCGTTTCATACATATATTATCATGTACGACATATGGAGGCAGACTACGATTAAATTTCACCATCTCGGTACCCAGACCACCATTAAATTTCACCACCCAGACCACCATTAAATTTCACCATCTCGGTACAACAATTGTAGTTCGTCTATTTATAACAATTCTCTCTTAGTCTCTTTTCTCCCCTTTTCCATGCCCATTTTTGTTGATTTTTTGGTCTAGAATGGACGAAGAGGGTTTGAATTAACATTTTCTGCCAGGTTTTGGTAAAGTTTCATAATTTTGAGGTGGAAGGATTACGGGGTTATCAGGTTTGCTACGGTGATATGTACGGAAACTAGTTACATGTTTTTGGTATGCTTCTTGAAGTTTGTGTATCTAAAAATTTTGGTGGTCAACCTCATACAAATTTTGGTGCAAAGACATGACCATTTGTTCCTCTGTTTGTAGTGAAAAGCATTCAGCCCAACGAAAATTTGTGGAAAAGTTGGAGGTGGGCAAAGAGGCCAGAATTAACATTGAAGTCAATGGAGAAATTAATGGTGGTCTGTCTTTACTAGTTACCTCCCCTGAATATTTTCTACTTACACTTTATAAAAAAATATTATACCAAATAGCAATGGCTAAATCTATTTGTTAAGGTCAGCTCAATTTTTGTCAAGGTCGCTGAGATATAAATAAGGTTAGGGAACGTGATTGTTGGCGAGATTGTAGGTTTGGGTTAGGGTAAGCATTGGGGCTAGATCCAGGGTTAGAGTTATGATTGGGATTAGCGCTAGCCCTGGTTTCATCTCGTGACCTATGATGACGAAAACTTAAGCTGACTTTATCATTTAGCACTAACCAATAGCACTAGCAATACTTACTTTTGTTATATCGCCCCAAAATAACACAATACGCCTCCTCTATTGTGTTGACTTACAGGGTGAACATTTAAATGAAAATATGCAAGAACTTCTTAGAATGACAACATTATCTCAATCCAGTCAATGTGCACAAATTCGCTGGCGGCAGACCTATGCTAAGTAGGCTACTATCTGTCGCTTGGGGCGGATAGATAGGTAGTCTATGACGTATGTATGTACATAACCCTTAAAATTCTATCTACGGGTTAGTAGGCGTATTAGTTGAGCCTGACAAGGACAACTGTCGAGTCGTTCGGATGGGACGAAAAACCGAGGTCCCGTGTACATATTGGCGTGCACGTAAAAGATCCCTTGGTAGTTGAAATTCGATATAAGAGTACGCCGTAGCGCCGTTGACCGGGAAAAATTTCCCTCATAGCACACTGTATGCCCGTCTTCATTAGCCCAGTTTAGGAGCAGAACAGCAGGTCGTTAAACCCCATTTCATTTCATTTATTAGTTGAGATATGACGAAAAATTGAGCTGGCCTTATCATTTGGCACTAACCTTCCTTCCTGCTTTCTTAATGTTATGATGGGGTTTTTTTTAATCTTTTATATTCCACTGAAGTATAAACTATACTAAATCAGAGCGCAGATGCAATGCATTATTGACTTTGTGATCAAGATCGCTTCTTGATACCCGTCTAAAGTACACGTATCCTCAAAATTTTGGGTAATAAGTTACCGGAGGAATTGGAGAAACCCCACGAGGCTGGGCATGCGGGGCGTCGAGGGGGGGTGGGGATGGAGGGCTAAATTAAGAAAGATAGCGTAGGTTCCAGTGCAGCGCCAATCCTATGGCGTATTCACCAGAAAATTGTGAAAAATAGAATCGATTTATTGCATTCCGGTCGGATAACACAAGTTGAATAAAATATAGATAGTGGAAATTTATTTGTATAAGTTTCAAACATCAATCGAGGGACGAATCCCAGACAGCTATTTTTAACAGCCACTAATAAAAGACTATTTTATGAGAAACCTTTAGCCACCAGTCAGTTGTATCATTTCAGAATCTTGTACTTAATCCAAAATGTGTTACAGAAAACCCCTCCCCATAGATCCAGTACTGGCTATAACGAATAAAATTGACATGGTTGCTTTCTATATAGTATATTGCGTAATTTATTATTCAGTAAATGGGCCAAAATAAATCACACATATAAATAAATCATAAAGTCTATGAGAAATTAAACATTTGATTTGTTGGCCAAACTCCATTATTTTACTTTTCCCATTTAGTGTGAATAGCTGGAGAATTAACTTGTTGGTTCGATGCTGTCTTGTCTTGTGTTTTCTTGGGTCGCATCCCAGGTGGTTACTGGATTGCCAAACGCTTGACTAATCTTATATGCCACCTTTGCGCTTTTCTCTGAAAGATACAGCAAAAAACATTTAATCTATGAACTGACTTTGTCTTTTACTCTCTGTACATATATATTAAACTTTGTTTCTTACTACAGTATACAGTATGTAATTTGTCTTGTTACATTTTAAAACATCGGTCATCTGTGTCAGAATTAAGATAGTGCGAATGCAAAAATTACAAATTTATTTGGAAACACATAAACGTAATCTTTTTATCACTTTTCTGTTATCACTGTTGTCAGCAGTTTTCTCTGGGCTTTTCGGTAACGATATTATATTTTTAAAATGTTTAAAATTCGTTGTCTACCCTTTATTGATCTCATCGCTAATTTGAAATAAGGCGTGACAAAGTACGACGATGCTAAGTATTTTTGAAACTTGTCAGGCTAGGTTTTGTTTTTAGATAAAAAACAAAATACAAGCAAAAGACGACAAGCCTATGCTTCGAATGCGAAAAACCAAAACCTTACTGATGGCCCTTTGGTAGTCGCTTATTCTTACATTTACCAATGATTGTTTGATAACTCCCAAGCCCGGTTGCCATTTAAACCCATCAGATCAGAATGCAACCCAGAAGACTAGATTCAAGAACCGATTATGTGCACAGTGACGTATATCATCATACCGGACAAAAATCTCGAATCCAGGTTCCATATAAAAGAGTGTCCCTTTCGAACCATAAGATCTATTACTGAAATACATTTTAATAAACAGTTTGCAAAAAGCTAATGGCAGTGGGGTAACTACTGTCCCCTGCTTTAGAGGGCAGGGAGGAGGGGTGGGCAGTTGCACCCATAGACCCGCCGTTCCAGCGCCTCTTGGTAGTCTGCTATATTACATTATCTAAATGGTTATTAAACGATTTGTAGACCATATTTTGAATGTTGGTAGATGTAAGAGCACTGTGACAGTTTACCTTGGTCGTAATACTCTCCATCAAATGACCTGCTACCTGAAGGTATATCAATCTTAAAAGATGGCGTATCTGATGTAGTTGGTTCCTCTTGACCCTCTTCTATGGTAGGTTCTGACTGACTTGCTTGTTTGATTGGCGGGAGCTTCACGGGTATTGAAGTTGTTATCGGATTCTGCGTCTTTCTAGGAGTTCTAGGAGATCTATAGTTTATTTCTGTTTTGCTTATGTTTGGCAGACGGGCTTTTACATCTATGTCTGATGGACGGGATGGTATGTTTGCCCTGGGGGTTATCATTTTATTATCAAAATCAAAAACCTGAACATCCATTGGAGTGTCTGATTTATTAGGTTTTCTAGGCGACATTGTGTGGTCCTGTTTATATGTACCACACATACTGGATATTGGATCCCCACTCCAAGCATTATGCCCCCCATCTACAACATCTTTTCCGCAATGTTGACATGCCAAATAACCCAAAGACAACAAGGAAGATGTTGCATGTCCATTTCTGTTTAAACATTTACATGTATAATTGTTATTAGATGCCCGTAGTCCTAAGCGAGGACTATCGGTTCCACGCCTATCTAGGTCTAAGGATCTTTGACTATCACGTTCAGCTTCTTTTGAGGTGGTCTCCTCGTTTCTAGACTTTCTCATGGGCAAAAGAGGACTTAACTTTAAATTTGGTCTGGCTTTTGGCAATCTGTGTTTTCTCCAAGACAAAACCTTGTCAGTATCTAAGACTTCATCATCACTCATATTAAATCTCAACTGTCATGTGTAATAGTATGTTCAAATAAACTGTAAAAAAGAACAGTGTACAAGAAGTTCAGATTCATAGAAAATCTTTTTATGTGGGAGGCAAATCAATCACAGATCCGGGATTGTGTGTAGGCCTACTGAGGCCAAACCATTAGGGGTCAATCAAAAAGAGATGTTCCACACTTGCTAAAAAAAATTGAATGACGCAAGTTTTGCAAATTGCTCTGCTGGGGATATATTGCCACACAGTTCTAATCAATAAAATGAGAATCTTCATCATATTCATTCATTCTAGAAATATAGCATAACATGTATTGGGAATTAATATTACTTTCTTGGCATTTATACGCCTACTGTAAACTACAAATATCAGCGAATGCTCACATATTTTACTGCTACTGTGACCATTTTCGGCAAAACATTTTCGATTTTATATTACAGGCAGTTAATAATCTGTTAGTAAGAGTTATCAAGAATAGCCTTGTTATCTTACCTTCTGCCTGACTGCGTTGTTAAAACTCCACAAGTTGATATACACTGTTTTAGAATGCACGCTTGATTTGAACCATAAAATAAATCTTATGATTAAAATAGTCTCACGAGTATATAATTAAATACCCTTGTCATGTCCTGTATACAATTTAACCATGCAAAGTTGCCTTAATAATACATGTATATCATTCCTAATTATAGGACATATATAAATTCAACTTGGCACAAAACCTGTTTATAGATTGTGTTTCTGTTTTCTCATTTTGACAGTTTTAAAGATAAAAAGAATCATCTTGACTTTATATTAGATTCGGTGTCACAAAAAAGCCTGTCTTGTATTATAATATTTTCTAAGGGGACTAAATGGTTGCAGTAATAGCGATTAATTAATTGTGTAATCTAGCCTGTTCAGTAATATTATACATAACATACATTACATTCATAATAAGAAACCATAAGAAATCGATCGGTATTAATAATAGAGTTACCTTGATTAATAAATTGATTATATTAGTGTTACGTAACATTATACTTGTTCTTGTATAATTGTGGGACCTTGAAAAACGTATTTTTGGGAAATATTTAAAATAAACGTAAACTCTCTTAGTGGAAAAACAAGCACAGATATTTGTTAAAACTCTTTAAAAACAATTGGCAGTCAAAAAGTTGACCCAACTTTGAGAAATAGATATTTTATTCGGACAGCCAAACACCAGTTTAATATAGTCCACCTAATGTTTTTTGATGGATTATATATCTTCAATATGTGTAGATTCAAATCTGGATGATGCCACCCTGGCACCCTTGGGGAATTTAGGCTATAAATTCAAGATGGCCGTCATGAGCCATTTTCTGCTTATTTAGTTGGGTAAAAGTACTGACAGAATCTCTGGTAGCTCGGTTTGGAGGTGGTTTCTACAAGAATTCTACCCACTGAACCCAATGAGGTTGGTTATCTCTCTTAAGAATGACGGCTAATTCCGCTAAGGGGCCAAATTCAAAATGGGAGCTCATTTTGGCGAGAAAAAAATAATAATGTCCTCTATATTATTGGTGTGTGTATATAGGTTTTCGGGGTACACTTATTCAGATATTAACGAAAAATATTCTCCGACTAAAAGGTGTTCCAATGTCCACTTTATTCAAAATGGCGACCAGATTTGGCAGGACATTTCGATATTAGTAATGTGATGGTGTAATACGTTAAATAGTAGGGGTTTTTTCTGGGTCGTTGAATTCATAATGGAACAGCTAAATGTGCCATAACGAAATGCCAAATGGTTCTCCAAATCGACATAGTTAAGTTTATGAGACCATGGAAGAAAATAAATTGTAAAAACTTCTGTATCAATTAAGGGATTAAGAGCAAGGCATAATGAGCATTTATAAAAACAACTACCTCGAGGACATTCTACTCCTTGTATTAGAACACAAATTCTTCAAAGCCAAACACTATCAACCATCGGACCATCGTGAATAGAAAGCAAATGTTTCTAAAAGCTATTTGTTTTACTCAGCCTAGCGGTATTATCCGTCACTGTTGGGAAATGTCCCCAAGATCACTGGATTCTGCGGGTCGATTTCTTTGAGAAACCACCTTCAAATCGAGGTCCGAGAGAATATGTATGAATTTTACCAAAGTAACCAGAAAATGCCTTATGTCTGCCATCTTGCATATTTAAATTTCCCAAAAGGTGTCAGGGTGGCATCATCCGGATTCCAAATCGACACATATTTAAGATCGAAAAACATTAGGTGGACTATATTTTGATGTCAAGGCTTAAACTGGGGTTTGGCTGCCGGACTAAAATGTCGATTTCTCAGAGTTGGGTAAACAAATTTGTCTCAAATTTTGCATACAATCAAAAAAAGAACATTTATGATGTAGCTGTAGAGTCAAATCCATTTTTAACACGCGGTCAATTGGTCTAAAGCTATAATTAGATGGAAAGATAGAGAGACGTGCTTCATTTGTCTTCACCCCTATAATCTCAATACTGAAAAACAAATAACCTAAGCTGTTATAATCACATGAAATAGTATACTATGTTTATATATCTAGGTATATCAGATATACATCGTAACATGTAGTAGGTACTCTATGTAAACAGGTATTTATTTGTATATGCATACACTGTAACACTGTACCTGCTATTATATCTTATTTCCCTGTTAAATATAACTGTAGTTCTATTCTGAATATTTGCTTTATATATTTAATGCAGGTCAAACAAAAAATCCATTTTGAATAATGTCAATTAGTTTATCCAATCTCAAATCACATTAGATAAAATATAAGATGTGAATACATCATAGAACAATATGCTTCTAAAATCCAAGTTAAAACTATTGCACCAATTTAATGCATTGTGCACAACAATAGGTAAGCTTACTCTTACCAGAACCACTGATACCACTTCTCCTTTATTTGTGAAATTCAAATATAACTAATTACAGATGGATTAGTTTAAAATATATTGGCTCTGCCATTGGTATTCTAGAAATTTGTAAGAAATTGACTAGTATCATGAAAATAAGCATACCTTGATGTTTCACTTTTACTCAGTCACAATTGATGAAATGTTTGACATGAATCAAAAGATTATTTATAATATAATAACTAGACTCTATAATAAAAGGTAAAATATATATTTTATTCTGATTTATAAGAGGAAAGATATGTATAATTTAGTACATATGTTATGAGACTTTGGTGAAATAAGGGAATAGTAATTAAATATTATTTAAGATAATTAAAAGGCAACATATAACATAAATATAATGAATCATAATTTATTACGTACAATAATCAACAGAGCAACTTTTACAACATATCTTCAGTGGCTATTAACCCACTGACATTTGTTGCTGTTTTCTTGTCAAAACAGTTCCACTACTTGGAAGACAATAAAGGCTTAAGTTGGCACAAGTAAAAATTGCCTTTCTCTTTGCCATTCACAAATTATATTCTTTCAAAATTAATGAAATTTGAGCCATTTAAATTAAAAACTAAGCTTTTGGAAATATTATTGCACTAATATTATGAGCCAGGGATTATGCATGCAAAAAAATATCACTGATTAAATATATTTTAAAATAAAATAAAGGAAACGTAAAAAAAAAAAAAATTGAAAGAATTTTACCTCAACTTTGTTCACAGTAAGCATAAACTGTATGCATGTCCTTAAGTGTGCAGGAATTTTGATAAAACGGTGGGACAAGTGGTACCACTACTAAAACAATGACAACAAAATGATTTTATCAGAGATGAGAAATTTTTAAATAAAATTCATTACTTATAATAAGGAGTTTATATACGGTAAGTGATAAAATAATGTTTACAAAAAGTAGTCATGTTTATCTTTATTCAATACTGATAAATGTAAGTTACTGAGGGAAGAATTCAACATAACAAATCAAATCGGATAGGGAGAAGACAAATAACACAAATATTCTATATGCTGTAACTAGCAAAACTCTAACTACTGATACCTTTTCGGATATTACTATTTTTATTTGCTCTGTGGTTTTAAATATTTTTGAACTGGTTTATAAATAAACATTAAAATTAAAAAAAAATGAATAATCTGATCATTGATAGATTATTAAAAGTTCATTAACAAAAATTGACATTCTAACTAAACATTTATTCCTGTTTAAAGCATTAAAGCAGAAAATGATAATAATCATAACTTGGCAAAATATTATAATGTAATAAAAGGATTAAATATACATGCAATTTTAAAGAAAATACTGATTTGGTGTGCTATAAATATAAGGTGTACTTTAGAACACATTTAAAATCAAAGGACAGAAGACAAACTGGGATTAGTTTAAACTGCACATTGAGTATTTCTCTTGGGAGCTAAGTAAGTTTATTTAATAAATCTGGACAAGTATTGCCCAAACAAATTACCAGTACCAAATCAAATTTTGCAGAAATCCATTAAACAGTTAAGGAGAAGTCAAAAAATACATGCCCTGGTCCCTACCTCCATTAGAACAAACCATAATAAGTGCAACCTTGAGTAACATTTGTAATTTTTTTAAATCATAAGCTGACGGGTGCTTTCAGAGAAGAAGTCAAATTGTTTAAATTTGAACCTGTCCTGCTCTGCCCCTAAGGGTTCTAGGTCTTAAATTTTAACAAACATTTATTTTTATCACCTAAAGATGATTAAATCCTTATACGGCATTTAGTAACTGAACATATGATATAAAACACAAATTTATATGGAAAGCAATCACTGGGTTTATTTCACACTACGTTTCAACAAGTTCCTAACAAATTTTAAAGAAATACATCCAGCCATTGTTAATTAAAAGTCTATTGAAGATTTTCTAATTTTGCACTTTACGGAATGCATGACCAGCCCCTATGGGGGCCAGCAACTTTATTTGAACAAATCTGAATAAACAACACCTTGGCTGCCAAAACCCTTCGAAATCTATAACTACTTATTTACACCAAATGGTGGGTCAATGGGCTAAAAACACAAGCACAAAAAATTAATCTTAAAAATTAAAGATAACAAATCATTACCATTAAAATAAACCTATAATTAAAATATTGCAAGGAAGTCTTAACTAAAAATAAAAAATATATTTATACTGTAATAATAAAGACACATGGCCAATCTAATTAAAATTAGATTTTTATTTTGTGTTTGACTTGTTAGTATTTGTCTCCTATACATAAGATCTACCCATAACTACTTCTTTGCCAGATATCTCTTCTCTCTGAAGTCCAACATAGCCAATGTGAATATAAAATGGCATAAAAATGAAATAAAAAAAAAGACAAACAAAGGTAAGATCTCTTTTAAAATTCTTCTCCTGATCGATAGTTGTAACTAAGAAAAGTAGGGTCACTAGACACCCTGTTATTATTTATAAAAAAATTTTTGTATTATTAGAAATAAAACAATACAAGATTAATGTACATGCAATTGAATAATTTTTATGATTAATGCTTATAACAAAATATATACTAAGATAGGTTGCTGGGTAACAAAACATACACCCACAGCAAACATCCAAGCAGTCCGCAAGGGTTGATACTTCTTTTTTTCGTAGGTAATAATGGGAGCATTTACAAGACAATACAAACTGATCAAGAATAACAATCCATTAAGTAATTATCAGATATAATTAAAATTTGATTGGCTTCTAGTTCTTCCTGATACTAACAGTTATTATACAGAACTGACACAGGTGACGACAATATACAACTACATATCAATGTGGAATATAAAAAATAATAAAACTTTTTTTTATTATAATGAAATTGTTATGGCGTGATGACAAAAATTCAAATTGCTAAAACAATTAATAAGGTATAAAACTATTGATAACAAAAATTTAAATCTAAACTATGTAATAAATTAACTTAAAACAGGAAGGTTACCAGATTAAATGTTGAACCCTTGAATGTGTTCTATGTGTACTGAAATAGAACACTTAATTCTGATTAGGTTCAAGTGGTAACATTACATTGCATACAGTATTGTTATTCTATGTTACTACAAAAAGGACACTTTATATTTTCCTATGACAAAAGTATCCATTTTCATATACCATTTGGTGAGTTTTGTTATTGGAATAAATGTATGAATACACTAGTCAAGATTTTTTGTTATATATATATATATATATTAAAGGCCTGAAGATGTTCCGATGGAACTGAAAGCACTGGCCGCATAATACTGTGTTTCTTTCCTCAATATTTTAATTTTCATATATATATATGGTGAATATTTAACTGACTGAGCTTGTTTCAGATTTTAAAATTGAATATATGAATAAAGCAAATAAAACTTCACTTTTTCATTACTATATTATATTAACTGATAGATAGGACTAACTTCCGGTTTTAACTATCTTTTGTTTTAAGATAACTCGGATAATGCTTAGTTTTTAGACTAGGGATAACACAACTGATATAGTGCAGAGATCATATCTATGAGTAGTGGTATTAAAAACGGGGCCTACATAAATAGTTAAGAATAAGGTCACACAGATCATTAAGTCTTTCTAATGGCATTCAAATTACTGTTGACATCTGTTTTGTTCTGCCAATCTTCAGAAAACATTTTAAACTGTTTGCTGATTTCTTCATGCATCTGCTGAAATGTTCTTGGATTTCTTGCTAAAGTTTTACTGGAAGTAAACGCAGCCTCTTGACCTGTTGCAGCATTAAAGTAATTAACACTGTCCCAGTCTAAGGTCATATTTTTCATGGAATTAAAGGGATTTTTACGCTTTACTGCAGCATGAGATTTGGGTGCTTTGAAGCTTCCACCAACAGCCCCTGGTGAATTTTCATACACATTTGAGAGCATATTACTATTACGATCTGCTTCCTGAATCACTGACTTAGCTGTCTCGGAGCTAAGCTCACTTAACTTAAACTGTAGTTCAGATACCATCAATTTAACATAATCATACCCGGCACAACTTAATGCTTTCATCCAAGATTCCATTATTTCTTGGCTTTCAGCACTTATAACGTATGTTCGGCATCCTGAGTGAGGAAAGACAATTTGAAATGTAAAATTATCAGTGTTTTCTGCTAGTTCAATTGTACATCCTTCTAAAACTATCATTCCAATGGGTTCACGATCTCCTTTTTTCTCGTAATAAAACAAAAAATTTCCCTTTAACACAAACCATCTCTTCTGGAAGCCCTTGTTCACCTCTCCTTTTTTCAAGAGGTGGCCTTCTTTATCTGCTGGTGCTCCAGAGCCAGCATATAATGCCAGTCCTTTCTCGTTTATTATCTTCATTCTACTGTTTGAAGATCTTTAGGCTATCAATGACATCAAGATTTTAACATTTGGTTTAATTCCATTAGTACACCTACCCACACCTTGTAGGTAAAATCTGTTGCTGATAAATGACTTACATTTAAGCTTCTAAAATTCCTGAAGATAAAAATTAATAAGATTAATTAAATGAAAATTGTGTCTATATTACTATTTAGCTTAATTAAAAATATTAATACAGAAATTACTTGGAGACTCAAACCCCTCGAAAAACACATTTTTGAAATTCAAGAGAGTGGTACCATACGTTATTCTGTGTTTGACCTCTGGTTCAAAAATAAAACTAATAATTGCATTTATGCTTTGATATATTTTGTGAGATGACAAATTTTAGTTCCATACATAAAGATAATATTTCAACAGTTGACAGATTCATCCAAAAGTGAAACTAAGCTTAACAATCAATCAAACCACATTCCACATAAATTTAACCATTTATAAAGAGCTTGCCCCATCACTGGTTGAAATTACATATCAGATCAACCCAACCCAAATCTAATTTACCCAAGTCAAAGCTCCTTTAATAGAATGCATTTGAGGTGAGTGAGCAAGTGTGCAACAAAAGGTGTATCCACTTCTAATACTGCTGTCCTGTACAACTTTCTTCTATCTATAATTTAATTTAATATGGGGTGGATAGAAAGTTAGATACAAGGATTTGTCTTTTATACTGATCACAAAATTATACAAATGGTCGATTAAACACACACTAATAAAGTAACTGTGCATGATTTTCATTTTTCCAAAAAATACTGTATAAAATTTCTCATGGCCTATAGGCTACTGTAGGCCTACTCAGATTGATTATTTAACATTTGATTTATATGACAAAATCAAAATATCAACGCTAGATAATCTCCCGGCTTGCAGGATTCAATTGGATTAAATATAGGTCCACCAATTAGATTTCGCAGAGCATAAAAGATTGTGGTATAGACTTGTTTACGGAGCGGCATATAGATCGCTTGAATTTCAATTCATCAAATCTTTGTTGATATAGCTACTGAACTGTGATTACTGTTAACCATTTTTGGACTGATAGTAATATATTACATTTTGGCCTACTATAGAAATTCATCTTGTGCAATAGCTTGCATTGACTTCCTTAGTTTCCTATATTGCTCAAATCAAATCAAATACAGAGAGACTCAAGGTCTTAACTCTAGTCTATACCGTATAGAATTAGGACTCAGAGAATTATTTAAATACTTGAAAGGTATCAGGAATAGTTTGCATAATATTAGTAGTATCACTCATTCACTGATCCCTAACTAAAGTATTCCAAAGATGCAGTAGGCTAGTGTTATCACTTCTAAGTTCTATTTTATATCAAAATTCTCACGTCCTCTCTGTCAGGCAAATATGGCAAAATGAATATCAATATCAAAAATCAAACATTTACTCACACTTTGCACTGTAGTCATTACTGGCCCGTTTCATAGCAATAAATGTGGTTGTGATCTATTTAGGTCACTGATATCATTAGGGCAACGGCTTGTAAGCACTTATGAATTCGATTTGGAACACTTTATTACAAACAAGGTCATACAGTCACTTTTACTTTTTAGATTTATTTGATTCAAGTAGGCAGACGAATTTCATTTCGATTCCGAAAATCAATTTTATAAGTTTATAGGAGGGGTTATAAATTAAGTGAAACAAAAAGAAATTCATTAATATTATGAATAGAAAATACTGCCCAATTATCTATCATTATGAAAATATAATTGTAACGTGACGAATATGCAAATGTATTCCTATTAAATGAGGAGAATGTGTTAAATTAAACAACAATGTATACTCCCGTCTCACGTGATGTCACAAATCATGTGATAATTACAATATGGCGGCCCTCATGCAGCTGTTTAATTTTCTGCTCTGTTTACAAATAGTCTATTCGAATTTAAAAGAAAATGAATTACAAACAGCGTATGTTACGTATAGTTATTCATCTAAAACCTTTTCTGTGGTTGACTATGAAGTAAAAGAGTGGGTTGCTAAGGCAGAGTTCCAAAACTCCGTCAACGAAACTTGGTGAGTGCTATCCAATTCTGTATCAATCAATGTATGCATTTAAATGATTTATTTATTATTATATTATTGTTTATTATGATATACATGTTTTAAATAATGATTGGGCTCGAATTTAGAACGTTGTTTGAGGGGCTGTTAACAATATTGTGAAAGTTCAATCTCTAAAACTAAAAGTAATACCAGTCCACAAATTGTTCATTTCAATGCAGTATATTATTCACAATACTCAGTCTCAATTGAACATTCCAGAATAGATTTTAGCTCTCAATCACAAATATATAGTGACAATGGAGTGAAACAGGCGTTTTAGGTCTGCAATGCATGCGTTGACTGACAAGGTAAATATCTCAACCAGCCAGGACGGCTGAAACATATCCTTTATATGTCACAATTCTAGGTACTCACAATACCTCAGTTGTCGGGACTGACAGAACTGTTACAGGATTAAATTATATGTCGCTCGATTGCAACTTTTGACATTCTTTATTAGGAGAAATTTGCCCTGGCAGTAACAGATATAAATCGTGGCATTATCAGATATTTTTGACATGTAATCCTATAGTGTTTAGTAAGAAAAAAGACTAAATAAAGAATACAAATAAAATAAAATTGTAAAGCAAGAAAGAACAAGGCTAGAGAGATGTAGATATTATTAATAGGCCCAATGTATTATAATGAATAGGTATGGCACAGGTGACAAGCAGGTCACAACAGCAATAATACTGCCAAACTTTTTAATTTGTATGGAGTATGGACTGAAAGTCTGAAATATTGTGCCTTTAATAAGTCAAATTTATGATATGATATTAGTTAACATAAGTCTTTAAGCTAAATTTGTTCCCTACTTCTTACTTCTTGAATGATTCATGGTAAGTGTATAAATTTATACGATATATCTAGTGAATTCTTTTTGTTCATAATTTCAGCTGGGCATATTTAGATGTCACATCTAGTTCATCTTATAACAGCTCTTCACAAGCCTATGCTGCTGGTCTGGTTGAAGGTTATATTACTCGTGATATGATTGCTATGAATTGGCAGAATACAGTAGCTGGATATTGTACTTCCCCTTACAATGATTATTGTACAAGACTACAAACATTCTTGCAAACCAACTATAAATGGGTCTTGGAACAAATAAAGCTGAATCCAGATTCTCCATATTGGCACAATGTATGTGAAACTGTCAAGCTTAGTTGTTCTTATTTTTAAAACAAATGTATAAGCTAGCAATCTGTCGGGGAACGTTCTGCAGAGTTTCTATCAGTGTTGTTTTGTTTGGGTTTTTTTAAACATAAAAACTGGCTTGTATTGCTAAGTTAATTATAAGAAAGAAATCTTGTATCAGAATTAAGGGTTAGACAACAATGATTTGTGCCCTGTCACAGAAGCTATGAAAAAGATGGAACACTTAATTTGGAAAAGCAGTAAAATTGAGACTAAATATTAAGGCTTATATTTCAATTTTTAATGCATGGGAACTTATATTTTACAATAACAATTTTATTTGTCGACAAAGGTAAGCAAACTATAAAAGATTTTTTAAGGTACTACATGTTAGCCACTTTAATATGAAAATATCAAATGCAAATTATATAAAATTGAAAAAATATTAACATTGATATTTGTTTTTAAAACTGTGCTTTATAAAAACAACTTTCTGTTTTTGATACTTAGGTAGAGATGTTCTATGCTCAGTTAATGGGATTGGAAGATGGTTATCTTGGTACTGGACCTGGAAAAATCCATTATAATTTAGATGTATTTGGGATGTAGTAAGTACATTATTATTATTTCAAAGAAACATTTATTAATGTGACAAGCCCATAATTCACTTCCTGGGCCATCCAATGGCTCTGAATTTCAGTAGATTAGAACACCGCCGCCATTTGAGAGTATGATTATAAAATAGATACTCAATATATTCATTTTCAATATCTATTTTTGAACTATTATAGCAAAACGACCAGCTCTGTATCTAATTCTTACATAATGTATCATTAATAGCTTCAATAATTTAATAATAACAATTTCATTTTCTCTGATTTTATTCATTGGACTAACCTAACTCTATAATAGGTAATTAAAAGGGAAATATTTATGAATAGAAAAGTAATGTAGAATCTGTTAGTTATATCCACTCAGTACTGAAAATGAAAAAATATTGTTACATTGGGGTATTCATTTTAACATTTTATCATTTTATCTGATAATAAAACAGAGAAATAAATACTATACATGTGCCTTTCTTCATGTCCTATATTCAATATCATAAATAATGAGATGAACATGTAGGCCTATTGTAATGATAGTCGTTACTCTTATTGAATACAGTTGGTTGATCTATGGACATAAACATGCAATGATACAAATGTATTTTCTGTTCAGAATGATTGTCAATAGGAGCAAAGATATAACAACTGTTGTATAAATGAAACTGAATAACTAGTTATTTATGTGCCTGTAAATTAATATGTTATATTTTCAGTAAAATTCCACAAAGTATAGATGAATCAGGATATAATTTTGAAACTATTGTGATATATGCAAACAATTCAATATAACCTAACACTATATGTTTAGCATGTTGCAGATTGGAGGTGATTTAGAAGATTTAGAATCAGCACTTCATAAGCCTCAACAATCCCGGGTGTTGGGTTCAGGATCATGCTCAGCTCTGATAAAACTTCTACCAGATTTTTCTGACCTTTACGTTGCCCAAGACACATGGTCAGGTTTCAACTCGATGTTACGTATATTGAAACGTTACAATTTTCCCTACACTATGACTGATTCAACTTTAGGTAAAAAAAGATTTCACTACATTTAGATACTATTACCAGATATCATAACCAGAACTGTTAGAATTTTATTAGTCTCAAATTACACATGATATCTGTTGGTACAAGCGGGTTAAAGTCCTTCACCCAAAAGCCTGTCTTCATTAGCCCAGTAGAAGTAGGACAAACCCCATTTCACTTCCTTCACTTAAAAGGGTCACGTCTGCCAATAATTGTAGTATATAGTCAAGCAGTAGTAAGATGTTTTATTTTCATCCCTACAAGTACCTGTGCAATATTCATACTAACCATATTAGGCACCTTGATGAAATTCCAGTGCCAAATCGGTCTGTGTATTTTATCTGGTCTGAAGAAAACCTCCTAGTCTTAAGCGATGGACACACTAGCCGAATGATTTGGCTGAATCAATCGGCATTGAAATTCACAAGCATGTTTGATATATTCGCCTAGTGTGTCCGCTTCGTCGAAGCATTTGGACGAATATAGAATTCATTAGCCAATTACCACTCATCATCCACTCATATCGAGAAGTCACATGATTGTTTGAAGATATAGACAGACGCCGGCATGTTTAATCATGTGACGTGAAAGGTGATGCAATCGACTGGTGAGTTGGGTGAAGCATTCGCCTAGGGTGTCCACCCATTCGGACGAATAAAATTTGGCACCGATTGATTCGCCTGTGTCCACTGCTTAAGTCATTAAAAATATAATTTTTGAAGACTTCTGCATATCACTAAGCTAACATACCTTATTTGAAGGGATATTCAATTTGCAAAACAAAGATCACATCCATTTTAAAATATGTTTAATGCATTTACTAAAGAAATATGGAAATTATATACTGAAAAAACTGACAATGGGGAATGGCAGATCACTTTTTTCCAGTGATTTGGTATAATCCAAACAATTCATAACCCCATCTACTCATCACACATAAATTGTGTCTTTTGTGGATTGATTCCCGCAAAGACTCAAACAACAAACCTTGGATTATTATATATATGGTACTTAAGAAATTGCAGTGCAGGGAATTATAGAAGCTTAATTTTTGAATTAGCTAAATTTCAAGTTCGGTCTGTTACAGTTTTGTTCATTCAGTATTCTGTACTATACAGAATGGAAATATATTTTAGAAATAGGCTTCTAAACACAAGTACATTTATAATTGATGAACAAAATTGTGCAACTTACCTCCCCTTGACTACACAGATTCTGAGTAACATTTACCGGTATACTGTTGGCCATTAAATGACACGATTCAAAATATCCAAAAGTGAGCTACAGTATAAAGCAAAATGTTTTCTTAATGTTCTTGCTGTGGGGAAAACTTGAATATTGTTTGTTATTATTCCTTCAGTTGGCATTGAATCCATTTTTTTTATACATCTACATTAAAAAAATTTTTGTCATCTTGCTGTCTGTTGGTTTAACCATCTAGAATCCTTGATGATGTTCTAGGTTGTTATTGGATCTTTTTTTTTTTAAATCAAACTCCAGTCAAGTTATTGCCCTTGATTACTCTGATGAATTTTGTGGCCACACTCTAGCGGTAAATGTTATCGCACAATTGACTTGAAGTCCATGTTTATTAGATAAATCTTGTGGCCACTCTATGGAGACTAAATTTATCATCTGTCTGACTCAAAATTGATATACAATATATATATAATATATGAATTTTATGAAGCCTGTGAATTTTTAACAATTCTCAATAATCACTCGATTTCTTAAAAGTTGTTACCCTTGGTATTTTGCCTGTTCCCTGATCTACCAATCATTTATAGTAAATAAAATATATCTTAAAAAAATATCTTATTTGTGTGTCAAAAAATCTCACATAAATCATCCTTCAATTAAATTTTCGGGGGGTTGGATGGCCGAATGGTTAGCATGTGCGCGCTGCGCTGTATCATAGTCTGTCATTGAGTCAACTGTTAGTCCCGAAATGACCTAGTTTGTGGCGAGTGGACGTTAAACCCCATTTCTCTCTCTCTCTCAATTAAATTTTCATTTTAAATGCTGCACTTGTTTATTAGACAAGGTAATAGCTGAAAATATAATACTAATAGTTTATTTATAGACGTTTTATTAATTATCTAATAATTGTTTTCTGAAGAAATTATTGAGAAGAACTTTTTTTCTTTTTTTGTTTTAAAAAAGACTTGAACATCAATAATACAACCAATGAAGGGTTTCGAATGATCTAGCCCTTTGACCGATCACGTGATTGACATTTCCCCTCGATGTCACGTCTGATTATTTTACTATCTCTCTCTGTCTGTCTCTCTCCCCGTTGTGAAGTTACTTCTCATTGGCTTAGAGGCGACAACCGTAGGCATAATGTTATTTTGTTTTTGGGATTTAACTGACTGAAAACATAATATCTACACAAATAAAAGATAGATTCTTAGAAAGTACTTCTTCCTTTACTATTATAACGGCTAAAAATAGAATAATTTTATCATTAACGCCCACTAGGTCACTAATTTAAGGATACTGAATAATTTATTTCCACCAATCAAATGCCTTCGCTGTAGCCTCCCAGGGCATAACAAAAGGAAGGCTGACATCGAAGAAGCCATGAAAGTTAGCGAATACAACGAAAATTTGCTGAATTGTGTGCCATAGCAGGCGACCCGTGACGTTCAAATTCTGTGTATCAGACCTGATTGTTTCTGCTGCATTATTAAGATTTTTGTGTTGTTTATCCTGTGAAGCGATCGTCTGTGATTAACGAACTACTGAAAGATGTCGGCTGTCGGAACTCCTACCGTATTTTCACTGGTTGAGCCAAGTATTGCATTTGTTTGTGTACTACCACTAAGAGGCTGAATTCGACACATACTGCCTTTTCGGAGGAATTTATTGATGACACTCTTTGCATTAAAATTACAAGGAAGTGAACTATTAGGAACTTTCTTTTGTGCTTGATTGGTTTAGTAAGCAACTCGCCGAATAAAACCCCGTTGACCTGGTTAAAAATGGTCAATGGCTGAAATTGAGGAAAAGTAGGTCATTGTGACTGTGGATGACACATTGACACACTGAAATATTGGAATTGAAATCTCTTACAATTTAACTCATTTGAAATTAATAGTTCTTACAAATATAAAGATGGAGGTGGACCCACCAACTTCAAGCACCCCACCAGGCTCCAGTTCTGGGGGTAGCATCCTAAAACGATCAAACAGTGCTCCAATGATTAATGCTTTAGTGACCACAGAAAGCTACACTCAACCAAGCACTTCAACGTTTAAACATTCTGAAGCATCACGAATCCGTCGGTTTAGTTCAAGTAATATGTCCCTTAACTCAGCTATGGGGATGGGCCTAAGCATTAAAATTCCAGATCGAATAAATCAGATTAAACAGGAGGAAAGTCACATTTCACACCGGGAAACTGCACATGAACGTGAGGTGCGATCAGCTATACAGATATCCACATCTTGGGATGGATTTAGCCTAGACGATCAAGACAACATGTTATCTATGGAAACACCCCCCCCAAGACCTCGCTCTTTTAGTGAATCACTTCACATGCTGCCATCTCCAAATATATTGTGTGGATCACCATCGCCAACACGTGTAGGAAAACAGTGTTTTTCACCATCAATGCATGTGCCAATAAAAAACAGTTCCTTTACGCCAAGTCCCAGTCCAAGTCCCACGCGTAAAACATTTATTCGAAGTTTGAGTCCCATAGCAATGAGACCAAGTCCTTTAGGGAAGAGAAAAATTGACTCTGATGGAAGTGATCGATATGATTATCTAAGTCCTCCAAAAAAATTTCATACAGGCCCAAGTCCACCAGACAGAGATCGTGTTCTAGCTCATCCTTTAGCACACAGTGTATCTGGTAGTAGCCTGGAAGAAAATAGTCCTGAACAAACAGTGCCTCGTTATCCACCAACAACTGTTGAATCACAAAATAAAGACATGTACAATTTTATGCCTCTGCGAGAATCTCAAGACATTCACATGACAGATTCAGAACATTTAGACATGAATGAATCCCATGACATGTCCGAGTCACACGACACAATGGCAACTAGTTCAGATGGACATTCCACAAGAGGCTTTCAACCGATCAAACATGGGCATGTTTGACACAAGGAGAAATGGGGGAGGAACAGGGAAGGTCTATGCAATATCCAGAGGTGAATAGGGATAGATTTATTGTAAACATGTACCATTCATGCTAGAAAACCTGCAATTTGATTATAATATTGTTTTAAAAATTTGAATCTTAATTGGATACATTAAATGTACATTGTTTGAAACAATATTTATCAAAAGTACAGTGTACATGTATATGATGCATCAACTTATTAAAAGTGATTGCTCAAATATTTAAAGTTCGTAATTCCAATAGAGATTAAACCATTGATTGTGCTGCATGACTGAACTCTTGTTATGGTTAAACAAGCTGCTGTGCTCTGTGTTTTGTGGGTGTTTTTCTAGTTGCTTAACAACCCGTCATCATGAATTTTTTATTAATTGTCATTTAATAAAAAAAATTCTTTGATTTCAGAAACGGTGCCAGGTCGAGTATTGACATTTTCATCTTACCCCGGGGCTCTTACATCCGGTGATGATTATTATCTGCTTTCCTCTGGCATGGTAGGTTACCATAGTTACTAATACTCTTTTATAAATCAATATTTAGATGCTTTGTGATAAATTCTATCAGTAACTATTCATTCAGTAAAGGAGCGGTTGGGGGTGGGGGCGGTTAATGATTTTTGTTTTTCAGTTTTTGGGTCACTGCAAAAGCAATATTCTTTGAACTTTTGGGATTTGTAAGAAAATTCACCATCAAATTTTACAGAACAAGTACATATACTGTCAACTGTGTATGAGGAGTGCCAAGAATTGATACTTGTGCAAAAAAAATCAATATTTTGATACAGTGTTAAAATTTTACTACACTATATTAGAAGTTGTAACTTATCACATGTATAATGTATCAACGGGTAAGCTTTTTGTTTGAACAAACATTATTAAAAGTCATATCTTTGTCAGTTTCTTGTAAATATAGCTTTGAAAATTGACTCCACACAGGAAAATCTCTAAAATCACTGTTTTTCAAACGCTAACCATGTATAGTAGCCTTCCATGAAAAAATATGAAACTTTAGGGAAATGTTGCTTGTACATCTACACATGTCTGTCAATGAGGAAAGGCCCATCTTTGATATTTTACACCTTTATTTTTATACATCCACATTGGTCAGATATAGTTGTCATCCCTGTCCGTCCGATTGCTTCTGGGTGCTCTAAAGACTAAAGTTAATATCCGATTTTACGATGTCTACGGTTTTACTGGGAAAGTGTGTGTGACTTCGAGAATAAAGCTATTTTGAACGTTCTGTGACAATGCGAAGTGTCCGAAATCACTGAAGTTGTCGTTTTTAAAAAAAATGCCGTAATCTTGCAATAGTCAATGGATTTAACTTTCAATACATTTTGGCATAGCCGGAGAAAAAGCACACAGCTACGATATTTTTTATTTTTGATTTTCGGCAAATTTTTGTAGATATATAGCCCCAAATTTAGAAAATTTAAAGTTTTACTAAAAACTTTTTTATTTATGAATACTGGTCACCTCACAAACACCGGTCCCTATAACATGAAATGACCCACTTCTAAAATACCAATAAGATCACAGAGAGCAGATACATACATATTAAGTACTTACGCAGCCTAATGTTGAAATAAATGTAAACACCCAGTCCAGTCATGTAACATTTAAATCAAAAATCCAAGTAAGTATTGTTTAATGGTCGAGAGCGAGACATTAAGTAATATATTGTAACAACATGAGGGCAGTAGGCCCGAATGTTTTTACAATATATTACGCAATGTCGTAAGCTCGAGACCATTAAACATCTTAAAATACTGACACTCCGCACGAGCTTTTACGTCACACTAGTCCAATATCTCACTGGTATGAATAAAGTACTATTGGCAAGTTGCCCGTACGATTATTTGAAATAATGGTACGCCAACATCAAAGGGTGACGTCACATCTGTATTTTAACACAGAATAATATACATGTGCATGATTCCCCCATAATATCAATAAAATGGTTGAAACAATACCATCATTAGCCTCACCTAAATTGTAGTAAATTATAAAGAAAATGATAGTAAATGTATACTCTTTAGTACAGACAAGCTCACATTCAGAATTCTATATTTACAGGTTTCCATGGAAACTACAATAGGTAACAGTAATTCTGATTTATGGAGGTTTGTACAACCAACCGTGAGTGTCTTAGAAGGGGTGCGATCTGTTGTAGCTAATAGAATAGCAAAATCTGGTATGGAATGGGCTTCAACTTTCGCGACATACAATAGTGGAACGTAAGTGGGATTTTTGTCTATTGTATTGCAACATTTAAGGTTATGGATATCGTCATTACCTAATAAATAAGAACCATATCGAAATGCAATATACCGAAATGGTATATCATTGAGTTAATTTTGACTTATTACATGCCCACATGTCACAAGTGTTTAGACCTATATTATTGTTGTCATTTCTGCCAATCTGCCCATCCACAATTTTCTCAAACACTTGACGGGTCAGAGTGCTTGAAATTGTCTTCTCAAACTTACTTGGATCATTTGGCTAGTCCCAAGGTGGAACCCTATCGAAATTCAGAGCCACGAAACACTTGAAAAATCTTATGGACATTTTAGAGGCTAAAGTTAATATCTTGTGGACAATCTAGAGGTTTAATTTAATATCCTATGGAGTTTATAGTTGTACACAGTGTTAAGGTCTTGAGATGAAGAAGTCTGCATATCCTGTAATAAGTTACACTGTATTTGATTAGATGAATTCCGCAAAATGGCACGTCTAGTGGTCATTTCGGCTAATGGGAAAGCAAATTATAAACTGTAACACAGTCGCTAATATTCAACCGCAAACCGGAATAATTAATTTTTTCATTGGCTAAAATTATAACACGTCATTATTATTCATGTTTTGTCCAGTCATATTTTGTGTACTAAATTATGCACGCCTTACAAAATGGCTAGCGATGCCTGGACATAGGTAAATTCGCGTACCGGTAATTTATTGATCTACAAGGAAATAATAGTGGTCCTGTTCATTCGTTAAACTCAAGAAACGAACGGGACCACTATTATTTCCTTGAAAATCAATAAATTACCAGTACGCGAATTTACCTATCTCGACTGGACTCTGATGGGTATTCCCAGCACATTTACGTTCGATGATATTGTCAAAACCGTCTTATCACTCAGCAAGCGAATCATATTTCGCCTAACTGAAATGCTTCCATTGTATTGTAACACAAGAATACGGAAAATTTATATCAAAATATGGTTATTTCATATTTTAAAAAGTTAAACAAGAAGCCACTTCTTACCAAATTTTAGTTTGTTATTAAATTTATTCAATTAAATATTTATGTTTTTATTCTAACCATGGACAGTGTATAGATGGACAGGCAACGTCCATGAAGCCTTTAGAATTCTGTACCGCGGCAAAAATTAGACTGGACAGTCGTGACTAAAATAAAATTACCTCCCCTTGCGCAATTACTAGTATTAAGTTTAAAAGCAAAGAAACTTTAGAAACAGAAATCAATTCATAATATATTTATTAATCTTGCTACTCTTTTTTTTGCAACCCATACATAGACTACTAACTGATGATTGGGGTGTAAATGTATCAACACATCGTCTTTGTTTACTTCAGACGCGCCTATGTGAATCCGTAAAAAACATTTTTGAGATTTCGTTAAAAAAAAACCCTACTAAAACACTCTTTTAATTTTTACTTCTGCACAATTAATCATCATTCCGGACAGTATTTTACCTGAACTTTATTATCATAATTTTAAAATCCTTCATACATGCAGGAATTTGGAGTATTAAGCCAAACCAAAATGCTTACAAATCCTACGAAAATATTGAAATCGATCATTTCACAATTGTCAACTGCTGCATTTGGAAATTTCAAAGTTCTAAACTGGAGAAATTCGGCACTACTGGATAGGAATACTTATCGGGTTGAAAATTTACCATGTAGCTATAAGAATACCGTAATTCTAAGGAGTTTGAGAAATTAATCTGTATGAAATCCTGCAATGTCAAAAATCATATTGCTTGATTTGCCGTTGACATTGAGACCTCGTCGTGTCTCGTGCAAGCGGCAGAGAAACCAACCAACGGGACTCGTTGCCTGTCCATCTATATACGGTCCATGTTCTAACCAATAATATAAGTAGATTTTTTATAATATTAAAAAAGGTACACACTTTGTGTTTTGAAAACCACTTCTGTTGTGTTTACCGCACTACCGCACATGATTGCCAGAGTGGTGGCAGGAGAAACAAGGAATCAATTCAACACGGCCTAAGAGTAAAAATAGGTTATTATTAATGATTAACAAAATAAAATTGCTTTTTGTCAGAGTGCATTGTAAGGAAGTCTCAGCAAGTTTCTGAACATTGACAGTCTCCCTGTTGTACGTGACAAGGAGTAGGGTTGCCTGTCCAACCTTTTGGGTTTTTCCAGGGTCCTCTGGTTTCCTCCCACTCCTAAAGACCCCAGCGTGCAACGAATTATTAAAACAAAATAACCTAGTTTGTGTTGAGTGGACATTAAACCCCATTTCTCTTTCTCTCTCTCATTTACAGTCATGGTCACCATTTATAAGATTTATGAACGTTGTTTTTCAGGTACAATAATGAATGGATGATAGTAGATTATAAACAATTCCAACGTGGAAACCGTAATCTTAAACCTGGTCTGCTTGTAGTTTTAGAACAGATTCCGTAAGTTTGTCAGCATATTTACAACAAAAATAGTGAATTATTTATTTATTTCTACATATTAAATCTTAAAGTAGCTAAGTCTCTAACTCAATATCATCCAAAATCTTCAACATTGAAAACACGATTTATTTGTCAAAGTAAATCAACATTCATGTTGTGATCTTACCGGGAAAAGATGGGCTTTTGATATCCAATATTTAAGACAAAATAAACATTTTACCATTGGTACACGAATCGTGTACCATAATGCGCTTCAGCCCCAGTTGTATCAAGAGACTCGAGGGACGAGGCTAGACACATTGAACCAAATCAAACGGCTTATGTAGACTGGAATAACCAGACGCTAGAAATTTGCACTCATTTGAGACTGCTGGCTTATTTCGCCGAACATAACTGATTTGAAATTGTAGTAAAAAACGGAAACCATTGAATGTAAATCAGTTTATATACATTCATATTACAGTATTATATGCGTTGCGACCCACTTTTGTCAATTTCTAGGTCCCAAATGTTAGCGATTTAGCTCCTTTAAATAAGATTGTTTAATATACATGTGTACATACAGAAATAGAAATAGTTTAAATATTTGAGTATGATATAAAGGACAGTTGTTTATAAACAGGTATTTGTTATTTTCAGTGGTATGGTCACTTATCAAGATTTAACTGCACTTCTCCAAACTAATACATATTTTGCCAGTTATAACGTTGCGTAAGTATTTGTTTTAAATTGATAATTTATGAGAATAACCCATCAGCAATGTAACACCTATATATTAATAACGATAGGGTACAGTATTCTTACATTGTTCATGTTCTGTTCATGACAACACTTGGGTTCTGGTAACAGAATGTAATCAACAGATACACTGCATGATCATATTCAGCTTATATCAGAGTTTATCTATCAGGTACAACAATGCTACGGTTTGTTTCTACATTTTATATCAAGCCTGGATACATAGTTTACGAGCATAGGTTAGATTACAATACTTAAAATTAACATCTTTCTCTCAACCCAAACCCTAAAAGTCCAACTAGCGTTGGTGGACTCAGGAAACCGCTACATCATATGGTCGTCTAAAGACCCCAGGCGATGTTTAACACTAAAGAATCTACATGATGTCTGTCTATCGACCAGAGCTCCGATGGTTTTCTACCCTTTGGTTTCGGCTTTTAATTATCTAATTGGTCAAATATGACGTAATTAATTATAATGATGGTTACTAAGTAAGCCATATGATGCAATAGTAACTTTCCTATTATTAGTGATAAACGTGATATTCTGTTTTCACTGAGAACCAGCTGTTTTGGTTTTTTATCCGCCCACATTGAAATGTGGTCGTATATTGTCGTCGCCCCCGTCCGTCCGTTAATATCCGATTGACTTTAAATTTATATACATGAGACGAAGAAGCCTATTGATTTTCAGCGATTTCCGATAATTACTGCCAGAGTTATGGCCCTTGATCACTTCAAAAGATCTTGTGGACGCTCTAGAGGCCAAAGTTAATATTCGATTGTCTTTAAATTTATACACAGTGTTTAAGGTCATGAGACGAAGAAGCCTATTGATTTTCAGCGATTTCCGATAATTACTGCCAGAGTAATGGCCCTTGATCACTTTAAAAAATCTTGTGGACGCTCTAGAGGGCAAAGTTAATATCCGATTGACTTTAACTTTATACACAGTGTTTAAGGTCATGAGACGAAGAAGCCTATTGATTGTCAGCGATTCCCTATAATTACTGCCAGAGTTATGGCCCTTGATCACTTCAAAAGATCTTGTGGACGCTCTAGAGGCCAAAGTTAATATCCGATTGTCTTTAAATTTATACACAGTGTTTAAGGTCATGAGACAAAGAAGCCTATTGATTTTCAGCGTTTTCCGATAATTACTGCCAGAGTTATGGCCCTTGATCACTTCAAAAGATCTTGTGGACGCTCTAGAGGCCAAAGTTATTATATCCTATTGATTTTAAATTTATACACAGTGCTTAAGGTCATGAGACGAAGAATCCTATTGATTTTCAGCAATTTCTGATAATTACTGCCAAAGTTATGGCCCTTGATCACTTTGAAAAATCTTGTGGACACTCTAGAGGCCAAAGTTAATATTTGATTGACTTCAGATTGATACACAGAGTTTAGGATCTTGAGACGAACAAGTATATTGATTTTCAATGAATTTTTATGACTTGGAACAGCTAAATCCATGATACAGTATTAAAAGTTTTGTATACAAAACGTTAGCATGGGGCAGAACTTTATAAAAACCAAACAAATTCTAATGGTTTTCTGAGTTGTTGCTCTTAATCAGATTTTAGTGTATTATAAATGTTTCATTACAGAAAAAAGTAAAAATATGCGACAACTCTTATTGACTGCCCGGACGATTTAGCTGCTGTGGGCGTATGTTTCGTTGCCTGGCAACCTATCTTTAAGTCTTTTTATATGTCAACCCATCACTCATTTCATTTAAGTGTGTGAGATATGACTTCTCTGCAAAATGAAACCCAATAATTAGTTAAAGTTAAAGATATAATATAATGAATGCTATTATTGATTTATAAAGTAAAAATTTGACTAATCTTATAACATACGGACTAAAATTAAAATCCATACTTCATAAGCATATATGCTTGTTTTATTGAATAATGTAGTTCATCAGGGTTTTCTGACATGGTCCCTCCTTGAATAGAAACTGGACTAGATACCATAGGCGTACGGGGAAATTTTTTACTGGGGGGGCGGTGGTGGTTGGTGCCCCAAAAATGTAGTTAGGTTCTTAGTATGTTACATAATAATCATAATATCTCTTTTGCGATGAATAAGTTCTTAATTTCTAAATCATCAATAAAAGAGAACTAAATTTTATTTACTTGTAATATACACAACTAAAAACAGTTGTTTATGTAACTGTAATTCGTGGCTTACTGTACTCCAAACAATAGAGGGTTCGAGTCTTAAGATTTCTATTTAATTGCCTAACTATAGACCATGGGTTCCACGTCGGCCGTACATGCCGGTCGAGACCTACGGCTATGGAAAATGACCGTTCCTAGATCTGACCTAACGGTCATTTTGCACACCGGAAAGAGTCTTTTTTTCCAAAACCCAATTTTCAAACATGGCTACGATCGACCTCCACTATATGTAACTATACAAGAATGCACAGGTATAGAAGTCAATCTCGTGATTGGTGTTATAGAGTTGTATAAATACAATAGTCGTCAACAGATTATACTGAGTGTTGTGTTGATAATTAATGATGAGTGTCTGGTAGAGAACAATAAAAGTTAATTGATAAGTGGGAATCTAATCAACGGCGCGAAGCGGTCCATTGTTAATCATTCACGTATTGTCCACGTGTCAGAGAAGGATTTTCAACATCATAGCCGTTTACCGCTATTACGGTCAGGCACAATTTAATCGAGGTTATTATGAGCTTTGAAAAAAGGCAATTGATATAAAATACTGCTCTTCGCATCCAACCAACTGTCATATAAAATAAAAACAGCATAGAAATTACGGAAGTATAGACACTCTGAATTTAAATTCGCTGTTAAATTGGACGCCTTCAAGAACACAATATTTTTTTATACAACTTTTACAAAGTACAATTGTGTGCCCAAATTCTCCCAGCATATGGTGCCCAAAATGGGGGGGCGGCCGCCCCCCCCCCCCAGCTCGTACGCCTATGCTAGATACTATTACTCAGCCATGTGCTAAATGCATACAAAAAAATATCTCCGTGTTTTTTTTCGTTCAGATGGGACGAAAAACCGAGGTCCCATGTACACATAAAAGATCTCTTGGCATAAGAATAGGCCGTAGCGCGGCTGTCCGAGCAAAATTCCATCTTAGTACACTGTAAGGCATATGCCCATCTTCATTAGCCCGGTCAGAGCAGAACAGTAGGACATTAAACCCCATTTCATTTCATTGGATAAGGTTGCTTGTCAGTCATCTACACTTTAAACTGAAATAGCAAAGACAAAATAAAAACCAACTGTACATAATTATGTTCAAAATCATGTATGGTCCAGTTTTTCTAAATTTGATTCCCATAATGGAATTGCTTTAAAAATTAAATGTGAATTATTTACAGATATTTTCCTGGAGTATTTAATGCTAGTGGAGGAAATGAAATGGTGAAAAAATATGGTGATTGGTTTTCCTACAATTATACTGCGAGAGCAAATATTTTCCGTAGAGATCATGGAAATGTTAGAGATATAGATTCCATGATGAAGTTAATGAGGTATGAATAGAAACTCAACTAGATACTATTCCTCAGCCATGTGCTAAATTTATATAGAAAAATGTCTTTATTTTATTTCATTGTAATTCTACTGACTCCAATAATTGACAGAGAACTATAATTTGAGAAGTGTAATATATGTATATTTTTAGGTACAATGATTATACCAAGGATCCATTATCTCGATGTAATTGTACACCACCCTATAGTGCTGAAAATGCCATCTCGGCCAGAAGTGATCTAAATCCCGCAAATGGCACATTTTCTATATCTGCATTGGGTCATAGAGCTCATGGTGGTATAGATATGAAGGTAAGAAGTCCCATTAGTTTAGGTTGTATTTAGAATATTTGCATAAACAGTAATGTTTTTGTATTTCAATGAGCTTCATATTTCAATAAATATTATTCAGTAAGCATATAGATTCTGTCAAAAGATGCTTTCTATTCTTTTAAAAAATGTTAATTTAATTTCAGTTAACCAATTTTGAAATGTTTAAAACAATGGAAATGGTTGCTATTGGTGGTCCGACCTACGACAATCTTCCCCCCTTTCAATGGAGCCAGTCTGACTTTGCTTCCCATATTTCACATTTAGGTCACCCAGACAAATTTATGTTCAAACCAATTCGATATAATGGTACTGTTCCAGCAGCTGCTTACCCATAATTAGTTTTAACTGTGATATTTTTGTCTGCATTGGTAATAATCAAGGCATCAATGTAAGATGTTACCCTGGTGTTTATTAAGATAAATGTCTCACCAATATTATATAGTTTAATAAGCTCAAGAAATTTATATTATATAACTAAAAGTTACACCTTGACAAGCACTTAACCAAGGTGTTTTTAATTTTATATTATATCATATTCACTACCCAGTGTGGACTTCAGATTTATTGAAAATTTAAGCACTTTTGGTCAGGAATTGACTAATAACCTCACATTTACTTACTATTGAATATGAACATTCCTGATCCAGTTGTATAGTCAAATTACAAGAAATATTTTTACCACTGGCTGGTGATCACATTTCATTCAGTCTTTTTGTAAGAATTTGTGGATACTGTTAAAACAAATAATCTTTGTTTTGTTGAAATCAGATTTCACTGTCCATGCTGAACTTCTTAAAGACCTAGGATGATATTAAGCAGTTGTCATTTTATTGCATAAATACAACTAATCCACAAGTGACTTATCAAGACTTATTTATTACTTATTTGGTGAATAATGATGTTGAAATTTAAAAGTTAGATTTGTTGACATGTATTGTATTTCATTGACAACAAATAACTTATTTTTTTTATGAAGAGTATCATTAATAATTATGTACATGTGTATTATTATTAGGCAAGTTTAAACCATTACTTTTTTAAATGCATGTTTGTTTTGGAATTGAGATGTATACATGTAACATAATATTTTGAATAATAGTTACCATCTTGTCAAACTATAATAATGGTTTTGTAATATTATATATTCAAATCATGGCTTTTATATTAATAAAACTATTGCCAATAATATTTGTATCTAACTGTAAATTGTACAATATTTTGATATTATTATTATTAATGAAAGAATTGTCATAATATCGACAATATTATGTTACTTTATGTAGATTGTAAAATTTAAATATCATATGAAATCATTTCCCCTTTGCCTTATAGAGGAAGGTAATTGAAACTAGTCTTTTACAATGGTGTCTATTAAACAAAAACTAGATGGCATAATTATATTGCTCACGAATTTAACCTCAATATTGCCTTTATACAGTAATAGTAGTTATTAAATGTTTTATTAATAAACAATGTTTTTTGTGGTTTTTTTTCATTCACAAATAATATATAAAAAAGAGTATTTCATATAAAGCATGTTTTTGTATCAATCTAATAATAATGTTTCAACTGAATAGTCTTCCACAGTGGGAGACAATTGAGATTTTGTAAAAGATGGCTGCTGAATTTTTTCTGAAATTTCACTGTGTGTAAAATTTGAACTGATGTTGTCAAAAATGATATAAATTGTGATTGTAACTTTGTTTGATATTATATTATGTGTAATTTGATTGTTGATAATTTGTATTTGTTATATAAGAGATAAATATTAAACACAATATTCAATAGTTGGTTGGAAAGCTTTGTTGTTATAATATTTAACATATATAAGTTTGTTAAGTGCTAAATATTTGGTATGAAATTTACTTTTTTTGTAAATATGTTAACTACTTGTAAATATTTAAAGAGTGAAGAGATCAGTGTGGAACTATATTATTTAATTTTGTTGAAAATAAACTGTTTAGTTTTGATAACATAAAAGTTTTTTCTTTGTTGTATTGATAGTGAAGGACTCTCCCACCCCTTGTCCAGCTACACTACAAATCAGCTTTTGGATCCTGTTACAGAAAAGAAAATATAATATATTAAAGATTTTGATCATAAAGAATAGCCTTCTTAACATACTTTCTGCAATGGACAAAAAGACTTTGTTCAGTCAAAATATTTTTTTCATCTTAAAAACAAACTAATGGGAGGGCAAAACCTAAATCTATATTTCTCAAAAAGCTTACATGGATTGAGATGAGATTTAAAAGCAACATCTGGTACGAAGGGGAATTCTAGTCAAAATGGGTTCAATTTAAGCAGCTTCTCAAATTTAAATTTTTACTGAACTTCAGTTAATGATGCATTATGTAAGATTTAGTGAAGAGTGAGCAGCTAGCCATATTTGCTATAATATTTCCAAAGTAGATAATTCAAAATTAATATATTGAAAATTTCATTCAAATTATTTTATTCTGAGCGACGGTTTCACTGTTTGAAGTTTTGACAAGATGTGGTATAGAATGTTTATTATCGTAGCAAATTGTTAGTTGTTAATCAAGACTCTGCCTCGCTCCTCCTTTTTTTAATAAAATCATTGATTATATTTCAGTCCGTTTAAATTTCCGCCATCCGATGGTACAGAGAGTTGATTGTAATTTTTTTTTGTCATGTGAATAAATGTCTAAAAAATATTTTTTTAACGTTTGCAATCAGAAAAACATCTACAATAGGCAGATTTAACGCTTTACATAATGCATCTTTAAAGGACATTACTAACATTTTTTAAACATTTGCAATCAGAATAACACCTGCAATAGGCAGATTTAACTCTATACATAATGCATCTTTAAAAGACATTACTAAGGGCCACAGATTTTAATAGTAATATAAGTGCAGGAGGACCGCACTACACGCAAAACAAAAATCTACAAGATAAACCTGCGGACAAGACAGAAAATAGACATTGCACCAAATAAACAAATGTCAAATCAAGTGAATGAATCCGGGGGCCAACCGGAAGCATCCACTGCGCTGCACAGTCCCGGGTCTGTTATGGTACAGGCTTCACTAAAAATGAAAAAAAAAAATGATTTACAAAAAAGACGTAACAGAAATAATGCGACCAATCTTGACAGTGGTCGTCTCTTCAATGGCGATAGTCTGCCAGTTGACGTCATGAGTTTGAAAGTCAAACAATTTTAACAATAAGGGATAGAATCTCGGAAAACGCTAAAATAATATGTGATATTAATGGTAATCAGGATTTCAGATATGATTTTAACATAAAAATCATTGCTATGGTTCATCCACATTTTAGTTTGCTGATGATTCCTCTGAAGGTTGAGTGTTGTTATGTGATAGGCCTACTGTTAATAAGGACAACTGATTGCTACAAGATCCGAAAAAGCAGTGAGTACATCACCTAGATTTTATATATGTCCACATTAAAATGTAGTATATTGTTATTACCCCTGATAGATTTTTAATTTTAAATGCTGTGTTTATGTTCAAGAGATGGCGAAAGCATATTGATTTTTAATGATATCCAACTGTTTTGCTCCGATGGGGCAAAATAAGACTGGCATACGTCAAAGTGTGTTATTATTATGAATACTATGAATATGATGGAAATTTGCACGTATATATAGCAGCACTACGGCCTATTCTTCTATCGAATTCCAACTACCAAAATAAGGGATCTATGCCAATGTGTACACTTGACTTCAGTTTTTCATCCCCTTTCAGATCAGACAGAAAAAACGAGGTCACATGTACCCGCTTGTGTGCGCGTAAAATAAATTTTTGACAGTTGGAAATTCAAAATAATGAGTAGGCCGTTATAGTGCCACTGGCCAGACACCTTTTCCCTTACACTGCATGACATGTCCATCTTCATTACCCCAGTTGGTGCAGCAGAGTAAGACATTAGGCCTACATTTAATATTGACATCAAATGGAATACACGTGTGATAGGTATGTCCAGAAAATAATGTTTTTAAGAATATACCAGTCAGTAAATAATCAGATCTACTAATTAAGAATCTAAACTGAACCTTGACCCTTGTACAGTACTGCATGTGATGTGTATATAGAGCCACAGCCACCAGACAGTTAAAGTCAAAATATTGATAAATAGGCCTTAAACAGATATATAAATGCCTTTCACCTTTCATAATTGATATAGGTACATATATGTTATCAGGTTACTCTTTATCTTGATATTAAATACCTATTGTAATTATCTATGGTGATATATTAAATATATTGGTGTTATATGATTGATTCTAAACCTATACAATCATATGGTCTAGATCCAATAAGATGAAGGTTTGTTTACCAATACTAGCAGTTCTTATATCATTCAGGTTTGTTAAGTTTGTTTTCATTTATTCTAATTGGTGTAAATTTAGTAACCAAAGGTCACCTCCCTTGAACCACCTTTTAGTTTTATCTTACTGATGCTATGCTTTAAAAAAAATCTGGTACTTGATCGAAATGAAGTTTAACAAGAAAATGAAGGTTGCTGACAGGGAATGGAGTACTGACTGGGCTGCAGCCAGGAACCCCAATATAAAAGTGACCCCTAAATTAATTCTAACAAAATTTTTTTGTGATTTTGTTTATTATGTTGTACATGTATAATAGGTTTGCGCCAAAAAAAAATCTATCTATGTACCATATTGGCACACACATTGCATTTGTGTCGGTGTGACAGACAATGACTGGAATACCTCCCCTTTTCACTGTTGGTGTAAGAACCCAAGTGCCATATTCAGCCAGGAGCACAGTGATGAAGCTTTATCTGGCCCTGGCTACCTGTCATTTCAGATTAATAATGATAACTGCAAAGTTAAAATTCTAACCAGTGATAGTACATTTTTAGTTATGGTGCTGATAGTAAAGAACCATTAAGAACTTCAGCCTGTGCATTATATGATGTGACACAGCAGAAATTTGTGATTAAAGATGGCTACCAAAGTGGCTGTATTGTATCAGGCCAGTTTATAAACTCGGGAAATACAACCGGGTTAGTCTGTTTTAATTTATTGATTTTTATTAAAGATTCCTGTTTAAGCACCAATCTGAATCAGGAACATTGTGGATGGCACATTAATAGGACTAAAGGGTGATTTACTCTGATGGGATAAAAACAAGGGTGATTTACTCTGAAGGGATAAAAACAAGGGTGATTTTACTCTGAGGGATAAAAACAAGAGTATCCTTATCGAAACGTTGCTTAGTATTAAACTCAGTAATTGGGTATCCTTAAAATTTTACCCTGTGTTACTAAATAAACATTTTTTTTGGAGAATGTTGTACAATGTCGGTAGGGTAGTCATATGGGAGAAAGATAGTGACCATTTTATGAGCGGAGACATGGGTGGAGTTCTTGGTAAAATAAATTACTATCGTTTATCTAGACTATAGAGCTAGAACAAGGCTTCAATGCAGCAGAGCCAGATTATGGAATTGGTTGAGCCCTAATTCATGCATGCACAATACTACTTAACCAACGATTATCAAATATATTGGTTGTCATGTTGCTTTCCATGCTTTTCTTTCATTTGTGCTATAAAGTAGTTGATTTAGAAAATAACAGATAGAAAATAAAAGGATCTTGTCTGATATACTCCTATTATTATTGTTATTTTTTAAAGCAAGCTGGTGCCGAACATTGACTATAATACAGTATAAAATTATTTATCTGTCTAATGTTTTCGGAGCATCAAATAATGATTTTGTGTACTGTAATTATCTTTAAAAAAATAATGATAATACAATGTTTAAGTTTTTCTTGTATTTCAGATGGGGTGAATTAGGTATTAAAAGTGTTGATACTAGTCGCAGTTGGAATGATTCAGCTATGGCTTATGCAGCTGGTTTAGTTGAAGGTTATCTTACCAAAACTCTGATTGAACAATTCTATTTCAATACCCTGGCAACCTATTGTCCATATACATTACCATGGACACCATATTGTAGTCAACTAAATAAATATTTAATATCTAATCTAGATTGGGTGCGTAGTATGATAACAGATAATCCTCAAGATCCCTACTGGTATCAAGTAAGTACAATACAATTTTAAATGTCTTAGGCCTGGGATGCAGGGCTATGGGTGTAAATGCCCCACTGCACTCAAAAGCGTTGGGCAATTACCCAAGTGCCCTTATATTTTTGCTGAATGTTCTTTAAAATATAATAATCCAGCAGTGTATCTTTACAAGTCTTCAGAGCTAAGTGGTTCAATGGATCACTCTTTTAGATGGAACCTGAATCTGAGATTTTTGTTTGTTATACTTATATATGGGAAAGTCCACCAAATTGGTTCTTTTTCCTAGGGGGGGTTGGATGGCTGAATGGTTAGCGTGCGCGCACTGTATCATAAAGTCTGTCATTGAGTCGACTGGCGTGGTTTCGAATCCCCAGTTGTACGTGGCAAGGAGTAGGGTCGCCTGTCCAACCTCGTGGGTTTTCTCCGGGTCCTCCGGTTTCCTCCCACTGCTAAAGACCCCTACGCGCAAGTGAATTATGTAAATAAAATTAAACCATATGTTAGTCCCGAAATGACCTAGTTTGTGTCGAGTGGACGTTAAACCCCATTTCTGTCTGTCTCTGTCTTTTTCCTAGTGATCTGAGTTACATTCTGATCTGATGCGGTTTAAATGGTAACCGGCCAGAATACATCAGATTTCACTATTTTTGCACCAGAATTTGCAAAAGAAAGTTCAAGGGACCACCCCAGGTGAGAGAACACCCACTGCCACCACAACCTTTCCCTTTGAACCTTCCTGTGCTCCTGTCTTAGGTATATTTTGAACTCTGTGAGCATCTTTTTTTTTATGTTTGCTCTGCAGATTAAGGTCATTTCTTTACTAATAATTCGTCATTTTATCAATTCACTTGCATGCTGGGAAGTCTTTTTCATGTATTATACATGTATATAGCACTCAATAGTGATGCTTTGAACCTCACATCAGTCACATCCCAAACAAGACAATTTGTCCTATAGATTTGAAGGTGTTTCGGCATATTTCAAACTGACAAGGAAGTGTATAGCTTAGATGGTAATTAAATTGTGTGATTGACGATTGGAATTCAAAGGGAATTCAGTAGCAATTTGGAAATTATTGAATTCCCCATGTATATAGTAAATAAATATATGTATGTTAGTCTAATATTGACCCAGATTAAATGATCATTCCAAATAGTATGACCAGGTAAATACTATACATTTAGTACATTTATTCATATTGTGAAAAGTAATGTCCATAATTAAAGACCTGAGATTGAGTTATTATTATATATTATAGGTGAGACTATTCTATGAACAGTTAGCTGGTTTAGAAGATGGGTATAAAGATACACCAGGACAAGTTCATCTAGATATTGATGTGTTTGGACTATTGTAAGATCTACCATTTAATTCATTCTTATTTTTCTTGGATTAAATTCAAACTAATTACATGTAATGCACGAGCTAGTGAAAAAAGACATCCATTCCGAAAGATCTAAGATTTTATTATCTTTCCCTACATGATATCTGAAGAAATATCAGGAGTTTTCTCTGCCAGTTCTTACTTTTCGTGGGTAGCATCTATGTGACTGCCAAGGAAACTTGCATAGTCATTCAGATTGATTATAAACAAAGGTCCACTTGTGACAAAAACCCACGTCCATCCATTTATCAAATGTTAAATTAATTTTGTTTTCTCCCTCCTTCTGGAGAAAGCAGGGAACAAATGAAAAGGCACACTATGCTGCTAATTGATGTTAGTGTTGATGTTAGTGATAAGCAATTTGATTGGTCAATGCTTTGTTAAATGATAATTTTGATTCTAAACGAGCGAGAGGGATGAAGTAGAGTAATAAGCAGTTTCATTGGTTGAGACTTTCGAACACAATAACTTTGATTCTAAATATTGAGAGTGATGAAAAACTCAATCACATCGACTACAAGTGTACCAGACACGGACATCAGCCTTGATTGCTTTGTACCTATTGCTCATTGGAAAGCAGACATTTTATGTACTATTTTTCTTTCTAAAGTTTAATGCAGATAAATGATGATTTGGGTGATTTAGAGAAAGTTCTGGGTAAACCAGGAGTAGGTAACTCTCGTCCAATAGGTCATTGTTCAGCATTGGTTAAATTATTACCAGAATATGATTTATTAACATCACATGATACCTGGTCTGGTTATAATACTATGTTACGTATACTTAAAGTTTACGATCTACCTTACTATACTACAGTACAGAAAACAGGTAGGTAGCTGTTTATGCATTATGCTTACTACATGGTAGAAAAGTGGAATTATTTGTAGGGGTTATCAATCTGGTGCCGCTTTGTTATTCCGATACTAAATTCTTATTATTTTCTTTCATTTTCAGAAAAGATAGCTGGTTCCAGTATAAGTTTTTCATCCTATCCTGGTTATCTTTATTCATCTGATGATTATTATATTACTTCAGCTAGAATGGTAAATAACAGATTTATGTTTAAGTAATGTATAACGTTTATAGATTTAGTAGAAATATAGAACAGAGTAAAAACATCAGAGGATGTATCGGCTATTTTGATTGGTCGTTCAACAAAATTAGTAGACCATTGAAAACAGTTGCCTGTATGGGCATAGGGCAATGGTTAGGGAGATTGTCAGTATAGCTACCTACAGTGTGATGTTACATAGTAGCTTGGGTGTTGTATGTGACCCAACATCTGAGACAATATAGTGAATTTCATAGTGTATTCCCATTGCTGTATTCCTATTAGAATTGTCAACAAAAAAATCAAGTTTTAAAGGATTTTGCAAATGTCTGATTGCAATAATCAGGAATTGTTCAGTGCTAATAATATTTTAATAGACTTAGTAGAAAATTAGTTTGGATTTCTGTTATTCTAAGCAGCAGAATTAGCCTTCATCTACAGTGAGAGGTGGGAACCGCTGCATAATTCTGTGAATTCCTAAACAGAAGTCAGCAGAAAAAAACAATATTTTCAGTATAAGATATCCATGGTCAAAGCATTTGTGATAGAAAGTGGTTTTCCAAGAATAGAAATATCAGTTTCATGTTTCTGTGTTCATTGTCTTGCAGATTGTCATGGAAACTACAAATCCTACCAATAATCTTACTTTGTTTCATGGCCTGAAACCTGAGGGAATCGTCATGGAAGGAATACGAAACCAAGTAGCCAATCGAATGGCTAATTCAGGTCTTGAATGGGCCCAGATTTTTTCGAAATATAACAGTGGAACGTAAGTTAAATGTGACATATTTTCAACACTCCCATTTTACACATATTGCAAGGGTTAAATCTTAGTAAATTTCTAACGGGGGCACTTTAATAAGTCTACTAATTTATATCATTCCAAGAAAAAGAAAGTTTCAGGTATTTTAATTTCAAATTCTATCTGAGGCTCATAAAATATGTAGCAGTAACCAACTAATTTTAAGCAAATGTAAAAAAGAGAGAGAGAAACCATTCGGCCACCGAACTCCCGACATGTAAAAAGGCATTTGCATAAATTATTTTAAACTCCAGTTGGACAGAAGAAAAAAAACCCACAAATACCAAAACTCAAGATATATACTGTAACATAATTAGCTAACATATGATTTGGATGAATTTTATTTCAGACTCTAATGTACATGTAATTCCAAATTGTTTTTCAAGGATTTTGAAGTACAATTTAGTGAATTTATTGGGTGCATAATGATTGGATGAGCAGATTTGCAGCTCGTCTTTACAATTTATACTAATTTTAGTAAATGGTAGATGGAACAATCTCAGTTAATAATCTTTGTTTATTTTTGTATAGGTACAATAATCAATGGATGGTAGTAGATTATAAACAGATCACAGAATTACCTCCAGCTCGACTATTAATGGTGCTGGAACAAATACCGTAAGTTGTTATTCCACTTTTTTCAGCTTTGTTTTATGGCTCAGCTTAAATTGCTATGGGTTTATGAAAGACTTCTTTTTTCTCTCCCTATTTTCTGTTTATTAAATTTAAGTGTGAAACCCATTTTGGTGATTCATGTTATTACTTGAAGAGCTTACAACCTGAATAATGAAATCTGACCCAGTTGTAAGGCATTTTTTTTCTGTGCACAATAAAATTCTGACTCTAATTTCTACTACTATTATAAAGAGATTTCGAAATCAGTAAGCAATAATCTATAACAGTAACTAACCTTTTAACAATAACATAAATTAATATCATTCAAAGATTCTTTCCTTTTTGTGCATGTATATATTCATCATGTTTTTAATAAAAGTTTAACAGTTTACAATGATATGTTTTATACTTCTAGAGGCTATATACATTATGAAGATCAGACAGAGTTATTGATGAAGAAAGGTTATTGGTCTAGTTTCAACAGAATGTAAGTACATGTTACATAAGTATTATAGTGAAATGGGGTTTAACATCCTTCTTTTCTGCATCGACTGGGCTAATGAAGACTGGCATATGCCATACAGTGTGCTATGAAGGAAATTTTGCCTGGACAGCAGCAGTACAGCCTGCTCTTATTTCGATTTCCAACTCTCAAGGGTTCTTTTACGTGCATGCTAATGTGTACAAAGGACCTTAGTTTTTTTTGTCCCATTCAAATGACTAGACATTGTCCTTGCCATTGCAAGGAATAAACAACAACTATCAAATCAAGTGAATGGATCTGGGGACCAGCCATAAGTGTCCACTTCTCTGTATTTTGTATTTTCAAATTTTATTTCGACCTGTTCCCATGGTTTGCATGAGAACCCTGGGCACTCATATTGAATTACCCAAAGCAAATTATTCTAAGTGATAAGTAAATTGGTATCTGATGTTAACTTCAAACTGTTAATATTCTGTTAACCTACTGACCTATATTTTATTGGTGTATAATGCATATTTTGAATCTTGGAAATTGAATATTCAATTTTACCAGGTGTATTTTGAATATTGACTGGTACTGGTGAATATTGAAAATTGGACTGGTGTATATTGAATATTGACTGGTGTATATGGAATATTCACTGGAGTATATTGAGCATTGCCAGGAATATACAGTAGAATATTGTCTTGTGTATATTAAATTCTACAGGAGATAGAATGATCTATATTATTATAGATTTTCTATTTTAGCTATTATCCTGATGTTTTTGAGAGGAGTGGAGAGCAGGAATTAATTGATAAATATGGAGATTATTTTACACATGATAAAACATCAAGAGCTCTTATATTTGATCGAGATCAAGGGAGTGTCCATGATATGCCAAGTCTTTTCAAATTAATGAGGTAAACCTTTTATTGTTTTTGTGTAGACAACATCAAAATATGCTGTTCTTGAATCTGGACTGTAATGATGCAAATTAGAACTCGCGTAACATCTTGGATTATGGCCCCTGATTGTATGAAATATCGCAATTTTAGCTTGTGGTCTCTCTAAAGGTCCCAATTTGTATCCAATTTTTAAAACTGTTTCAATTTATCACCATTACAAAATAAAGAAGGTTGAGACAGAAACTGCCTAACAAAATGACCACTCCACATATGCAAATAGTGTAAAAGTATGTAATACCAAATTTTATCTGATTTTGATGAAACTTAAAATATATGTTTATATCCCAAAGATCTGGGTTCGTGTCAATATTTGGGTGTATTGGACCATAACTTCCTGGATTATGGCCCCTGATTGTATGAAAAAAATTTTTTTAGCATGTCCATCTCTTGCAAAATGCAAGGTAACCACTTGTTTTATGAATGAAAGTATCTTCGATCTTGTGCAAATAGATCTTTAGCTATGAGAGGAAACTGGGAAACACAAAGGTTGGGCAGGCAACCCTACCCCTTGTAGATAACAGAACTTATGAAATACAGCTGGCACATTAGATCACCCAATCCCCAACTTGAGCATATTTCTTTATTTGTCACAAGAATGAAATGAGATTTAACATCCTACTTTTCTGGAACAACTGGGCTTATAAAGACAGGTATATGTGGCAATGCTATGAAGAAAAATTTTACCTGGACATACTCTTCATTGAATTCCAGCTGTCAAGGGTTCTTTTACATGCTGGTGCCTTACTCACTTTTGATACCTTGACTGAATAAGCCGACCTCTTTTCTAAATAGAAACTTTCTTTACAAAACACCAAGATCAAATTGTAATTTTGACTTCATTACATTACAAAATTGATTTTTTTACGACTGTCAGTGCAATGATTTTATCAAGGATCCATTATCTCCATGTAATTGACAGAGAACTATAATTTGAGAAGTGTAATATTATGTTTATTTTTAGGTACAATGATTATACCAAGGATCCATTATCTCAATGTAATTGTACACCACCCTACAGTGCTAATTTGGCTATCATGATGAGAGGTGATTTAAATCCTGCTAATGGTGTTTATCCTTTTTCTGAGCTAGGTAGAGCATTAGTAGGTGGAATCGATACAAAGGTAACTAAGAGAAATCAGTTTGTTGACCCCCACCTTTCGTAGAAAGCAGGGGAAGGCGACTATGAAAATGAGTTTGTCCGTCTGTGTCCTTCACACTTTTGATAGAATGTTCAAACATGTTTATTAGGTGAATGCCTTTACCCGAGTTTGGTGATGAGAATTTTCTGATAGGCTAAGCAGAGATAAATAATTTCATTGATCTAGACTTTGGGACACGATAACATTGCTTTATTAGGTGAATGTCTAGACTGAGTTTGATTATGAACACTTTCTGCATAGATTATCTGTCTGTCCATCACACCTTTTGGAACACATTTTAAACTTTGCTTCTAATTGACCTTTTGGGACACAATTTGATTTATTGATGTGTTGGGACAGCATAACTTGATTCTAACTGAGGTTAAATGTTCAAATGATGTGTTGATGTTCGTTAGGTCAATTTCTTGACTTGTACGTATTAGGTGATAAGAATTATCTGCTATGAATAAACAGAGATATAAGCAATTTGAATGACCGAGACATTAGAACACAATAACTTTTAATTGACAGGGAGTCATTAAACTTATATCAGTACTTAGTATAATTTCAACAATTTGATTATCAGAGTCTTTTTATCTGATATAACCCAATTCAGCAGATTATCTACTGTTGATATTTTAAAACCTAAAAAATTAGATATGCAAATGATGTTCAGCAACTTTAAAGATATTTTCTCTTAAGATAATTGGGTATAATGATCAGTTGGTTTTTTTGGACGAATTTAATGGCAAAGCCCCTTAAATTTGGATCTAGTCTAAATTGAGAAATTATGTGATGGAATAAAGTATTGATCAAATTGTAAACTACGAAGTGTTGATTTTGAGGATGGTTGCCAGACTATTTTGCTGATGTAGATAGGTCTCAAAATTTGTGGAATATCTTGCAGTTATGTAGATGGATCTATTTTTACAATAAAATCATTTGACATTGGCTAATTAAAATTAAGTGCATGTTTGTTTTCTTTCAGGCGGCTTCACTGTTATATGTCAAAGAATTATCCTTTTTTGCTCAAAATGGTCCAACTTCTGATGACCAAGCACCCTTTAAATGGAGTGATATTCCAATCAGTGAGCAGACACCACATGTTGGTCAACCAGACGTCTTTGACTTTCCAGTTATTTCTTTTAATGTATCAAATGTATTGAATACTTTCTGATGTGTTTTTAAAATTTGACATGCATACCATTTCCAATTCATTATATTTTTTTTTACTTTCATCTTGGGCGAGAAAAATTAGATTGAGACCTGAAAAAAATCTAGACCACGGAATATGGCAATACATATCATTGGCATAAATAGTTTATTTTTGTATTTACAAATTGATGTTATGTGCATCTAGTAGTCAATCCAGGAAACCTGCACACTACAGCATTTAAAAACGCAATGGTCCACAAAATGTCATGTTGAAATTCAAATATATGATCAACTCTTGACCGAGACGTGGGGGTTATTGGATAGCCGAAGGGTTAGTGTGTGGGTATTCTATCATAAGGTCTGTCATTGAGTCAACTGGCGTGGTTTCGATTCCCCGGTTGTACGTGATAAGCAGTAGGGTCGCTTGTCCAACCTTGTGGGTTTTCTCTGGGTCCTCCAGTTTCTTCCCACTGCTAAAGACCCCTATGCGCAAAAAAATTATTGAAATAAAGTTCAACCATATGTTACGTCCCGAAATGACTTATACTTATCCTATTTATTCAAAAGGCATGAAATTTTCTGGTTTGTGTCACTTTTAACTCAATCTGATTAAAACACAGATCCTATTTCGTTTAGTTTTTTTTATATGAAACAGTCTGTTACAGAAAGTTCTTGGCATGCGATGCATGCAACTGTGGGTAAACCACTAGAAACCTCAGTGCTGATTGATTAATCAGCGTCTGATGTCATAGGGTCAAAAGCCGCTCATATAACCCCCAACACGACCTTCTAGTACAACCGGTCACATCTTCATGTAGTGTAGGCCATTGAAAGTATAAAAGAAACGAAATATAGATCTGTATGTAATCAGATTGCTTTTTACTGAAAATTAATGTTATGGTGTAACCCATATTCAAATCTAAGATAAGTGCAGTGTGCTATGAGGTAAATTTTGTCTAGACAGCAATGCTACAACCTTATTTTGAATTCCAAATGTTCAGGGTTTTTGTTTTTTTAAGTGCATGCTAATGTGTACACAGGACCTTGGTTTTCGGCCCCATTGGAATGACCAGACGCTGTTCTTTGCCAGGCGCTCCTTCCTGCACAACTGGCAAGGGGAAATCACTCCAGAAAATCCAGAGGAACTTTGATGGCTAATACCAGGATCGAGGCCTGGACCTCCAGTTGAGCAAGCCAGTACGCTTACTCACTGAACCACCATGGTTGTTAGTCTCATTAAGCCGGTCATGTATTGTAAATTCAAAAATGCTATTTTAAATGGAGAACAATAACCTCACAAAATTGTTCAGGTGAAATTCAAAAATCTGTAAATGTCAGCATTTAATTAAGGGTATCACCACTTTGTGTTTCTCTACAGCAGTGGTTCTTAAACTTTTTTTGTGAACGGCACACATTTGCAACGCATGAAAAAATAGCGGCACACCCGGCTAAATATATATGAAAATATTTGAATTTTGAAAAATAAAAACATGGTGAGTCAGGCAGCATACAACTGTAGACAGAGATTAATCATAGACACACAGAAAGACTCAAACTAAATAAAGAAAAATACAACTATGGACAATGGTGAATATTCAATTGGTATCACATGGTTTTTCGCATTTTCTTAGTGTGCTGTTCAAAATTTTGCAGCACACTAAGGAAGATCTTGCGGCACACTGGTTGAGAATCACTGCTCAACAGGGTTTGTGTTTTTAACAGGTTGTTGGGTTTCCATGCCAGTTTATTCCGTAACCTGGACTACGAAATTTACAAAAGAAAATGTGTATTGTAGAGAATATACTTTATTCAGAAATGTCCAACAGACCAGATATCATATTCCAATATGTATATAAATATTTCTATGTATATAGACGATATGATAAACAAGTACTTTTATTTGAGCAAAAACTCAAATGTCATACACTCAAATACAAAAATTCAACCTTTAAGAATGTGTCTATTTACTTCTAATGTCTCCAGGTGCTATTTACTCACTAGTAAAATGCAGTAATGTTGGTCATATTTATCTGAAACCATGGATATTATAACCTCAATTATACAATTTCAAATGTGTGAAAATGCACAATATAAAAGAGTTAATACTTTGAAGGTACACATTACAATTATATTTAGAGCCATAAATCAATAATAAATATAAGTGTAATATTGCAAGATCATCAAATCTGGGAAAACCCATTAACCTCCTATATTACAGGTACTTAGAGTTTAATAATGTCTGGGTATCTAAAATGGGACTGCAAGTATTAATATTGTAGGTATTGTTTAAGGACACACTATGGCTTCAACTACATGACCACTTCTGACTAAATTGTACATATTTACAAAAACATATCACAATAACACTAAAAAAAATTTCAAATGAACAAAATAAAATATGTACAATTAACATGAGATTATTTCCAAAGGTTTCAGCAGTTGTTTATTTGGAATGTCACATCCATCATAGACATACCCCAACATTAAAGAGGCTAATCAGTCTTTCAAGCAGTGTTTGATATGTTTGTTTAAACACTGTTTACTGCCCTTAATCGGGTTGTCTTTGATCAATGTGAGATCAATTATTTAATCGACTAATGATAAAACATGACCACACTACATTATATACCATGAATAATCGGCAGATGTAATTAAATAAAAAAACTTGATTAACCAACAAAACAACTTGACAGTACAGAGTTATTTTGGCTCTACATGTGCCGGTATGTGGAAGATTTCTTAAGATCCAAGGTGGCCCAGAATGTTGAATATGGGCATATCCGTAACACTACTATACATTACAACAAATGCAGGCTAAAAAGCTTCAATTTCTGTATATCAGTCACATACAAATTTCATGAAAATTGTGGGTGTAGCTTAGCCGCATTATATAATGAAATAAACATATGGGTTTTTTTTAGTTGTTGGGTTTTTTTTTCTGTAAAAGTCAGTTAATTATTTATATAGCTGCTATCCTGAAACAAATTAAAGCACAAGTTATAACATTTAACAAATTAATAAAATATAATGTAATAATTTACAAGGTAAATATAGAAAATAATAATACTTGGTACATAATAGAAACATTATAAATTTCATATCAATGAAAATGCAAAGAAAAACAGTTAAAGGTTAAAGACTGTTAAAGGTGATTATCAATGCTATAAGTGGCATTTAGAAGTTGTGAGTAGATATGATTCAAACTATCATTTTTAAATCAAAACTGAGTAATCATTATATAAAATATTCTGACTTAAACTGAGAAAATAGCACAAAGATCTACATAATAAAACAAGACATGGAAATATCACTGAATAGCTGCACTTAAGTAGAGTATGTTTGAAATCATAATTTAAATTTAACATTTACAAATAATCCATAGAGTATATTTTAAATCATAATTTAAATTCAATAATCCATAGAGTACATTTTATATCATAATTTAAGATTTACAAATAATCCATAGAGTAAGTTTTAAATCATAATTTAAATATTAAGATTTACAAATAATCCATAGCTTCAAAGCAATTAAGATTCAAATCAGTTCATACAAAAACACAGAAGTGTATAATGGAATGACCTATATTACTGCAGTTCCTTGAAATATCAATTTACATTGGACTCGATTATAATTTTGGCCCTAAGATTACAATTATACTTATAATGTCATTCAATAATAATGTTATAATTTTGTGTCAAGGAAGCTCTAAAATAAAAGAATATAACCACAAATTAATTGATACTTGGGATAACACTCAAGAAAACAATTACATGTATACCAAAAACTGATTCTATTAACTTTTCTTTAAAGGCTCAATACCACTCTTGAAACTGAATAATATGTCCCAATCTTTATTCGGTCAACAAATTGTACTATTTTAGAATATTTCAATTAATTGATGATACAAATTTCATCTTAACACACCTTATTTAAAAATTTTGAAAAATTCAACATAATGGTTTGAAACGTCTAACGTAAACCTTTTCAAACAAAACTTTGATTTAAAAATATTTTCGAACCCTCTGGACAAGTAAAATAGGATGTAATGGATAATTTACACAACAGGTAGGACACTAACACATCTAGTACTTAGAATAAGGCACTTTTTTATTTTCTGGAGCTATCAAGCCAGCAAGAGTGTTATTGTCCCTTTAACATAAAGTTACTTATTCAATAAGAACTTAAACAGTTTATGGTATATGTAATCTCAGACATAGGTCAAATTTCTACAAACATAAGGCAAGCAAACCACAATAATATACTGGCATTAGAAAGAAAAAATCTGTATCAAATCAATGAAAACAAAAAGAATCTTTGGTTCAGTGACAATAAAAACAAAATTAAAGCTGGATAAGAATGAGGTTTTCAGTTCACGGAAAAAGAGCGAAAGAATACTGATTATTAACAAGAGCTCAAATCAACCTTCTAAAATAAATAAGACTTTGTCCATCATGATTATTATTTAGAGGTACACACAAGGTATGAAAAAAAAAATCTCTACATGGACTACATACATAATAAGTAAATTTATATCAAATTTTCATTCTATTAATCATTTATTTACAGATTTCATGAGCTCAAATTTCTTTAAAAAAATTTGAGAAGATGGAATTGAGCATTTGTTGGCATTGACCATAGTAATATCAGAAGCGCTTGTAAAATGGAAAATCTTTTTCAAAAATAACATAACACTGGGGCTAGGTATTATGAATAAAGTCCATTATGTTAATATTCATATACGGGAGATAATCAAATTCAGGAGTAAATAACTCTTTGACACCTAGTAAAGTCAAGAAATACACATTCTATACCATGACATTTCTCTTTAATTCTTTCCAATTCCTTCATTTTAGCCGAAAAAGGAATATTTTTTTAACTCCTTAGGTGAGATCAATAACAGTTTATTCACAACTACATGTGTGTATACATAAGAAATGGAAATAGAAGTAATAATCACAATGAATATGAACATAATAGACTTTATAGGCATAATACTTAGCCTCAGCTTAATAGTAAGTGCAGGAGGACCACGCTACACACAAATTATATAAACATATATAAAATGATTGTATACAAGGGCCGGCTGTAAGTGTCCGCTGTGCTGTTTGTTGTAATTTTTAAAAGATTTTCCATTTTACAAGCGGCCGTGAGTAAAATATAAGATAACAATAAAAGGTACTGTATAACCTTCACCTGAAATTATGTGTAGATATCATTAAGGCAAACTGTGATATTTTTACAAAAAAATAGTTAGTCCGCACTACTTAAAGTCTGCTTCCCACCATCATGATATTACACTTAGAAGTTACAGATAAGGTTACAAAATATAGTTCACAAACAATTTCTTATTGGTTAGAATATATAGTAGCAATAAACATTTTCACAAGCATTCCTTCCATACTTTAATTCTTACACAAGCAGTCTAGCCATACAAGATTCATTGTATTTTATTCATTATATAGTATTGAAATAGATAATTCAAAAAGAATCGTTGCTGCTTCACATAGCATTGAAATCAAATTCCAGAACCCAATGTACAAATTATTTCATATTGAAAATAATAAATTAAGACACAGAATGAGACTTTATCAGGGTAGTTATCTTTATCAGTTAGTGTTTAACAACAAAGTCATGTGCTGCTTGTGCCATAATGTCTTAAGAAAGACACTGAATCCAGGACTATTATAGGCCTACCATGTGTTTCAAGCCTTGTTTAGTAGAGTCGGTGACAAACTATATGTTAATTTGTTAATGAAAGACAGAGTGATTTATTTGTTACTTTGAGTTAAGTATAGTTGAAACTATTTCAACAATAGATAAATGATAAAACTATTTCTTCAATACTAGATAAATGAAAAAATGTAAAGAATCCACAATGGCTAAACTTCTCCATCAATATATATTCTATCTGGTAACAATACAGTTGTAATACAGCTCCCATTTTGTGCATAGATTTATACAAACCAAAATGAGGCAATTGAGCATTTAATGTTATCTCCTAGTATTCAATTATTACATCCATTATATAAACAAAAATTTACAAAGGTGATAGTAATTTTACCAGGTGGTTAAGGCTCTCATAGGCCTTTTAGTAAAACCAGTGTTGTGCTATCAGTAATTATGGGTTTCTGAACTGAAAATAACATAATGAGCCATGTTTTCTACTTGTTACAAGTCATTTGAGTTTGCTTGAGAAAACATGACTTGTAATGTGATCAAGGGTAGTATTTTCAAATTCTGAAACAAATAATTAAAGTAAATCCAGCATAAATCGCACTCTGAATTAATTTTAAGTTGTGTCTGATAGCGAAGCCCTATTAAATATTTTTTTATATTAATATAAACAGATTACTTTTGTACTTATTACAGATTACTCCTTTACCACTTACAATGCCCATAACTATGGTTCCTTAGAATGCCCCCAAACCGCCCAGTCATCTGCATAGTTTTGGTGAATGCAAGAACCAGTAAATTCACATATCTTTGACAGTTTAGGGAGGTGTAAGGAACAGCAGTTTTGGATTGCTTTGGTCTGCCTTGGTATTAATATATCACTCAGGTTTCTCTTATATTCTTCAAGGAACTAGAGTAGTCAATATTTACATGAACCCTGGTACCAAGTGTTAATGGGTTAAGATGCATTAGTTTATATCATTTTATTTTTTCCAATACCAAAATCATCAAACATATAAACAGATATATAGAAGAAACATTGCACTTTTCCATTCACAAATATGAAACATTCACCAATCAAAATGATCAAGTTTAACTTTCACCCACCTGGTTAAATTAAACATATATCATGGTTTAAACTCGATAAAACAATCACCAATATTCTGGTTTCATTTAACACCAATATTCACTGGGTTTTTTTTTCAGTTAAATTAACCATTCACTCAGTTCCATTATATTAAATATGTTTATACTTGAGGAATTCTTTGAGTCTTAAAGGAAGGTGAAGATGATCAATTTTAGTTGTAGGAAGATGGCGCCTTGCAGTTAAACGGCAAAGATGTAGTAATGATTCTATCTTCCGAGGACAGGATAATACCTCAACTACACCTTCTCTATTCCTGTTGAAAGGTAAGTGTACAGTAAATATCTGGGCATTATGATTTTACTGGAAATTAATTTTGTTAACTGTTATATACTTGTAGTTCACAACTAAAAGGATACATCTGAAAACTATTCCATCAGACTCATATATTTTCAATGAAGCAGTCAAAGTGTGGGAGTTAACCGTGTTGCCCTCTTTACCAGTCAAATATTCCACAGAGCAAAGTCTTACATCAAACAATTATTAGGGGCCAGTCATAGTTGTACGGACTGCATTGTGAGAAAAATCTAGTAAGTAACTGTGCCCTACATATTTTTTTATCTATGTCATGAAAATGACAAGTCAATTTGATTAATAACTATAAAATGGGTGGTAACACTTACCCAACTGCTAGTGCCCTACCATCAGGGGAAAAGGAGCAACAAAGTGCATTACTATTAACACTAACACCTATCCTACATGGATCTCCTTCCTCGGCTAAATTCCACACACGAATAAATCTAAAATACATAAATAACATTATAACCTACAAAAGTATAAATAACACAACTTTATCTATAATAAATGAAATGAAATGGGGTTTAACGTCCTACTTTTTTGCTCCTCTTGGGCTAATCAAGACGGGCATACACCATGCCGTGTACTTTGACAGAATTTTTGCCTGGACAGTGGCACTACCCACTATAGTCTACTCTTGGTCTTACATCAAATTCAAACTGTCAAGAGTTCCTCTATGTGCACGATAATGAGTACATGGGCCCTCAGGTTTTGTCCCATCCAAACGACTATACATTGTCCATTGCCAGGCCCTCCACCCTACACCCCTGACAAGGGGGAACCATGCCAGAAATTCCAGATGCACTTTCTCGGACAACACCGAGATCGAACATGGGACCTCAAGGTTAGCGAGCCAACGTCTTACTCACTGAGCAACCATGGCTCCCCTATCTATAATAATATTAACTTACCCATCATCACAAACTGAAGCAACATGACGGCCATCACAAGAAAATGAAAGATTCCTTACAAAATGATCATTAGCACCGCCAGCATAGATAGGACGGGGAGCTGGTAACATATGGCTGTAAAAAATAAATAATTACTACTTTACATCTTGAGATCTTTAAAATATACTAGCACCCAAGGTAATGGACTCCTGAGTAGCATTATGTGTCACATGATATCTAATCATAAATAGCTTGTAGTTCACAAATGCAAGAAAATTGCAGTCTAATAAAAGCTATACCATCAATTCATTCCGTTTTATTTAATATTTCAGTTTACGCCACAAACTATGATTGGTCGACTTCAGATCAATCTACGAATCAAATGTTGATATACAGGAAATTCTTAGAAAGCATTTGAAAGGCTTTGATTATCGGGACATTTGACTGCTGTTGTCACAGGTCCAGGAAGATCTCTTCATCGAATGACCAACCAAATTAGATTATTAATTAGATTATCAAGTAAAGTGGTTAATGGAAATTCAACTTCTAAAAGTGAAAGTGCACATAAAAGTAAATACATAATAATGGTAAGTGGTTGAAGGCCTTGTGTTTGATGCATGAAAATGCGCGCTTATCCATTTTTATATCAAATTATTAAAGAACGATCTTGTTATCCACTGAAAAATCGTGAGCATCTTATAGTCTAGAGGGTTGATTTAGATTATGGTCTTGTCATGTTAATGAATGTCTAATTAATAATTTATATAACATTTGAGGCCAAAAGAAAGACCTGCAATAGGCAGATTAAGCTCTTACATAATGCAGCTTTAAGATGTATGTAATCAAACTAAACAATAAGAAAACAATTTTGCCAATTACCTAAATTTGTCCACATGACAAACCAAATGTTTATTAGAAGTGTGTAATCTATATATACATTCCATTATACAAACTAGCTGGTGATTTAAGATTTGACTTGTTCTTAATCATCATGTGTAAAATAATACAATAACTAAATAGGCCACAGTATGATTTATTTCATATGAAGTCGGGGAAACAATATAGCTTTTTAAAAAGGGTGGTTATTTTTAGATTAAATGATATTTAGAATTTGCTCTAAATGATACTAATTTGACATTGGTATACTACATGTAGTTATTTGACACCTTTTTTGGCAAAGTTTGTGTGAAATGAAATGAAATGGGGTTTACATCCTACTTTTGTGCACCGACTGGGCTAGTGAAGATAGGCGTATGCCATAAAGTGAGCAATGTGTGAAATTTTGCCCAGACAGCGGCACTATGGCCTAATCTTATTTCAAATTCCAACTGCACTACTGACAAGGGGAAAGGAAACCACACTTCCAGCACCCTACACACTGAGTCACTGCGGCTCTGCAAAGTTTATGTACTATTATTACACTATTCTGTGACTTTGCATTTAAGAAGATTGAATTTGAATTCAGATTGATGATACTATATTTTATTACCTTGTCCTGCTATTCAGGATAAATTAAACTGATAAAACACCCACAATAATTGTAAATATTCATTTATGCAAAGATTGACTAGATACTACTTGATACAGGATTTGACTATATTTACCATGACAGATTTTTCATCTTTTAAATATTGGGTTGCTTTTAATCTAGGTGTCTTTGCGATTCAATTCACTCTTTTAAAAATGGATGTTCAAATTAGAACATTCGACCAAACAATTGTGGGAATGAACCACAGAAAGGTTATGCCACAGACCATAACAGTCATTCAATTATGTAAAATTAAATTTTTAAAATGTTTAACTTGTCTCTTTTCATACCTTTTATTCTGTTACTGAACACACTAGTTCAAATATAGAAAGAGCAAAAAAAAAAATTACCCAAGTTCACGGATCACTTCTCCTGTGTCACAATCCCATAATATTACGCGAGTATCGTAAGATGCTGTCGCTAATAAAGCTCCATCTGGGGAGAACTCACAACTCATCACTGTATTATAATGACCCTGAAATTTACGTACAATTTTCTTTTCGTCTGTTTTCCATAATACTGCCTGAAATATTCAACAAAATGACATGAAAATATGTTTTTGTGGAAAGGGGAAGATTTGAGTTGCAAAAAAAATATTCATAAGTTACAGTAGTTGTGGATAAGAATTTTTTAAATTAATATGAGATAACTCATTCGAAGCATAATAGTTAAAACTTCCTTTTACTGGGTGCTGATCAACAGTAAAATTCATAAGGATCCAATGACGCCTGTTTCCATGGAGTAATAATAAGATTTTGTAATGGGGTTTAACATCCTACTTTTCTGTACCGACTGGGCTAATGAAAATGGGCATATGCCATACAGTGTGCTATGAAGGAAATTTTGCAGACGGCGGCACTATACAGCTTATTATTATTTCACATTCCAATTGTTACGGGTTATTTTACGTGCACACCAATGTATACACCAATTTCTTGGGTCAATTTGAACGACTAGACACTGTTCCTGGCACAACTGACAAGGGGAAACCACACAGGAATATCCCAAGTACCCGGTAACTTTCTTGGCTAACACCTTACATGTTTTGTGATCAAGGGGAGTAAATTTGAGATTTATATGAAATCGTCGAAAAATCAATAGTGTCCTTTTATGACAGAATAATATTTTTAAATTTCATAATTAAGATCTAATGTATGGTGCATCCTTGTTGTTATACAGTGTAATCCAGTAAGTGAAAAGTTTACAATTGAACTTAAAAATTTATACATGTTTTACTCACAAAATTAAGATTCCTGTCAAATTAAATAAAATATTTCCCATTTTTAGACATCCCTATGAGAGCCTTTCAGATTTGCAAAATTGTAATATTTTTTATTCTGATGTAAGATAAAAGAATTTCAACTCATAAACAGATCTAGATAGGGACATGATAGGCATTATCTTTTCTTTCAACTTTATCTATTTTTGATGTTATGACAGGTTTAGTATGAACTAATTCAACCTCTTCTATCAACCATCTGACTATTTTCACAATGATGTAATAATATTACAAATGTCTGCTAAAATTACATATAATTTAAAGAGGCACTGTGTGTCATTTTAGTAATTACTGGATGTACATGCATTTACCGGACTATAAAGGGAATAAAATGGGGGTTGGGGGTTAACATCCAAGTTTTCAGTTCCATCTGGGCTTATGAAGATGGGTATATAAACAGACACTGTTAGTGAGCATGTGTATTTGTGGGGAAATGCAAAATTTGAGGCATTTGAATACAAAATTTGAGGCTAATTAGTTGAGCAGTAAGTAAACTTAAAGTTGTTCATTAAAATATTTACGATGTTTGAAAGGTACATGTATCTGTAATTAATTACATTTTAAATATGAACAATTATGATAAATTATGTTAAATTATAATGTGCAACTAACTGAAATTCAGTTGAACACATGTTTTCTCAGCTGGAATCAGAATTAATTATTATAAACAAACAAAATAGTTTAATTGTACAGAATTTTTAGGTGAACATAACATTATATAATTTGTTCACCATGACTCAAGTTTTGTTACTCAACTATCAGATAAGTATCAGTAATACATAACAGTAGAAATATGAGCTTAATCTGCAAGCAATATATAAATAAATATAACCAAATACAGATATTTATGTTACGGGTTAACTCCTTTAAACATTATGTTACACATTATGTAAATAATAAATGATTGTATAGACGATTCGATTAACATACAGTCAGTCCAGTCTACAATCTTCATTGCTATATAAATACCAAGTATTATTGCACCTACAACCTTTGATTTATATCTTGAATAGAAGACACATAATTTCTAGACAAGGCATTTCTATTACTGTTCATCATGTTGCCCGATTTCAATGGTTCTACTTAACATTACCCACAAGTTTTATTATATCCTAAATTTAGTTCTAAATCAGGGTTTCCGTTATGATTCTTGAGTGGCATTTAGCGATTAAGCACAGTAAAAAACCTGACATCCTTGAAAATGATAAGAAAACACTTGCTGAAACATTGTGCCATATTATGTGTACAAAATGATTGTTTTTCATATAAATTGTGTTGTGAAAACTCAACTCAATAATAACTAGAATGTTTTACAATTCACATGATAACTACTTTCCACAAAGTGTTAATAAAACACAATTCTTAAAGACTACTTAGAACTGATATCAACAAAAGTTATTACAACTTTGTGGGGCAGGTGGGGGAGGAGGGGGGTGGAACATCTGACCTACCAGTACCTGTTATTTATACATAGGTAGTAATGAAGTTGTTATTATTATTATTGACATGAATTTTCTTAATTGCGAAATATATAGAAAAAATATTACCTTTATTGCAATATTATGGCTCAAACTTTAACTAAATATCTCTGACTGTTAGATTATTCAGGAGTAAAGTACATAAAACAAGCTGTAAGTAAGATCAGCGAGAAAAAACACATTCCTCCATAATCATCAAAACCCTTTCAATGAATTCATTTTTTATAAATATTTGACTGGGGATTGAGTTAGTTATATTTATATCAACACTCGTGGATAAAATAAAAAAAAACTCGGCAAAGCATCTTTTTTTTTTTACTTTATCATCTTGTGTTGATATTTTTTTATATAAAAAAAGATTCATAGGAGATTCTCTATTTAACACTGCTGAGTCAACAAATGTGGTATTATTCAAACATCTGTGACAAACATATATCAGAAAAAGACATCTAATCTCCTCTATTCAGAAAAAAATAACAATTGTAGGGTATAACCTAATATTTGATAACATTGTATTCTATAATCACTCAATTCCTATTACAAACATTTTTTCAACATTAAAAATTACACAGGCAGAGATTAAAAGTTTAATGTGATTAATGCACAGGAATTATTCATATGGAATATTTATATAGCGTTTAATGTTGGGTAAGCCCTTGGTTTGTTATTTAATCCTTTTTATTGTAAGTTCATGAGAACTGCACCACACATAAACAAACAGAAACTGCCAAAAGATTAAACCAGTAAACAAGGCACTGTACACAACACACAAATGAATTAACAAGCCAACAGTGAGGCTGATGTCCCCCCGTCGAAATCCCGAAAATAAATAGATGACACATATTAATTAATTGCACATTTATCTTTTTCAAAAGTAACGAGCTATCAATTTAATTATCAATTATACACTAAGTTTCATCACTCTCTGTCAGATAGAATCAAAGTCAAAGAAATTGCTTAGCTCTGCTTAGCTTTAGCGGGAAATGCTAATCATTGAACTCAGTCAAGACATTCACCTAATGAAAATTTACATCAAGTTTAAACATTCTACCTCAATTAAAAGCTGAGTTGTTAGGTTTCAAAGCCTTGACCAATCAAATAGCTTATCGCTCCTTAGCCTAAGCAGAAAATTCTCACCATCGAACTTAGTCAAGGTAAAGATATAATGAATCTATACTTAAAGTTTCATCGCTCTCACTTAATTATAACCAAAGTTATTGTGCCCAAAAGCATCATCCAATCAAATTGCTTATCTCTGCTTATCTCTACACCAAGTTTGAACATTCTACCTTAATTAGAAGGAGAGATATGGTGTTCGAAAGTCTTGACCTATCAAATTGCTAATCGCTCTGCTTACCCTCAGCAGAAAATCTACATTATCGAACTTAGTCAAGGTACTGATGTGACGAAACTATACACAAAGTTTCATCACTCTCACGTAATCAGAACTAAAATTATCATGTCCCAAAGCAGAAAATACTTATCTTCGAACTCCATCAAGACATTCACCTAATAAACACCTACACCAAGTGTGGAAATTGTGGCTCAATTAGAAGGAGAGTTATTGTGTTCCAAATTCTCGACCAACTAAATTGCTTATCACTCTGCTTACCCTGAGCAGAAAATGCTCATTATCGAACTTACTCAAGGTATTGATGTAATGAAACTATACACCAAGTTTCATCACTCTCACTTAATTAGAACTAAACTTATCGTGTCCCAAAACATCAACCAATCAAATTGCTTATCTTGTGTCTATAAATGCTATGCTTATAGAATAAAACCAGTGATTGTTTCCCATAGATGCTTTCTTTCATGCATGTTTGTCTGTTAATGCAAACTGGAATAAATAGGGTGTGCAAATACAGTTGTATCATAATTTCAATTTCTAGACATAAAATAATAAATACAACACAGCAAGTAACTAAATGAGTAATAACATAGTTGAAAATCTTCCTACAATAAATAAATAACTAATATCATAGTGGACTCCTCCTTCGTTCAAATTTGACCCACAAAATGTGAAGTTATCATTAATATTGTTATTGTCACACTCAGCTGTTATTGAACCATTATTTTTATTATAGCGAAGAGCCTTAAGGCTCTTAATTGGCCATGACATATTTTTTCATGAATATATTAACTTGATTGAAAGACATTCTTGAATGTACTTTTAACCTACATGCTGGCCTTAATGTATATTTTGTTTACAACAACTTAGGACATAAATTCTGCATAAATGGGTATTATGAATGAAGCTTTTAGAGTTAGTTAAGAAAAGTAGGACACTAGACCCTATTTCTATACAAATGATTAATGAAGCAATGAAATAGTAAAAGATTAAGAACATTTGCAACATTCAACTTCATATACAGTCTTGTTAAGTTTGTTGCTCTGGGTATATAATGTTAAATTTTGTTATCAGTCACAATCTCTCTGGTGTCTATCATTTTGCCTGGTACATATTTGTTTTTTTTCCTGTGTTTTTATCAATACATGTCCAGCACAAAGTTCAAAATGTTAGGTAATAAGCTTAACTGAGGTAATGCGATTTAAACAATATTGGTACATTAACCTTGTTTGAAAGAAAATATCAGATTATCAAACAAATTACCAATATAACTTGACAAATTATGACTTGTCTTCATTAGCCCGATAGGAATAGAAAAGTAGGCCATTAAAAAGCATTTCATTCATAATTCACAAATTATTACAATGTACTTCTTTTTCATGGTTTTATAACATTATTGTTCACTTGTAAAACATATTTTTTATTAATGTTTTCTAATAATTTCTCTATGTCTTGCCGATTTATAGACAATAAAACAAACAAATCAAAGAGACCACAATTACAGGGACACAACAGACCAAGAGGAAAGTAATCACAGACTGATTAAAGATACATTCCCACATACAAACTTTGTGATTTGATATGTTTGGACTAAAAACATATTCAAAGTAACCAATCTATCAAAAATTTGCTTCAATTCCCTCTCAAAACTTTGTATTCGCCGGGGATACATATAGCTATATAAGTAAGCTATTGTTAGGCGCAATGTCTGTCAACTTAGCTTCATTGTGGGAGGGTCCATTTTTCAGAATGTATTTATCATTACTTACTGTACATTTACCATACATATTGAGGCCTAAGTATATTCTTAATTATTTCTGTCAGCTTCTTTTTCTGCCGTTTTATTGCAGAGTCTTTTGTACGTTGACACCCCTGAATATTCCCAAAACCGCCTTACCATTTGATCAAGAAATAACAACCGCTCAATCACTTAAGCTGGAACATAATAAGCTGGCAGACTGCCAGTTAGTGATACCCTAACAATTTTGCCCTGTGCTTGCCCCATGGGAGTTTTTCGGATAATCCAGTATTTTTGTAGTAAGATTGGGTGTCTATACTTTCCATATATACCAAATTTGACAATGACATACTTTTATTGGAAAAAAACACCTGATAAATACTTTTCTGGGAAAGTATCTTTAAACCATGTACAGTAATAGGAAATCAGAAGACAATTAATGCATGTTTATTTACATAACAAGATATACCCACTAGAGATCTCTGGGGAAAAAGTGTAATCAAATAACAATATCTAATGTTAACACTTTAGTGGATAATATTAATCATTGAACTTAGTCAAGACATTCACCTAATGAACATCTACATCAAGTTTAAACATTCTACCTTAATTAAAAGCAGAGTTGTTATGTTCACAAGTCTTGACCTATCAAATTGCTTATCGCTACTTATAGCCTAAGCAGAAAATTTTCATCATCTTCGAAAGGTGGGCGGTGGGGGACAATTAGATAAAAGATATACTTACACATTTAAAATCGCCAACACATGCAATGTATTTTCTATCAGGAGACCATCGACAACCATGTAGTCGTTTACTATGAGGTCTTAAAGTTTGATACATGTTTCCATCATCATTCAAATCCCAGAGTTTAAGAGTTCCATCATAAGAAGCAGAAACAAGAAACAAACTAAAGTCTGGAGCAAAGTTTAGACTTGAGATTACATCTTTATGATCAAACAGAACCATCAATAACGATCCTAATTTAAAAAAAAACAAGAAACATTTGGATATTAATCATATTGACTTTTAAACAGCATAGTTGTATAGACATCTTACAAGGGATTTTCAAGAAATATTAATTTTTCATTGTTCTTGAAGAGTTTACATACAATGCAATATAAATATATGATTTATATGACCAGCTCTGACTATATATGAGAAAAAATCTGCAAGCCACTTATTTGAGATACAGCACAAAGACGAGAGTATCATCGTCGAAATATTGCATGTTAATAAACCAGTGATTGTTATTCCATAAATAGTGTTAGTGTGTAGCACAAACCTTGTAACATAAAATACAGAGTTTAACACACCATAGACTGTATATTCAATAAGTTAGCTTTCTCTTAATACTAAAAAGCTAATTTTCATCTGAACCCTACCTGATTTACAATTCCATAACTTGATTCTTCCACTCTGTAAACCAGTAGCTAAGATGGAATTCTGACCAAATTTAAATCTGGCTGTACCAAGACTTTGGGATTTTCCACAACCAAAAGCAAGTGACCAAACATTTTCTTTACAATCAATGTTACGCTTTGGGCGTAGAATGTCTTCATCATTTTGTAAACTGAAAAAGAGTAAAATGCCATCAAAAGTTATTACAATCTACCTTCCTGATCTGTTACTGGCGCTAAACCAACTGGGTAATGGTACTTTGAAATCTGACAAGAGTTAAAGGCAGATACAGTGATATTTTCTGAAAAGAAATGTTTTTCCATAATGATGAATATAATATCATACATCAAGTGGGTCCGAGATATACAAAATTATCAAGATCAGGCCAAATGTCCTTGAACTTTACTGAATCCTAAAAACAAAGCCAAATGTCCTTGACACAGGTAATTTTTTAGAATGGTTTCCAAATTGTCAAAATAATAATACTGAACTCTTGTATTACATACAACTTAGATATTTATGACATAGAGTACAGAAGTCAGTTTTACTGAAACCGGAAAACAATAATAAATGATTTCCACCGCTAGTTTCTAAGAATTATCGGCCACATTTGAACTCTTGCCAGTCGCATGTTTGACACGCCTGCTAAAAGGAAAGAGAGGGAAAGTGCTAAAAGGAGAGAGGGAGAGAGAGAGAGAGAGAGAGAGAGAGAGAGAGAGAGGCCACCATACTCCTTGTCACACTCCTTGTCAGGTACATGTAAGCCTGCAAGCATGGAGTCAAAACCATGCCACTTGACCACTCAACCCTCGCACTAACAGACAGAAGTAATAATATACCAGTAACCACACTGAAAGACAGCATACAAAAATAATTTTTTTTTTATACTAACCTTCTTTGTGTTTGTCTACACCATGGTATAAGTTGTACAGTACAGTTACCAGAAGACCAGGCTATATAGGATTGATCTGGTGCCCAGGCAACACATCGGGATTCTATACCATATTTACCATTATTATTATTATTATGATGTGGATCTAAACGATCTAGTATCAAACAATGATCTGAAATAAAATACATTCATTTGTGTAAAACATATCTCAGGATAAAAATCTGTAAAAAACAAAAACATTTATTTCTTCAACAAAGTGTTTCAAAGCATGTAAATATATCTGAATGATAAAATTATGTAAAATCAAATAAACAATTTTAAACAAATGATAAATACAAAGCCCGTAAATAACATAGTTTAGTACCACTTATACACTTAAAAGAGTACCGTAATCTTATTATTAATAAAACGAAAATTTGTAGGCACAGAATGCAATTTGACTGTAAGTATTAAGTATAGTGGCTGAAATTTGTACTTTCTGTGGTTTATATATTAAGCACTGTAGCAGACCAGAAAGTAATGAATTACAATTACCTAGCCATGAATTACAAGAGAATGCGAGGCAGTGTACACTGTAAGTTCTGTAATTTCTAAGATTAAAGTAGCATGGTTTGTATACATACAAACAAGATTCTGTTACTAAATAGATGTAATCTGATTAAAATACAGATCTATATCTCTTTTCGTTTTTTTTTATACTTTTGATGGTCTACACTACATGAAGACCTGACCGGTTTTAATAAAAGGTCGCATCAGAGGTCGTACAAACGGCTTTTGACCCTATGGCGTCAGACATTGTTTAATCAATCAGCGTTGACGTTCCTATTGGTTTACCCACAGTTCCGTGCATAACACGCCAAGAATTCGCCATAACAGATGGTTTCATTGGACAATCCCTCACACCATCAAGAACGCAGGTTATATAACAACTCTTCCAGATACTAGTGTAGTACTAGTACAGACAAATAAAATGATTGAAAATAGATGTAAAAACGCAATTTTTCGTACAATCAGGAGCCATAATCCAAGAAGTTACTGTCCAATATGAGCAAATATCTAAAGGAACCAAGATCTTTGGGATATAATTTATAAACCTATATTTCAAGTTACGTCAAAATCGGATAAAAATTGTGACTTGTGTAGTGTCAACAAACAAACTGGATGGACAGATAGACGTATGTCCGGATGGACTGGGGCCACAACAATATACGTCCACATGAAAATGTGGGCATATAAAATGGTGCTAGGTCTTACTTTCTAGTAGGAATTCTACCCTTTTGAAATAAAACTATAATTTTTGTTGAATTTGATGCTAATAAATTAGAAATTACCTTTTTAATATAGATTAAGCATGCAATACAATTTTCACCAAAAAAACAACATATATACATGTACCCTATATGTATATTGCTAATTCAGATAACGGTACGTAAACACAATAATTAGCACGCTTAAAAGATATGGTTTTTAAAGTCCGTAACTCAATATCTTCCATAGTCTTCGACATTGAAAACACAAATTATTGATCAATTTAAATCAACATTGATGTTGTGATCTTACCGGGAAAAGATGGACTTCTGATATCCAATATTTAAGACAAAATTAACATTTTACCATTGGTACACGAATCGTGTACCGTAATGCATTTCAGTGCCATTTGTAACAAGGGACTTGAAGAACGAGGCTAGACATATTCCATAAGTCATGTCAAATGGGGACGCTATATTCTTATCTGGAGAGCATGCACAATAAATACTTGTCGTGTAGACTGGAATAACCAGACACTAGAAATAGCCATTCGATTGAGATTTCTGGCATATTTAGCCGAACATAACTGATTAGAAATTACAGTAAAAACAGAAACGATTGAATATAAATCAGTTTATATACATTCATATTACATTATTATATGCATTGCAACCCATTTGTGTCAATTTCTAGGTCCCAAATATTAGCGATTTATAGCTCCTTTAAATAGAGCATTCAAATATCACTAAAATAACCTTTGGCATTAAATGGTAAAAAATAGTACTCATGTGTGTGTGTTTGTGTGCATCAGATAATAGTATCCTATAGTTATTATAACCTTAACTATTTTAAAGGGAATGTAAGTAGATCTAGTAAGCTGAAGTGTATAGAAAATAGATTTAAAGAAAATCTCTGTGAAGAAGATGAAAAAATTAAATTCATTATTAAAGATACATTATGGGAGATTTTTATAGAGAGTTGGCCATTCTTGCTATAACAGTTCAGAAGTAGATGATGAAAGAAGAATATATTGAAAAATTCAGTCAAATTACTTTATTCTGAACATAGTTATCATCGTTGTAATATTTGCCTAGAAATGGTAGCGAAATGTGTCTTCACCTTCGGCGATCGTTTGATTGACAGGCGTTAACTCCACCTACATATCTCGATTATCAAGTAAAGTTTTCAATGGCATACGGAAATGCTTTACAGCGGCCTCGCTAAGTACACTCTATCATTTAGCCTCGATCTAACTGACGTATTTTCATCAGGTTACCCCTTATTTGATTTAATCAATTAGTGAAATCCTATTTAAATCCGAGCTGTAGCCGAGCCATCCGTGGGTCTACAGAGTTGATTTTGGTCTTGTTGTTTAAATAAAGATCTAATTTATAATTTCTATAACATCTGAAGCCTAAATTAAGACTTGCAATAATCAGATTTAGCTCTTGCATAATGCATGTTTAACACTTAATCTGTTTTTACAATTCAACAAATTTAATAGCGATTGACAACACCCAAGTTTTAGATTAAATAATCAGATATCAAATCTTATTTGACCGGTTCACATTGCTAACAACTTTTGGTGTACAGGGTAGCCCATATTTAAACCATTGCCATGAAGTACATTCTTAATCTTTCTAGAACACAATTTTAAAACAAAGTATTATCTTATATGCATAGGGTATAATGACAGTACCATCCTCTACCTTAAAAATTTGTAGATTGATTTTGTGGCATTATCGGAATGTCTGTCGGTCGGTTATGGCCGACAACCGTGGATGCAACAAGAGTCCTACTTTAATTAACGACCAGTCTACATGGAAGTTAACTTGACCTTTTGAGACCAACCAAACGGTCAACTTTATCAGTAATGTGGCATGACCCAGTATTGAATTATGACCTTGGGATTATCAACACTTATTATAACATTTAGTGCTATCCCCAAAAAAATGCAAAGCAGAATTTGTAATAATAATGTAAATCAAATATTAAACTTACCAATTTCATCTGGCTGGGAAAACAGGAAATAAGGATATCCGTTGTGTCTCATTTAGCGTTTATGATTCTGTGTCTTTTAATAACTACTTTTACTAAAACTGTAAGTAATGACAACTGACCGAGTTTTCCTTGTCGATGGAAATAGCAGACAGAACACACTAGATATCTACTACGCTAGTAACAATATGCCTAGAGTTTGGTTAATTTACATGCTAGTGTAGCCTTATGTTTCACCTAATTTCTATGCACTCCAAAATATATTCTAAATGTCCGTGGGATATATTAATGGTTTAATCCGTAGCACAAATATAAACTCTATTGTTTAGCGATTTTGACTCTTAAATTAAGAGGAATTTAGATACATCTAACGGACGAATTATGTCAATGTGTAGTTTTCAGTTTCTGGGTTAGACTCAAGACCTCGATTTCACGGGAAGCATTTTCATTGGTTAGTCCATTTTGTTATTTACTGACACACCGCTTTACCCTTTTTCTTCCAGACGTTACATTTGTATTGACTCAACGTTATTTGATATTGGCTAAAACCATAGTTTATAATATGATCGAGACTTTCAAGCATCCTTATCGTTCGAAACATGACGAAACCCATGTATTATTTCATCGGCTAAATCTATTTGTTAAGGTCAGCTCAAGTTTCGTCAAGGTCGCTGAGATGTAAATAAGGATTTAGGGCGCGTACGTGATTGTTGTAGGTTAGGGTAAGCATTAGGGCTAGGTCCAGGATTAGGGTTGGAATTAGCGCTAGCCCTGTTTACATGATACATCTCGTGACCTTTGACCAAACTTGATGTTGGCCTTATCAATATAGATCTTACCGTATTTCATCGGCAGCGACGAAGAACATGTTATTTATCAGGGGCGGATCTAGGAATTTTGAAAAGGGGGGGGGGGGGGGCGCCGCAAAATGAGGGCACTGACCAGGGGCGGATCGACCCCCCCACCCTGCTCAGCTACATAATTTTTTTGTAAATCAACACGTACTTTTTATGAGAAAAGTTTCTGTGCTTTATCCTTTATCGTCAGATGTGGGACAAGATGGGCACTCAAAGCACGAGATAATATAGACATTATGTGATTTCATAATTAATGCTTTGCATCCATGAAATTGAATCACAATGTCATTGTATTAATTCATAATCAAAATTGACGTCAAACGAGGTGTTGAATTTCTCTGTTTAAAAAGCTCAAAGTGTATGTATATACGCCAAAATGACGGTAGAGACCATGTGGGAGGGGGGGGGGAGATACATTGTCCCAGGAACCTGGCAAACCCCCTCCTGCAAAAATTCCTGGATCCGCCCCTGCTGACCGCGGAGGCGGGGCACGCCGCTGAGAGGGTTTTTTTTATCCGTTATTTCCTTGCATCTGTAGCCATTCCAAGAGCTATTTGGCTGATATTTTCGTCTTTAAGTAAACGTTCGGAAATCGTTGAAAAAGAGCCTTAAAATCGAGCAAAAAAGCCATGGCAGTTGAACATGCGACTCGAAAATTGTCAAGGCGAGCGAGGCATTATGATGGGAAAAAAGACAAATCTATTCCCTAGCACTTCACGATTCTAGTCTTGTTTTTGTACTGTGTACTGTCCACACATGAAACAATGCTACATCAAGTTGCACTCATGCGCGTCGGCGATGGGCACGAGTGTTTACGCCGCCGATTCCACAAGATGCTATCATGTATGCGCAATGTATGCGCAAATATGAATTCGTTTTCTATATAAATCGTAAAATATCTTTTACATACCAAATAAACAAAGAAAATGATAGGCCCTACGTACAGGGGAACGAATTTAGAATAGGAATCAATCCTTCGGGTGGCACGCGCACAGAGCCACAAAGATGTCTGCACAAATGACAATGAATACGTCTGTAAAATATCCTTACATAACAAATAAACAAAGAAAATCATATAGGGGTACGATTTTAGAATCTGTTTTCAATAGGAAGCAATCCTTCGGTGGGATCGACGGTCGAGGTCCCATGTACGTACGTTGGTGTGCACGTAAAAGAACCCTGGACAGTTAAAATTCATTTTCTATCTGTGCCCAAAAAATATTAAAAAAAATAAACAAAGAAAATCATACAGCTTCACGATTTAAGACTCTGTTGTCCATGGGAATCAAACGTTCGGATGGTACAAACATAGGCGTACGAGCCCGTTCAGCTTCCAGAAATTCCGGACCGTGAGTAAAGCAACGAGAAAGTAGTTCAACATAACCTTTATGTAACTGAAATCCCACTCCGTGTCCATCTGAATTCACGATTTTGGGTTAATAAAAGAAATGCAGAAAATGCTCGGTATCCCCTCCCTCCCCCCAGAAAATAATGAAATTTCGACGGCCGCAGGCGCGTTTTTTCATTAGCCTACCGACCCTTGCGTTATATAAAGCAACGAGAAAGTTGTCTAATATAGCATTATTTATGTGGCGTTGGAACTGAAATCTCACCCTAGGGTGCCTATCTGAATTCCAAATTTGGGGGTAGGGACAGACATGAAATGGCCACAAAAAAACCAAAAAAAACCCCTTTATCTGGGATCCGCGAGCACCGATGTCGTGAAGCGCGCCGTCAAGGGTATATCGGGATATGTATCCCGCAGTGCCAACCACTAGCGGCGCCAGCCGTCGCTGATTGGAGGGGCAAAGTCCAAGGTTAAGGGGGCAAAGGCACGTGCTTCAACTAGGGGTGGGGGGGGGGGGGGTGGCTTCCCCCAGAAAATTTTGAAAAACAGCCTGGCAGTATTTTAGGCACTGATCGTTGAGGTAAAGTGTCAAATGAACGGACTTGCGAATCTCGACGAAGCCCACTCACGAGCGTCAAAGTAGGGAGTTTTGAAAATTTTTGAAAAATAGACTGCCGGAAATGCTGTCTGACAGTATTGAGTCAGGTACCGATCGTCGAGGTAAATAGATCTTACCAGATACCGTCCGTCGTCTGATAACTAGTTTATCCCACCACAGAAGAAAATGTCAAACGAACGGACTTGCGAACCTCAACAAATTCCCCTTGTGAGCGCCAAAGTAGCGAGTCCATTTGGGACCTCCCCAAGAAATTTTGGAAAATAGACTGTCGGAAATGCTCTACAACATGCAAGTTTATGACTGAGGGGGGATGTGGGATTTATTCACCGTAGAAGGTATTGATTACCGAAACGTATCACAAATACTTTTTTTTATTTTCTAAAATTATTGGGGGGGGGGGGGCAAACAGAGGACAGACAAGATTTATGGGGGGGGGGGGGAAGCAAGAGCGAGACTTAGCTTCGAACATCCATTACGGTGGTTGAAATTATTGCACACGTCTTGTCAAACCTTCAAAGGCTAATATCTTCGCTCGCAATAGAGTAATTTGAATAAAATTTTCAAATTATTCATTTTACATTATCTATTTTCGAACTATTATAGCAAGAATGGCTAGCTCTTTATCTAAATCTTACATAATGTGTCTTTAAGACGTTGCGTAATATATTGTAAAAACACTCGGGCCTACGACCCTCTTGTTGTTACAATACTCTTCAAAAAAAGTAGGGGATATTCAGAAACAATACAAAACTGCGGAAATGCACTGCTGTTTTTATTAGAGGTAACCAGTGTATGTTAATAACAGGCCAATTGCCTACATATGAACATAAACAGTCTTATCTGACGGCCCCATTTCACACGCAAAGAGATACACTGTCAAAAGTGAAAATTGACGTTTTTGATTTTTGTCTTAATAATGAGTAATTCGTCGTGGCATGCTCCTAATCAACCGTCCAATCACGATTTGGGGCAATCTGACCCACTCCTCTTGCAGTGCCACGGCCCCAGACATGCTGTATATGGGAAAGGTCAGTACTCATGGCTAGCCAAGGCATATGGACAATATGGTGACGCTGTAGGTAGTCATTCACGACACGAGTGCGGTGGACACGGGCATTATCATCTTGAAAGATGAAACGTCGACCTGCACGTTGAGCAAAGGGCAGAACTATCGGTGCCAGGATGTGGTCACGGTAGTACCTCCAAACGCGAGCACACCTATCGGTGAAATCCAGAGTAAATCTGGACTCATCTGAGAACATTACACGCGCCCATCGACGATTACCCCAATTTCTACGCTGCCTACACCATTGACGCCTGTTTGCCATGTGCTGGCGAGTTAATGGAGGCACAACACGCGGTCGTCGCGCATGCAAATGGGCTGCATGTAGCCGATTTATAATCGTTTGGGGTGTAACTCGAACTCCTGTAACTTGGTACAAGTTTACAGAAAGCTGATTGGCCGTTTGTCCTCGATTTCGCAGGACCTGTGTATGAATGTATCCATCCTGGGCTTATGTTGTGGCTATAGGACGACCTGAACGAGGTCTATCATCAACATTGTGTGTTTGTTGGTACCGGTTCCACAGTCTGCTGATCACAGACTGTGCCACATTAAGCATGTTGGCTACTACTCGTTGTGTAGAACCCATTTGAAGCATGCCAATAGCACGTAGACGTTCATCATGTTGAAGACGTCTCATTGCAAATTAAACGTCTCATCAAAGATACGCTAAACAGTAAATCTTATGCAAGAACCGATAGGAAAGCAAACATGGATAGGATAAACCAGCACGCGGCAGTTTTCATCAACCCTTCCTTGAAGTGTCCATGACTATTTATCATATCACAACCTGCATAGGTATTTGCATTTTAATATCCCATACATTTTTTGAAGAGTATATTACTTAATGTCTCGCTCTCGACTATTAAACAATACTCGTCTTCCCGAAAAATTGTTGAAACAAATAATGATCGATGTCCGAAAATTGTCGCGCAGTGCAGAGTGACTTCAGACCAAATACACGTGGGATTTCTGGCATTTCACTTTACCGACTAGAAGGCAGAAGTCGTTTTTTTTCCCCCAACGTAAGTGACCAGTTATACGAAATTTTACACAATGGGTTTCGTGTATAACATCTACTGAAGATATCCTTAGGATACTACAACCCGGCCAGCAATTGAGTTCCAACTGTCATGGATTATTTTACGTACACGTCAACGTGTTAAAGCCAGTAGTTCATGAGATATGGCTATTTTAAAGAAAGTGGGGTCATAGAAAATATCTGAAAAAAAGTAAAAAAAAATTCAGATGCAAGTCTTAGAGTCCGATCGAGCTGAAACTTTGATCCAAATCTGAGAATTGGCACGGAATGACCTCACTTTTTTTCATCACTCTTCCTTAAGTAAAAGCAGAGTTATTATGTTCAAAATCTTCTGGCTAAATAACTGTATGGCTTGGTAAGGGAGTTTTATAACATGGCAACCAAGAATATCCAAAGGGTAAAATTCTATAAGATTGGGTAACAAGCTAAGCATTTTCTGCTCAGGGTAAGCAGAGCGATAAGCAATTTGATTGGCCGAGACTTTGGAACACAATAACTCTCCTTCTAATTGAGCTAGAACGTTCAAACTTGGTGTCGGTGTTTATTTGGCGACTGCCTTGATGGGGGTAGTAGATTTTCTGCTTAGGTTAAGCAGAGATAAGCAATCTGATTGGTTGATGCTTTAGGGCCAAAAACTTTGGTTTGAATTAAGTGAGAGTGATGAAACTCCGAGTATAGATTCATTATATCATTGTCATTACCATGACTAAGTTTGATGATGAGAAATTTCTGATTAGGCTAAGGATCGATAAGCAATTTGATTGGTCAAGACTTTGGAACATAACAACTCTGCTTTTAATTGAGGTAGAATGTTTAAACTGGATGCTGATGTTCATTAGGTTAATGTCTTGACTTGAGTTCAATGATTAAAATTTAGAGCTAAAGCTAAATAGAGCTAAGCAATTGGGACAAGATAACTTTGATTCTATCTGATAGAGAGTGATGTAACTTAGTGTATAGTTGATAATCAATTTGATTGCTTGATACTTTTGAAAAAAAACAAGCCAACAGTGAGGCTGATGTCCCCCGCCAAAATCCCCAAATAAATAGATGACACATATTAATTAATCGCACATCTATTTTTTTTCCAAAGTATCAAGCAATCAAACTGATTATCAACTATACACTAAGTTTCATCACTCTCTATCAGATCTTGTCCCAAAGCAGGAAATTGCTTATCTCTGCTTAGCTTTAGCTCGATATGTTAATCATTGAACTCAGTTAAGACAAACATCTACATCAAGTTTAAACATTCTACCTCAATTAGAAGAAGAGTTGTTATGTTCCAAAGTCTTGACCAATCAAACTGCTTATTGCTCGTTAGCCTAAGCAGAAAATTCTCATCATCAAACTTAGTCAAGGTATTGATGTAATGAAACTATACACCAAGTTTCATCAATCTCACTTAATTAGAACCAAATTTATCGTGTTTCAAAGCATCAACCAGTCAAATTGCTTATCTCTGCTTACCCTAAGCCAAAAATGCCGATCTTCGCACACCATCAAGGTATTGACCTCAAACCCCTACACCAAGTTTGAACATCCAAGCTTAATTAGAAGGAGAGTTATTGTGTTCCAAAGTCCCGGCCAATCAAATTGCTTATCGCTCTGCTTACCATGAGCAGAAAATGCTCATCATCGAACTTAGTCAAGATATTGATGTAATGAAACTATACACCAAGTTTCATCACTCTCACGTAAGTGTAACTAAAGTTATCGTGTCTCAAAGCATTAACCAATCAAATTGCTTATCTCTGCTTACCCTAAGCAGAAAATGCTTATCTTCACACTCCATCAAGACATTGACCTAATAAACACCTACACCAAGTTTCAACATTCTAGCTCAATTAAAAGGAGGGTTATTGTGTTCCAAAGTCTCAGCCAATCAAATTGCTTATCGCTCTGCTTACCCTGAGCAGAAAATGCTCATCATCGAACTCAGTCAAGGTATTGATGTAATGAAACTATACACCAAGTTTCATCACTCTCACTTAATTGGAACTAAAGCTATCGTGTCCCAAAGCATCAACCAATCAAATTGCTTATCTTTGCTTACCCTAGGCAGAAAATGCTTATCTTCACACACCATCAAGGCATTGACCTAATAAACATCTACACCAAGTTTGAACATTCTAGCTCAATTAGAAGGAGGGTTATTGTGTTCCAAAGTCTCGGCCAATCAAATTGCTTATCGCTCTGCTTACCCTGAGCAGGAAATGCTCATTATCGAACTTAGTCAAGGTATTGATGTAATAAAACTATACACCAAGTTTCATCTTTCTCACTTAATTAGAACTAAAGTTATCATGTCCCAAAGCATCAACCAATCAAATTGCTTATCTCTGCTTACCCTAAGCGGAAAATGCTCATCTTCGAACTCCATCAAGGCATTGACCTAATCAACACATACACCAAGTTTGAACATTCTAGCTCAATTAGGAAGAGAGTTATCGTGCCCCAAAGTATCAACCAATCAAATTGCTTATCTCTGCTTACCCTAAGCGGAAAATGCTCATCTTCGAACTCCATCAAGGCATTGACCTAATAAACACATACACCAAGTTTGAACATTCTAGCTCAATTAAAAGTTATCGTGTCCCAAAGCATCAACCAATCAAATTGCTTATCTCTGCTTACCCTAAGCGGAAAATGCTCATCTTCGAACTCCATCAAGGCATTGACCTAATCAACACATACACCAAGTTTGAACATTCTAGCCCAATTAGGAAGAGAGTTATCGTGTCCCAAAGCATCAACCAATCAAATTGCTTATCTCTGCTTACCCTAAGCGGAAAATGCTCATCTTCGAACTCCATCAAGGCATTGACCTAATAAACACATACACCAAGTTTGAACATTCTAGCTCAATTAGGAAGAGAGTTATTGTGTCCCAAAAAGTGTGACGGACGGACAGACAGACGGACGAACCCATTTTAATAGTCCCCTGCTTTCTTCGAAAGGCGGGGGACAATTAATGTGTGATTAATTAATATGTGTCATCTATTTATTTTTGGGATTTCAACGAGGGACATCAGCCTCACTGTTGGCTTGTTCAAACTTGTTTCATATTAGGTAATATTACTGTATGTCAATTGAGCATTTCCAATTCGAGGCCTTTAGGTATACAAACTATTGCAATAAATAAATAAGTTGATTTGTTTTACAGTTTATTTATATAAATCAGATTATATGTATCAGAGAAGAATCACAGTTTATACTATCTATTCTACATCTCAAATCTTCTAATTTTATAACATGCATACAACATTTTCTCTTCTATAACACGTCCAAACTTAATTATTGATATTTGCTCCCTTTGCTGAGTTTTTGCCAGATCTAAACCAATATTTTAGATGTCTGATGTACTATATATGAAATTGATATAGCAATCAACTAGTGTAAAATACAAAAAGTAAATTGTAATTTGTTCACAGTAAATGTTACATATTGTTTGTAAAGCCTTTGTTTACATGTATAAAATATACAAAAATTTATGTCATTCAACCATTACAAATGGCATTCTTTCAAACCAAATACAAACATTTAGCTTACTATTAGTACCAGTACTAATTTGAAAATGATATTTAAAAATGAAATTCAATCGTGATCTGGTAAAATGTCAATATACATGTCATGCACATTTTTTAGTTGGATTCAAAGAAGAACGCTATCGCACAATATCTTTCTGTAAGCTGTCAGTGCTCAGATCTTGGGTAATAAGGAGAGCTTAAAGGTACTTTGAATGAAATTATTCAAATTAAATTTTTTCCTTGGTGGGTGATAGTATAGTATGTCTTTAACATTAGTGTAGTAAGGGCAATTCTCACAGGCACATACTATTCAATATACCTATTTATAGATGTATGTTATGTCCTAGAGGTTCGGAAACATATTCACTGGTCTTCCCATACAATACTACATGGTATTCGTTTGTTGCAATTATTTCTATGTCTAGCTATTCAAACAAAATAAAACTGTTATCCCTTCTGCTGACAATGATACATTGACACCACTGATTTTACTTATGACAAATATAAACATTTGATAAATGTTATTAGTTTAGTTTTTATCAACAAATGATTTCATATTTTTAAGAAAACCGATATATTTTCCATGTTCATACACTGTGCTGAATTCAATAAGATCATTAACAAACTCGTCATTAATACCTCGTTCATCTAACATATCCATTATTAAATCATATAAATTCTGAAAAAGAAGACAAGTTTTTTTAACAAAGCTACAAAGCTTCAGAACAATCTAAAAGTTTTAAACTATGCATCTATTATTTCATTTAAGTTTTTTTATGTATGCACAAGAAACTTTGAGAACCATGGCGGCTAAGGGGTAAGACGCTGGCTCGCTAGCCTGGAGGTCGAGTGTTCAATCCCTGCATTGGCCAAGAAAGTTCATCGGGATTTTCCGACGTAGTTTCCCCTTGTCAGTAATGCAGGATGGAGGGCCTGACAAGGACAGCTTCTAGTCATTCGGATGGGACAATAAACCAAGGTCCTGTGTATACATTAGCATGCACGTAAAAGAACCCGTGGCAGTTGGAATTCGATATATGCGTAAGCCATAGTGCTGCTGCCCGGGCAAAATTTCCTTCATAGCACACTGTATGGGGTATGCCCGTCTTCATTAGACCAGTCGGAGCAGAACAGTAGGATGTTAAACCTCATTTTATTTCATTTACAAGAATCTTCAATATTTTTCTGTTTTCTGTAGCTTTTTTAGATATTTTTTCAACCTAGATGAGCTTACTCAACCGGCCATTCATAAACTTGATAGGACTGTTAACTAGCCATAAGGATGAACCTTATTGACAGTGTTAGGTGTGCATTATACATGTGTATGTGCAGAGTTATTGCCTGTGTTATAACCTAGTAATCAGTTCTATTGTTCAGTTTTTGAGATCTATTTCCAAATGTGCTGGGAATTCTGCTGAAATCTGTAATATTTAATTACTGAGAACCCTCAAAAACTGCATGGACAACTAAGCTGTTGTTTGCCTAGCAACCCATGTCTAAGAGAAATATTCCCCCAAAATTTTTAGTCTATATGTCTATTCAATCTTAATTTCTCCACACATTAATCTGATAAAAAAAAATCAACTCACGCCATCCATTGTTTCAGCCTGTAAGCTATAAACAGAGTCACTCCATTCCCCACTGTATAAAGCAACTTCTTGTATTTCAAATAAATCTTCTGAAAGTAAAAGTACAGTTCAACAATACATGTTCAAACAATATCCATTACATACAAAGGGCATGGTTGTCTTCATAAACTAGGACATTTCAGGACTAAACGTATGATTCAATTTCATTTCAATAATTCGCTTACTCGTAGGGGACCTGGGGAAAACCCATGAGGTTGGACAGGCGCCCATTCACTCGGCAAACCTCGACAGATTCTACGCATCTAATCTCGGCTGTATGACGAATTCCGCCATATTGGAACTATTTTAAAGGTCCCGGATGAAAAATGGCTGCGCCCATGGAGATTTCTGTGGAGAGTGTATTATATCAACAAACGTCAAGTTTGGCATTGGGTTTGGGGAATTAACAGGGAATTATATCAAACCAGCAGCCTTGAGACAATATCTCTGCTCGTTTAGTTATATACACTCAACAAAAGACACAATTTTGGGACTTTTTTGTAAAAGCGGCACGTTTTCCTGTTAAAGTAAACCGGTAGCCGCATCGCAAATGTATGGCCGTAGGTACATATAAATTACTATCATACAGCTGAGGTTAGATGTAGGGTACCGGAATTTACCGAGGTTTGCCGAGTGGCACCCATTAGATCATTTGGCCACAAAAACCCACTTCCATAATATAAAGATGCATCTGTATTATATGTGTGAGTCGGAATTTAGAGATCTCCCTAAATATTTGCTATATTATATATAATTGTATAAATGTTTTTCGATTCTTCAGATCATTGGACTGAAGGTGCCAAAGTTATTGAACTCATTAGTAGTCAAAGGGATGGAACTCTAATCTGTAACTTGGTATGACACAATAGGAGGGTGTTATCTAAATTCTTTCTTGTCGCCATTTTAATTAAAAGTTACAGAAATATGAACTTTCATTTTATTCTCTTCTGCAGGTATCATTTTTATTGTCAAATGCTAAATTATGTATCAAAATGTTAGTGCTGTGAGTTGTAACAAATGGGTTTTTTCGGCAAATTTAGATGTTTTGTCAATGGGTAAGCGTTCGAAGTCAGAATGTCTAGCACAAGCACATAAGAATCACATGGCTTTCGTTAATTTATAATTGTTTAATTAATTATGAGTCACATGATGTTAAGGAATCTTGTTTGAGTAAGATTCTTGTATTTTCTTTAGAATATTAGGGAAATGTTTGTGTTTTATTCATGTTTTAAATGGTGAAGCAGGCGATACCATATTGAAGTGAGAACCCATATCGAAGTGGGAACCGATTTCTTGCTCGAGAAGCTGGGGTCATGTGATCAACATTGCTTATTAATATTGATGAGTCATGATGTGTAGCAATCTGATTGGATGTTTGCAATAATGTGTCATTTTGATGAAATGTAAACAAATATTTCTCAGTTCTTTGAGTCAAACCAGAATAAAGCTGATGTTAAAGTAGACTTTAGAGTTACAAACTAAATCATGAATAACCATATAATGGAAGTTTTATTATTGTAATCAATGTTGCTGTAGAGATTCTTCTTGCCGCCATTTTAATTAAAAGTTAAAGAAATATAAACCCTAGATTTTATTCTCTTCTGCAGATTACTGCTACAGAATACGGTAACATATATAAAGAGAAAAAGTAAATAAAGCAGCTTGTGAAGAATTGTCATGTTGAGTATACTAGCTTTATTACATACCAATCGATTCTGTACCTTCTTGACTGGCATCATCTACCATACCATCTTCAGGGAAATAACAGTGAACAGCTAAAATCTGGTTGTCTCCCTTATTTAATTCAACAGTAAAACTTGGTCTAGAAACCATCTGAAATAAAAGACAACAGGATTAAAATACTGAATGGTATAAATGTATGATCGTCCATGTCTGAGGTGGTAATAAATGAAAAAGTATTACTTCATCATTTTTCTCCTAACTGATAAAAACAAGAAAAAACTAGAACTGCGAAGCAGTAATGACGGGTTTCACCGGTGCCACGTTACCCTTGAACTTATGTCACTTCCGGTACCAATGAAACCGTTAAACAGGTTTCCACATAAGCATTGCACACATGAAATAAAATGGACGCAGAAACAACCAAATCCAGCAATCAATTCATTTTCTACATGTCAGTGATCCTGTCAAAATTACATTACTTCCGGTGATAATGAAAATGTTAAATTGGTTTATGAAATCAGAAATAGCATCATCACATGTTGAAAATTTTATGTAAATCCTATAATAATTGCCACCTTTATAGACCAAAAACCTTGAAAAATGACTTGTAGAAAATCGCCTATTTCTCTGCAACCGTACAAGTTAGAAACCATTTTGAGGTATCTGTATGATCGAATGAGTTCATTCTATTTGTTGATTGGAATCAAATATCATAATTTTAAAAACATTACAAATCTGATTCATTTGAATAAAATATCTGTTTTGAAGGCTAAAAATACAGTTTTTGCCAAAATGACGTTACTTCCGGTGATAATGAAAATCTTAAATTACTTGTATGATATCGTAAATGGCATTATGTATCACACAGTGAAAATTTCATGAAAATCGAATAATAATTGACACTTTTATTGACAAAAAAACCTTAAAAAGTGACCTGTTGAAAATTGCCTATTTCTCCGCAACTGAACAAGTTAGAAACCATTTTGTGATATCTATATGATCGTAAGGGTTCATTGTATTAGTTGATTTGAATCAAATATCAAAATTTTAAACAAATAACAAATATGACTCATTTGAATAAATTACTGGTTTCGAAGGCTATAAATACAATTTTTGCCCAAATTACGTCATTTCCGGTGATATTGAAAATGTTAAATTGGTTTGACCTAGTTAAAATTGACATTACACATCAAATGGTGTCACTTTTATGAAAATCGAATAATAATTGACTCTTTTACAGGCAAACTAGCGTAAAAAGTGACTCATGCAAAATTGCCCATTTCTCGGCAACTGCGCATATTACAAATTAATTTTCACATACATTCTCTCCGTATAGATTATTGCTACGAGTTTATGAAAGTTACGAAGTAATATTTTAAAATATGAAAACGCTGGATGGGTTGTAAATAGCTTAATTTTACACCTTTTTTCACCTTTTAATCAAAATAGCCCGAAAACGGAATCGAAATTAAAAAAAATGGTCCCAACATTTTGTGCGCCTTTAAAGGGCGCACAATTTCAGTTATACCAGATTTGAAAAAAATAATATTTGCTTTCGAAAAATGGTACCTAACTGTCAAAATTGTAGTTTTTTGTCAATTTACGCCACTTCCGGTGCCGACAGATAACACTATTGGTAACAAAAAAAATGACAATTGAGACAACGGGGCATATGAACTTTGTTTTATACAAATCGAACAATAAATAATTAATCTAGGACTGAAAAACTGAATTAGCCAATGGGGGCCAAGGAAAATTACCGAGACAAAAAATTTTCACATTTTTGCCCAAGTCAGAGGACTCGTTATATTTGTGTAAAACACGATTAAAAAATATTCATAAATAAAAAAGTTTTTTGTAAAAATTTAAATTTTCTAAATTTAGCGCCTAATATCTGCGAAGATTTGCCGAAAATCAAAAATCAAAAGTAGCGTAGCTATGTGCCCCGTCTCCGGCTATGCCAAAATGCATCGAAAGTTAAAATCCAATGATTATTGTTAAAATTACTGCAATATTTCTAAAAACGATAGCTTCGGTGATTTCGGACATTTCGCATTGTCGCAGAACGTTCAAAATAGCTTTATCCTCTAAGTCACACCCACTTTTCCGATAAAACCGAAAAATCGTAACGATCCGACAATCAGTTGCTGAGATCTACTCAAAACAAAAGAAGAATAATAATAATAAGAACTAGAACTGCGAAGCAGTAATGACGGGTTTCACCAGTGCCACGTTACCCTTGAACTTATGTCACTTCCGGTACCAATGAAACCGTTAAACAGGTTTCCACATAAGCATTGCACACATGAAATAAAATGGACGCAGAAACAACCAAATCCAGCAATCAATTCATTTGCTACATGTCAGTGATCCTGTCAAAATTACATTACTTCCGGTGATAATGAAAATGTTAAATTGGTTTATGAAATCAGAAATAGCATGATCACATGGTGAAAATTTTATGTAAATCCTATAATAATTGCCACCTTTATAGACCAAAAACCTTGAAAAATGACTTGTAGAAAATCGCCTATTTCTCTGCAACCGTACAAGTTAGAAACCATTTTGAGGTATCTGTATGATCGAAGGAGTTCATTCTATTTGTTGATTGGAATCAAATATCATAATTTTAAAAACATTACAAATCTGATTCATTTGAATAAAATATCTGTTTTGAAGGCTAAAAATACAGTTTTTGCCAAAATGACGTTACTTCCGGTGATAATGAAAATCTGAAATTACTTGTATGAAATCGTAAATGGCATTATGTATCACACAGTGAAAATTTCATGAAAATCGAATAATAATTGAGACTTTTATTGACAAAAAACCTTAAAAAGTGACCTGTTGAAAATTGCTTATTTCTCCGCAACTGAACAAGTTAGAAACCATTTTGTGATATCTATATGATCGTAAGGGGTCATTGTATTAGTTGATTTGAATCAAATATCAAAATTTTAAACAAATAACAAATATGACTCATTTGAATAAATTACTGGTTTCGAAGGCTATAAATACAATTTTTGCCCAAATTACGTCATTTCCGGTGATATTGAAAGGGTTAATTTGGTTTGACCTAGTTAAAATTGACATTACACATCAAATGGTGTCACTTTTATGAAAATCGAATAATAATTGACTCTTTTACAGGCAAACTAGCGTAAAAAGTGACTCATGCAAAATTGCCCATTTCTCGGCAACTGCGCATATTACAAATTAATTTTCACATACATTCTCTCCGTATAGATTATTGCTACGAGTTTATGAAAGTTACGAAGTAATATTTTAAAATATGAAAACGCTGGATGGGTTGTAAATAGCTTAATTTTACACCTTTTTTCACCTTTTAATCGAAATAGCCCGAAAACGGAATCGAAATTAAAAAAACTGGTCCCAACATTTTGTGCGCCTTTAAAGGGCGCACAATTTCAGTTATACCAGATTTGAAAACAATAATATTTGCTTTCGAAAAATGGTACCTAACTGTCAAAATTGTAGTTTTTTGTCAATTTACGCCACTTCCGGTGCCGACAGATAAAACTATTGGTAACAAAAAAAATGACAATTGAGACAACGGAGCATATGAACTTTGTTTTATACAAATCGAACAATAAATAATTAATCTAGGACTGAAAAACTGAATTAGCCAATGGGGGCCAAGGAAAATTACCGAGACAAAAATTTTTCACATTTTTGCCCAAGTCAGAGGGCTCGTTATATTTGTGTAAAACACGACTAAAAAATATTCATAAATAAAAAAGTTTTTTGTAAAAATTTAAATTTTCTAAATTTAGCGCCTAATATCTGCGAAGATTTGCCGAAAATCAAAAATCAAAAGTAGCGCAGCTATGTGCCCTGTCTCCAGCTATGCCAAAATGTATCGAAAGTTAAAATCCCATGATTATTGTTAAAATTACCGCAATATTTGTAAAAACGATAACTTCGGTGATTTCGGACATTTCGCATTGTCGCAGAACGTTCAAAATAGCTTTATCCTCTAAGTCACACCCACTTTCCAAGTAAAACCGAAGAAATCGTAACGATGCGACAAGTAGTTGCTGAGATCTACTCAAAACAAAAGAAGAATAATAATAATAATAAGAATAATAATTTTAACAAAAACAATAGTGTTTCACACAAGCTTCGCAGTGTGAAACCCTAACTAGATCTGCATAGCAGATATCAAAGCTTTCATATAAACTTCAAAAGGGGTTATTAGAATCTATGAATCATCAACCACTCTGACGGATGTAGAAAGGAATATATTGTTACTAAATCTGTTGTACTGATTCTTGTTATGGTAAAGAAAACATGAATACAACTATGAGATTTGTATAGAATTGGCATTAATCAATATATTTATTGTTTAATACTACATGTATATTATAGATACAAAGTGAATTAAATGAACCCAATTACATGTACTTTATATAAGCAATGGTTTTTTATTCATCGTTACTTTGAAATCACATTATTTTCATTGATGATAAAAAGGTTGTATTTGTACCGAATCCAAAAAGTATGTTGTATGACATTGCATTATCTGTACCAATTATTTATTTGCAAACCAATATACAATGTTTATTTCTACTCCAATATATTTGTTTCAACCCATGATAGTTTATTCACTCTTCTCACTTAAATACAAGAATAACACACGATTAAATTACTGAAACAAGTAATGCTGGTAGATTATAATTTGATATTGTATACCATTTACTCTCTGTTAGATAAGGCGACGTGGTAATCTGTTAGCTAAACATACATGGAAGTATATGTTAGATAACTACAATTTATGATATATTTTAAACCAAGGAAGTGGCCTTTCTAAAAATAAAAAAAAATAAAGGAAAATATATTTCATACAATTGTTATACTGTTACTGTTATCGTGAAGAAACATGATTGTTTATTTAATGTTGTTTATGACAAACATGTAATCATGTACATTTTTTAAATAAGAACAATTATGCTACATGTATGAATAACTCTCAAAAATTATGTTTTCATCAATCCAAGTATTTTTTTATTTGTATTACTTGATTTATACTGAATAAAGATTACACAAACATACAAAATGGTGTTGGCTGTGTGACTGAATTCCTCGTTGAGAAGTGGTATCGGGTGTCCCATAGAGAAGAAGCAAACCCTCCTTGTGATACACTTGTGAACATTTTAAAAGACCCATTTCGCTGTGTTCCAGAAAAATCCCCATTATAGCTAGTGCATTACATGGTTGTTGTTGGGGGAAAGGTGGGTCTTTTCTATTGGCAATGATTTACTTTTTATAGGCCCACATTGAAATGTGGTCGTATATTGTCGTCGCCCCCCTTTTGCTGTTAATATCCGATTGACTTTAAATTTATACGCAGTGTTTAAGGTCATAAGACGAAGAAGCCTTTGATTTGCTCTGCCCAGGCAACGTTCCTGTGCTCCGATTGCCTTCAAATATGCACAGAATGTACCTTGGGATTCTAGCTATCACATATTAAAAATAGAAGAGTGTTGGATTCCGAGAACGTTCAAAATAAATTCAAAACCCGCCCCCAACAATCAAAGGTTTTTTGCTTAAAAAATTGCCGTATTTTATCGAATTTTTATTGTTCTTGATATCTGAGGATTTTTCTCAATTTAGTATGTGATAAATATCATCGCGGCGCAGCCAACCGCTAGAAATTCCAGAGATTTGGACCACCGGAATGATGCCTCAGCAGTCAAAAAAGGTCAAAATAGGCGATTTCGGTTTCTAGTGTCGATACATCGTTACGGTCATTTTAAAAAATTGTCTTTTAAGGATAATGTGTATAGTACCAGTACCTATCACATACGGAAGAGGCGATAAAATCTCTTTGCATTTGCAATTTCAAAATTAATTAAAACCAATATTAAATTCCGAAAATCGTTTTTTTGCTAAAACTGTTTTTTTTTTAATCGGATCAAAATGGGAGTAAGGCACAGAGTCCGGGGTGGTAATGGGCGTATTGTGTCCAAATTTCATGGTTTTCGGACAATCGGTGCCGGTGTCACGGCGAAATTCCACTTTTTTCCCCTCATGGAAGCCGTAAATTGACTTGAAGCCAGGGTCCTTGAAGTTGTACAGCTGCACCCGGTGACCGATATTTATTTAACGGGGAATAAGTGATAATTCATATTATAGCAGTAAATAATTAAAATATTTCATAGGGATTATAATAATATCTATATCTTGTCTGGGTACAGGGTTAAAACCAATATTAAATTCCGAAAATCGTTTTTTTGCTAAAACTCTTTTTTTTTAATGGGATCAAAATGGGGGTAAGGCACAGAGTCCGGGGTGGTAATGGACGTATTGTGTCCAAATTTCATGGTTTTCGGACAATCGGTGCCGGTGTCACGGCGAAATTCCACTTTTTTCCCCTCATGGAAGCCGTAAATTGACTTAGAAAAAAAACGACGAAAGGCAGGTGACAAGAACAAACGACTTGAACGAATGCAGGTATCACCTTGAAATTTTCAGGGTACCTAGGTACCAACGTGAAAAGTTGCTCGCCGGAATTTAGTACTCATGGTACCTTTGGTTCCAGCGTAGCGCATGCGCGAAGTCAAATCCAGCTAAACTCGAAAACAACCTTGTCGGCACGGAAAACATCAAAGGAGAAATTCGAATAAAAAATGATACAATGATTTCACACAACAGGCCAGCTATTAGCCTCTCGATTGACAAGAGTTTCATCGCCCTCCATTCATTATAACCAATGTCATCGTGCCCTAAAGAATCAACAAATCAGCTTGCTTATCTCTGCTTACCCTAGGCAAAAAATGCTCATCTTTGAACTCAATCATGACATTGACCTAGTAAACGCCTACACCAAGTTTGAACATTCTAGCTTAATTAGAAGGAGAGTTCTTGTGTTCCAAAGTCCCGGCCCTTCAAAATGCTTCTATTTTTCATTTTCAATTCAAAATGGTGACCATCACGTGACCGAAATCAAAATTCTGATCCGATAGATTTTTAGGTATTCCTTCCAGGATTCCAAAAATATGACGACCGAGTCTGTAAGTAAAATAGCAAAAAAGCCTTTTTGATTTTTCACGTTTAAAGATAGTGACACTTCCGGTTCGATCGACAAACTCCATATTTTGTGTACGAATCAGTAATTACTTGTCTAGTATCGAATTTTTTTTTTAGGTCATTCTGACCTATATTTCGACGATTTTTTTGAAAACTTTGATCCTTAATTTCACCAAGGGGAGATAATTTAGAAAATTTCCAAGGACATCATTGAAGTCGCATTGGCAAGATCTACTAACATTCTAAATTTCACGAAAATCGCACAACTATTAAAGAAGTTGTCAAATTGGTAATAACTTCCGGTTCGAAATGACAGCGACGAATTTTCGAAATGCCAAAATCCGAAATTGCAGATTTGAAGTAAATGTTTCAAGATACTCAAAGAAAAAAGAATTAGTAAAATAGGTCAAATAGTCACAGAGTTACAGCATTGTAGGTCAAATGCATTCCTTCGTAAAATTCGGTGATTTCGGATTCGTAAAACGTTTTGAAAATATATTTAATCAACAGCCACCACCCATTTTTGGGGGGATAGGTAAAAGTTTCAGAACGATCCTATGGTTAGATTCTGAGAAATCCGATTTGTGGACAAAACACAAAAAAAAAATAACAATAATAATCTTAACAGAAACAATAAGCTTTCATATGTAATATGAAAGCTTAATAATAATTTTAACAAAAACAATAGTGTTTCACACAAGCTACGCAGTGTGAAACCCTAATAAATCGGTTCATTTGTAAATGACCAAACCAAATCTATTTAGCCTACAAATGGAGTATAATAATTTGATAGGGCTCCTCGTTATGACCAGCCGAACCATTATGTAGACCATTTACAAGGATTGATGAACTTACAGGAATTACAATAACATACTCTCAGATAAAAAGAAAGGTACATGAAATAATGATAAAAATATTACTCATAGGACTAATTCAAACATCGAACTGTGGTTTCATGTTTTCATATTCAGAATATTAAATTGTTTATTATTTTTTTTTTTTTTAAATCAATATGATATATCCTTGGGACCTACATCGGTAGCTTCCTCACTTTGGCCTTCAACAGCTGGGGGATGATCAGAATCCACTGATGCATTCACATTAAATTTTACTGTAACTCTGTAAGAAAAATAAATACAGTACAGATTTTGACTTTGATTGAATATAAAAGCTAGGTTGAAATTTTGGCTAAAATTGCGTCAAAAACGTAATTGTCAATTTGATCGAGTTGTTTTGTGAGATGACTATTTCCTTGTTCAACGTTTTATATCTCTGGATAAAGCCAGTGTTGAGATATAACCCAATTTTTGATCCACTGTCAACACAAACAAACATTTAATGGTACCAACTTTTCACTATTACTAATCCAAATAACATACATGTAGCAGGTCAACTCAATTCAATTCTTTATTTTGATCAAAGTCATGCCACTGACAACCATATTATAAACCCAGGAGATCTGAATGTTATAGCTACAGGTTAGATCCATGTGCAATCTGACCATGTAATGTGTTACTTTAGTACAAACTACAAATTTGGTTGTTTAAATCTTTAGTTGCAGATGACTACATTTAAACCTATGACTGATTACTTAGCTTACTAAAGGGACTTTCTTACTTTTCATTTCCACTTTGCTTAACTAATTCTACATCACTTCCATCTGATTTAGATAATTCAAAACCTTTTACTGTTGGTAATTTTTGGTTGGATTTAGAAGTTTCTTCTAGTTTTATTTCTTTATCTAAAAACTTTGATATAGCTCCATCAACTGAAATTAGAATGGAATTTCAATGAGAAAATATATTTCTAGAAGTTATATATAGCAACAAATTTATTAACAAACATGAAAAATTTTTAAATGTATTTTTAACTAATGAAAGGTCACGGCTTGGAATCACAGATTTTTGCACAAGACCCACACATCTGTGTAAAGCAATCTAGTTCCATGATAATCAATTTTATTGATGTATCAATTAAAACGTCTCAGGGATACATCTGAAAAAAGCAATGGGCACCAAACAAGAAGTCCTTATTAACTGTGGCAGTACCAGGACTGCTGACAACCAGTATCGCAGCGCAATTTGCGATATATATTTTGTCCATTGCTAGTCAAAAATTAAAATCTAACATTTTTGATTCGCAGTAACTGCGTATCATTAATATGCCTGTCATTTTGGATATTGACATGGAGATTTATCCACATTTTGAAGACTAGAAGGCTTTCTGAACACAATTAATTACACTATATAGTACAGGGACATAACTGTGAATAGTGTCGATTAAACAGGAAATGAGGAATCAAGTAGTACCACTCATGTTGCGAGACATGTCAATTTCGTGTAATTATATCAGTATTCAATTTAAAAAAGATAAATCCATTGTATCCCCCACGTATTGTCAATAAAATATAAAAAAATAAATACATGTCAACGTAATGTAATGTAAAGTAAGAATTCCCATAAAATATTATTGTTTATATTGTGTGTGTCTAGTTAATTGAGTTTATTCTTTAATTTCCGGGTGTGTCTGATTGAACAAAAATAGTAACACACATAAAAAGCAGACAAAATTGTTTTCTAACGAAGAAATAACCATTAAAATGAGTGGGGCTTCGGAAGCGCCACTGCTAAGAATTGGCTTCAGACATAAGACCGAACCAAAAGGTCTACATCACATTCACAAACTGTCACAGCTACCTGTAGCAGTGCTAAAAAATCTAAGAATTTGTTATGAATTAAAGTAATATCTTGTTATTTAGGTGTTTTGTGTTGAAACTGAAAACCTGTTACTCTACTGGGTTTAATCAATTTTTAAATTTGCTAATCAAATTTGGCAAAATTGGACTGTTTGATTAGCGGTGCTGCTAATCCTGGTTGTTTGAATAAAAAGTTTTTAATCACATTCTTGATTATATATTTTTTTGGACTGTCAAAGAAATTAGAAATAATGCTTTAACCCTTTCAATGCTAGACGTAAATCCACTGCCTGTGCTAGACCCTTTTTTGAGGAAAAAAGGGAGGTTGGAACTGAATGCCAAGCAGTACTTATGGAAGCTTTTATGAAAAATCTTTTTGTCTGTTGGGATGGGCATGAGGTTGGGCTAAGAGGAAAAAATAGAATTTTGGAAATTTGCATAATAATGTAGTCATGTGACGTCATGGCGGCCATTTTGGATTTCTCATTTTTCACTAAAGCTAACACGAAAACGAATTTTTCTCCATGAAATACTTAAAAGATATTGTTTTTTTCACTGGATTTTGATAAAGATATATAAAATGAACAAAAATATCAATAGCAGCCATGAGCAATGCCGCCGCGAACACGCACATCACGTCTCCCGCTGCCATGACCACGTGCGGATTGCAATACCTTGTTTTTACTTTCACTTTCATCCCCAAGTCCCATATCATTATCAATCTAGTCAGTCAATAGATCTACACGTTCGGGAATCAGGAATTACCTACGTCTTTTACGATCCAGCAGGCCAGCATTATTATCAACATCAGAATTATTGTCAGAATCTACTGCAGACACAGGGCTATCGTGTTCACATTGGGCTTGTTCATCATGCACGGGAGACATAGCTAGCCAACAAATCACACACTTCATAATACCAATCACTGTCCTGACTACTATCATTATCAAGTAACTAGAAACGAATTATGTGTATCACCCGCCTCGAAATTGTCCACGTGTTGGTCAGCAAGACGTCATTCACGACTTCGTCAAGAGTGCATCGTCTACGTTGTCACTATGCACTCCGCCATTTTACGGTTTGCCGCTTTGAAACACGTGGAAATATGTTCTAGTGTATAGAAAATACAATAGATGGCACTTGCAGTTACGGTACTAATTTTAGCGAGGGCTTTACTGAGTACACGGTAATACCGACATTTTATAATACCCGGTACTACCGATATACGCAGTGAAAGGGTTAACAGTGTGCAAATTGCATCAGGTTATATTGTAATAATAATACATGCCGGTTATAAATTTGGCGACTGGATGTCCCTGTTTCCTATCACAATTTGGTATCTTTTTAGTTTTGGTCAGCCTTTAGCATAGACCTGAGCTTAAAAATGGAAATGTATTTCATGGTCAATGAACGCGATAGAAGTATAATGTACCTTCTGTATGAAGTTGGCACCGGCAGCCACATGTGTGTGATGCAGGAACCAAACGTGATGAAATTGTTGTCACGTCCCAACTCGAGCAGGACAAATGCCATAAATTTCTCGGGGCATTAAGGGTAACCATTCCACCGCTTGGTGACATGGGAAATTTTGACTTCAAAATTTGAGCAGAGCTAGGACTGACAATCCTTTTTGCGACTGACAACAAACTTTTCCCGATGACCCCTGCCATTTTCAAGTTCTTGAGTTCTTCGGTAAAACCGGAAAGCGTGGTTTACTTCCTTTCACACATGCGCCAGATTATTTTTAGATCTAGGCCTAGGGGGAATAATAAAATTAAATGTTGTTGGGCTAATATACTACAATGTCCATCTCTTAATCTATAGATCTACCCGTTTTTATATAGACATCTAATATTTTTTTTTACCAGACTTTAAACCATTCGGTTTCTAAAATCTCACTCGTGTGTCCATTTTATTTTTAATTTGTTGCGGTCACAAAACACAAATGTTCTATTACCTCCCTTGACACACTAAGGGGGAGACAATCTTGAGGTATTTTTATATTTTAAAAGAAAAAAAAAACCCTTGAATTCTAGATCTATGTAACATGCGATTAGTAATATTAATATAATTTGAGTAATAACGTAATATATAACGTTCACATCAGAGGGTGGGACGGGGGAACAATGGGGATATCGATGACCTTTCTTTAGTGGTTACTAGGTTACCAAGGACAGCGGAAGTGTCATCAATAAGGAGTCACGTGGTTCTTTGAAGACGCCGCCATCAAGAGAAATAGAAATTGCAGACGACGGATTTAGTGGAAAGTAATGCTTATTAATCCGATTAATTACGGCCATTAATGCTAGTAACATTCTGTAGTCACGTGTTCTATTTATAAATCACATGATAAAAAAGAATCCCTATTAATGAGTTTTTTCTTCAAAAAACAAACACTCACTTTCAACGACCTATAGGCTATAATATGTCATAAATAGCCTATAGTATTAGTAATAGTATAGTTAGTATTCATTCAATCATCCATTAATTGTTGTCTCCTCAAGCCCCAAGGAATGAGGATCCTCATACTCGTAGTCGTAAAAAAGAAAAGTATAATATTTAGTGTATCCTACTAAGTGTCAAATCAATCAACAATATGTCAGTGTTATGTTATGTTATGAATAGTCAAATAAACAGTCATGCTGAAGAAAGGCCCGAATTATCTTTATTATATTTATTTTATTAATAGTATTACATGATGATCTAAGTCTTTTTTAAAGTTTATAAATCTCTCACTCTGATGCAATGACTGATGTTATAAAGTTTTTACATAAAAAAATTGACCCCACCCCTACCCCTTTAGGAACGGTTTCTGATAGGCACTGTCCTCTGACTGTCCTCCTGTTCATCCCTATTGAACTGCAATAAGAAAATACTGTTCTATAAGGCTAATTTAGAATCCTTACCTTCTATTTTTCACCATGATTCTTCGTTTTTCGCGCAAATGTGTGTTTCATATTGGCAGACCAATTCAAATGCAATTTGTTTATGTTTTTGAGTTGCAAAAATTCTACATAAAAATAGTGTTGAATTATTATAAATTTGTGTCAGATATGGCTAGAAATGATTCCTTTGAACAGGAACGGTCAGAGGAAAGTGTCCTAAAAGAACTACCCCATCCCCACCTGACCCCACCTCTCCAAACAATTCTAGTAAAATAGGCTATAAGCCCCCTATTTAAAGGGGCATTATGGGAGATTAGATAAAAAGTTGACAGTTCTCGCTATAACAGTTAAAAAAAATAGATAATGTAAATAGAATATGCTGAAAAGTTCACTCTGAACCGAGATATTGGCTTTTGAATTTTAGGCTAGCCTCGATCATCATTACTAAAGTCTGTACGATAAAAAACCAAGTCTCTCTTAACCATTTTTATGTTTAATCATCCTTCATAAAATGTATTCCAATCCGCTAAATATCACAGGCAAACGATGGCATATAGAGTTTATTATGATCTGGATAAGTTAATTAATGTTTAATTAATAATTTAGAAAACATTTCAATCTTAAAGAAAGACCTGCAATAGGTAGATTTAGCTCTTACATAATGTATGTTTAATTTAGATATTTCTTCATACTTGAAAAAACAGGTATGGTACATTGATGTCGCATATATATTGACCAACTTATTTTATGATGTAGATCTAGTTAGTATACATCTGGATAAAACATCTTCTTGTTATGGTTACACAAGATCCATGGACAATGATGGAGAAATTCATTTACCTTGATTTCTTTTTTAACTATATAATAATATTCAAAATAATAAAAACACAAAGCTGAATTTGTTAATATGATTATGGCATTTCAGCTTTGTTCTTTATATAGTTATAGTATTTTTTCTTACACCTTTGTTGGGATGCATTGCCAAAACATCAAATTATGGTAATAAAGAAGCTTTATGAAATCAACTTCTAATAGCCATAAAAATGTTACTATACATTATGCAGGCCTTTCTTTAGGACTGAAATGTTTTCTAAATTATTAGAATGAACTTTCTTGGCCAATGCACGGATTGAACACCCGACCTCCAGACTAGCGAGCCAGCGTCTTACCCAATTAGCCACCGTGACCCCCCTCCCCCTTTACATTTATGATTTAGTGCTAGAGTGATTCTTATAGTGACCAATGTTACCACACCTGAAAACTGCCCAGATACAGCACTCCTCCCATACCACCCTCATCCCCTTCCTCCAGATATTGGCATTTTGCCTTTAAAAATGATCAGAAGGACTTGATTGAATATGATAGAGATAGTTAACTCTAGACTTGACAAGTTTGTTGCTCTTTCTATTCAGTGGCATATTTACTTTAATAACCCACCACTCCCTTGCATAACCAAAATGTATTCAAATTACCCCACCTACTTATATTGTATGTCGGTTATGCCTTCCACAGTTAGCCAAAAACAGCTGACTTTAATCTTAATCTAGCTCATGTAACTATACTATAATTTTTATTTTACAGAGAAATTGGGAGTTGAAAAAATAATCATACAGATGAAATATGGAATCACTAAAAACCCAGTGCTTTAATCCAGATCTATCCCTATTATTAGATTATATACACAATACTTAAATAATTGGTCATGAATAGTAAAAACAGCAGAACAATTCGCAAGAAACGGTCAGTAAATTGTCTTGACTGAGGTTAATCACACAATGTATTTTTGATGAATTAGGCCTAATTAATTTTTGGGAAGATTTATTTTTACTCCCAAAATTATATACCTTGATTGAATGGGAATAGGATTGTTTCACATTTACCATAGCCACCTATATTTAAGCAATAAGAGGAACCAAAGTAAAAATCAACTGCCAAAATGTGAGGACATAGTCTTTCATAATTAGCCATTTGGAAACATCTGATTTGTTGAAACCGGGTTACAGTTCTCATTTGATTGATAGGCATTTGATCCAATCAAGCATAAGGATGTAGTAGTCACATAATAAGTAATACTATAGTATTAGTATTTTAATATTTTTCATTGCAGACAAAGAATGAAGAATGAAAGATCTAAACATGATAAATTAAACCTACAGAAATCCTTTCAACATGTGCACTTACCTTATATAATTCCTGTACATGATTATACTATTGTTAACAAACAACCAGTAAGTATCATTTAAAATGAGGAGTGCATTTTGTTGCATTAAATTTATTAATCTACCGTAGGCTAACATCTCATCATTTCTGCCCATCAGTTTCATTATCATTTCCCAATCTACAGCATCATCTACTGAGTGGTTTTATGCTTTCATTATAACATTAAAGAAATAAAGAAAGATGAAAACGTACAGTTTAAGATTAAATGTATTATTGAAGGGTTTTTTTCTTCTTTGAAATGAGATATGACTTGATGTTTAGATAGTGTAGAAGTAATTAATTTAAAATTGATATCTAGGCCTACTGCAGTTTTTACTTTCATGATATTTTATACCCAAAAATAAGTAAGGAAGACTCTATAATTACTGTGTATATAACACATCCTGTCATTAATAATACAGTATTGGTTGTACGATCAATATGATTTATAACAGTTTGTTACAAACACGTATGTAGATAATATACTGATATTAGTGTAGTCTGCTATCATATTGTGGATGTTGATTGGTCTAACTGTTCTTATATACCACACTAAATAATAATATACCAGATATGGCATCTGATTGTAATTAATAAACATACGTATTTTACTTAGTTACAATTATTATGGCTTTTTAATAAGCCTACTTGATTCCTCATCCATTATTACTATTTTTACTTTTGTAAGAGGAAGGACAATTAGTGCTCAGTGATAACTGGATGGAAAAATATTCTTTATTATATTTATAATGATATAAGGTAGTGTAGGAGTAAGCCTATGTATGATATAAGATATCAGATAGAATTATTAACTTGGAGCCAGGTGGTTACATTTGAAGTTTGTTTCTGGTTTTGTAATATGGCTATTTTATATAATTAATGTGATTCCTGTAAAAGAAGATACCCTGGAAAATTGTTATTTGCTTGGTTGACCTTATTGGACATGGTATATAGTGCATATCCATAGAAGGGATTTATTATCTAATTAATTAAAAGTGAACTTTCAGCGGTGGTCTCAAACAAACTTCAAAGATGATGTTGATGACAGCTGTATCAAACTAGTTTTCCATTAAAACTTTCATAGTTATTATTTATTGGAATAATCTTAAATTAAACCATTGAGAAACCATTGATCACACAGCATTATTAAAAAGTCAGAATCACTGTCTTGAGTGGATTAGGGGATTATATATATAATAAAGTGAAAGTTATACAATATTATATAAAATGGTTAAGAACGAACGAAAACTGTCAGCTTGTTCATCAGCTCGTGTTTCAAGTCAAGAAACAATAATTGAGGTAAGATGCTTATAATAAACCAAAAGATTTATGTGTAAAATTATCCACCCTTTTCTCCATTCAGCTTTGAAAGACTTATTCCCATTTATAGGTAAGATCTTATAGTCAAGATATCTAGTAATAAATTTCTTAGATAGGGGAAAATCAGAAGATATAATAGCTATAGTTCTTTTTTTTTTTCTTCTTCTTTTCTGCATTTTTTAATACTTTTTGACAGATTTATCTTATTTCAACTTCATCTTCAAGTTTAAATTGTCAGTTATGTTGAAAAACAAAGATTGATGGAATATAGTTTTACCAAGAAATCCTAATTAAAAATACCTGCTTAATATATATTGATTTTCACTGGATATCACAGATGTATTTGGATTGGATGTTTATTATTAAATAAATAATAACCAGTGCTTTATATTAGCTAGTACTAATTACTATATAAATACATCCAGCTAGAGCTAGATAATGTGGTTACCACTTAAATATTTGATTAGCCATTGTATAAAGATTTACACTCCAAATAGGATTCAATTATCTCGATAACAAATACGGCCCAGTTTTATTAATCACCTTAAACCTGCTAATCTGGTTAATCCCTTCACATTTTTGAGTAGTTGTGTGTCTCAGTTGTGGTGTGTTTTTCCTATGAATATGATACACTATATCTTCTAGTATGAGGCACACACATGTAAGTTTATTCCTTTACAAAAAATAAAAGTCTACCTCTTTATGTAGCTTGCTCGTGCTTCTTTTGTGATTTCTCAGTACCCATGATAGGTAGTCAGAATTCAGACATTAGGTGGAGTATATGTTTTAGTGTTGCTATACGTTGGCAAATGTGAAAGGAAAGTGAAACCATAATGAATATGAGGAGAATCCTAACAAAGAAACTGGGAAATAATACAGATGTAATAATTTAATTTTTCTGATATCCAAGAACCAACTTCAGAAATGAACAATCAACAAATAAGATAAAAGAAATCAAATCATTTACATTATAAAAAAAATTCTAATACATTGTCTGTATTCTTGTCAATAATAAATCAACTCATCATAGAAATACAGCAAATATATGTTATATAAATCATGGTTAAAAAGGTATGCCACATTTCAATATTATCAGTCACCTCGTTTTATTCTCACAAAATACCCTGACATTAGATATGCACATCTTAAAGTATTTGTTAAGTGGCCGGAATAAAGGCCAAATATAAAATAAGAATTGTTCAAAAAATGCCTCAAATCGTTCAGTTGTAATCCTAGTTATATATGACCATTTTTAAGTTACATTAGATTCTGTTGATTTCACACCCAGCCGAAACTGTTTACATTAATGATATTATTAGTTTTATCTGTTCTGTACAAATTAGTCGCTTTTGATACATATTTTACCTTTGCATTCAGTTGTGCTTAATCTGTGACCAAAATAGAAGCAACATTTAAACATAAATTGACTGCATTTTATGGTTTGTCTTATTCTAAAACAAAAAGATACTGTTGCGACCTCACATTTGTAGCTTTTAGATGCATGCAGTTAATTTTTTATTGGGTAAAATTAAATTATTTTCTTTAGAATTTTGTTTCTTTTCTGTCCTCGAAGAAAGCTATTAATATTGATTTGTTTGTCTGTCTGTTACACTTTCTGATTGGTTGACATGTTAACTTTGATTCTAATTGCGTGAGAGTGATGAAACTTGATGTATTGTTTCTCTACATCAAAACTGTAAAAGAGAAGTTTGATTTTTCGATGCTTTACAAAATGATAAATGTCCAACTAATTAATATGTGTCATCTATTCATTTTTATACGTCCACATTCATAATGTGAACGTATTATGCCGTCGCCCCTGTCTGTGTGTGTGTGTGTGTGTATGTATGTATGTGTGTGTGTGTGTGTGTGTGTGTGTGTGTGTGTGTGTGTCTGTGGTTCGCCTACAGGGCGCAATTCTTCATGGATTTTCTTCAAACTTGGTATACTTATTCCTTATACCCCAAGGAAGATCCCTATTGTTTTTGGTGCATGCCCGACCCCCCGGGGCAGAGCCACGCCCATTTCTAGTATTTGTTTGTTTGTCGTCTACAGGCCACATTTCTTAACTAATAATCTTGAAACTTTGCATACACATTCTTTGTACCCTAAGGAACATCCCTATCGTTTGGGGTGCATGCCCAACCCCCAGGGGCAGAGCCACGCCCATTTTCTTTTCGTGTGTCTTTGTGTCGCCTACAGGGCGCAATTCTTACTGGATTTTCTTCAAACTTGGTATACTTATTCCTTATACCCCAAGGAAGATCCCTATTGTTTTTGGTGCATGCCCGACCCCCAGGGGCAGAGCCACGCCCATTTCTAGTATTTGTTTGTTTGTCGTCTACAGGCCACATTTCTTAACTTATAATCTTGCATACACATTCTTTGTACCCTAAGGAACATCCCTATCGTTTGGGGTACATGCCCAACCCCCAGGGGCAGAGCCACGCCCATTTCCCATTTTCTTTTCGTGTGTCTTTGTGTCGCCTACAGGGCGCAATTCTTACTGGATTTTCTTCAAACTTGGTATACTTATTCCTTATACCCCAAGGAAGATCCCTATTGTTTTTGGTGCATGCCCGACCCCCAGGGGCAGAGCCACGCCCATTCCTTATATTTATTTATTTGTTTGTCATCTACAGACCGCATTTCTTAACGTATCAACTTTACATATTTATTCCTTATACCCTAAGGATGATCCCTATTGTTTTTAGTGCATGCTCGCCTCCCCGGGGCAGAGCCACGCCCATTTTTGTATTTGTTTGTTTGTCGTCTACAGGCCGCATTTCTTAACGTATCATCTTGAAACTTTGCATACTTATTCTTTGTACCCTCAGGAACATCCCTATCGTTTTGGGTGCATGCCCACCCCCCAGGGGCAAAGCCACGCCCATTTTCTTTTTCTATGTGTGTGTGTCGCCTACAGACCACAATTCTTAATCAATTGTCTTGAAATTTTTTCATATGAATTGCTTATACCCTAACGATGACCCCTATTGTTTTTTTACCCCCAGGGGCAGAGCCACGCCCATTTTCTTTTCTTTTTATGTCTGTGTGTCACCTACAGGCCACAATTCTTAATCAATCGTCTTGAAAATTTTTCATATGAATTGCTTATACCCTAAGTATGATCCCTATTGTTTTTGGTGCATGCCCGACCACCAGGGGTAGAGCCACGCCCATCCCTTATATTTATTTATTTGTTTGTCATCTACAGATCGCATTTCTTATCGTATCACCTTGAAACTTAGCATACATATTCCTTCTATCCTAAGGAACATCCCTATTAGTTGTGGTGAATACCCAACCCCCAGGGGCAGAGCTACGCCCATTTTCTTTTTTTATGTCTGTGTGTCACTTGCAGACCGCATTTCTTAATCGATCATCTTGAAATTTTTTTTAGACTTATTCCTTATAGCCTAAGGCTACGTTTTTACACTTATTCCTTAATCCTAAGGCTGGCCTCTATTATTATTTTTGGTGCATGCTCAACCCCTTGGGACAGAGTCACGCCTAATGTTTGTGTGTCTTGTGTTTTGCCTACAGGCCGCAATTCTTAACCGATCCTTTTGAAATGGGGATACCTATTCTAAACGTCATGCTTTTAGAATAAAGACATCGATTGTTTTAAAATAAAAATTGTGTTCTGTTAATGTGAACGAAACGTTAAACTGATAGCAGTCCTACAACCCAGTTTTATTTCACAGACCCTCAATGCAAACTGGACCATATCAAACAAAACAGGAATGTGGACGTATATTGCTGCGTTAGCGATGCTCTTGTTGGATTTAGTCGGGGTACGTCAGCCTCACTGTTGGCTTGTTGCAATGATTCCTACTACCAGTACTCCAATTCAGTTACAGCACACTTTATTATAATTACTTGTATTATGATTTTTATAATAACAGAGCCCTCAACATGGTAGTCTTCACAGATCACATCGTAATAAAGGTGAAGCACGCTATGCCACTCAGATTAATTTGACCAGTAAAACAGATGCTGGTGGCAGTTCATCTACTAGAACTAAAAACAGCCATTATAATTCAGAGGTAGTAAAAATATATCATCAACCATATTAAATTTAAGTTTAAATCCTAGATTTTTTATTTAAAGGAGCTAAATCGCTAACATTTGGGACCTAGAAATTCACAAAAGTGGGTCGCAACGCATATAATACTGTAATATGAATGTATATAAACTGATTTACATTTAATGGTTTCCGTTTTTACTCCAATTTCAAATTAGTTATGTTCGGCGAAATAAGTCAGCAATCTCAATCGAGTGCAAATTTCTAGCGTCTAGTTATTCTAGTCTACATAACTCCATTTGATTTGGTGCAATGTGTCTAGCCTCGTCCCTCGAGTCTCTCAATACAACTGGGGCTGAAGCGCATTATGGTACACGATTCGTTTACCAATGTTAAAAAAATTATTTTATCTTAAATATCGGATATCAGAGGCTCATCTTTTCCCGGTAAGTTTACATCATCAATGTTGATTTAAATTGACCAATAATTCGTGTTTTCGATGTCGAAGATTTTGGAGGATTTTGAGTTACGGACTTAGCTCCTTTAAATGTAACTTTCTGATGGCATGCATGCATAGGTTTAGCCTGGGCTGTGGAGCTATGGCCTAATCTGATTTTGAATTCCATCTGAAGGTGATCTTTCATATGCTGCAAACGATGTGTATTGGAACTCAGTTTTTCATATAATCCAAATGATTAGGTGCGTTTCCTCACCAGACTCACCTTCCTGTACAGATGACGGGTTGAATTGCTTGATGCAAAAAGATAAATATGCAATTAAAGAGTTATCTATTTATTGTCCCCGACCTTACGAAGAATGCATGGGACTATTAAAATGGGTCCATCCATCCGTCCGTCTGTCTGTCCGTCACACTTTTTGGGACACAATAATCCTAATTGAGCTAGAATTTTCAAACCTTGGTGTAGGTGTTTATTAGGTGAATACATTGACAGTGTTTCAACCATGTGCATTTTCCACTAAGGTTAAGCAGAGATAAGCAATTTTATTGGTTAAGACTTTGTTACACGATAAATTTGGCCCTAATTGGGTGAGAGTGATGAAACTCAAGGGTATAGATTTATACTAACACTTTGACTAAGTTCGATGATGAGAATTTTCTGCTTAGGCTAAGTAGCGATATGCAATTTGATTGGTCAAGACTTTGGGACATTGGTGTAGATGTTCAATAGGTTAACATTATCCGCTAAAGCTGAGCAGAGCTAAGCAATTTCATTGGAATGAGATAACTTTGATTCTAACTGATGGAGAAGGATGAAACTTAATGTATAATTTCACTACCAGGTACTTCAAACGCTTGACTGAGTTTGATCGTGAACATTTCTTTATAGAATACTAGCAGGATACCCGGCTTCGCTCGGGGGTCATAACTCCGAAACCGGAAGTGGTAGACTAACGCCACCTGGTCTATGTTACTCCCCGGTTCGAGCTACCCCTATACCCCAAATTTCAGACTCGGGGCAGACCTAGTGTAGCCGCCAACCCCGAACAGACCGGCTTCGCACGGGGGTCATAACTCTGAAACCGGAAGTGGTAGACTAACGCCACCTGGCCTATGTCCCTCTATTCCGAGCTACCCCTATACCCCAAATTTCAGACTCGGGGCAGACCTAGTGTAGCCGCCAACCCCGAACAGACAGACTTCGCTCGGGGGTCATAACTCCGGAAGTGGTAGACTAACGCCACCTGGCCTATGTTACTCCCCGGTCCGAGCTACCCCTATACCCCAAATTTCAGACTCGGGCCAGACCTAGTGTAGCCGCCAACCCCGAACAGACAGACTTCGCTCGGGGGTCATAACTCCGAAACCGGAAGTGGTAGACTAACGCCACCTGGCCTATGTTACTCCCTGGTCCGAGCTACCCCTATACCCCAAATTTCAGACTCGGGGCAGATGTAGCCGCCAACCCCGAACAGACAGACTTCACTCAAGGGTCATAACTTCTAAACCGGAAGTGGTAGACTAACGCCACCTGGCCTATGCTACTCCCCGGTCCGAGCTACCCCTATACCCCAAATTTCAGACTCGGGGCAGACCTAGTGTAGCTGCCAACCCCGAACAGACCGACTTCGCTCGGGGGTCATAACTCCGAACCTGGAAGTGGTAGACTAACGCCACCTGGCCTATGTTACTCCCCGGTCCGAGCTAACCCTATACCCCAAATTTCAGACTTGGGGCAGACCTAGTGTAGCCGCCAACCCCGAACAGACAGACAGACAGATAGACAGACAAACGACAGTCACAAATATATATATAGATAGATATAGATACTTTTCAAAAAGATAAATCTGCAATTAATTGTATGTGTCATCTATTTATTTTGGGATTGTGGTGGAGAACATCAGCCTCACTTTTGGCTTGTTTTAGTATTGAGTTGGAGGACATAAGCGTCACTGTTGGCTTTTAAGATTTAGTATGAATATTATCAATATATTTAGTTTCCTGCGGCCTGCTTCAAGAGATGTGCATGAGGCCAATGTTTTTCTCTGCAATTTGTTCCAGAGGTTCCTTTTTAGAATATTTACTACCGTTATAGTTAATTATGTGTTTCAGGGATTTTTAGTGTTCATCATCTCTCTATCTGTTCACTGCACTGTCAATGTGTTGTCCTATCAGAGTCTATTTTGGACTTGAGATATTCCAGTCCAGTGTTTTAACAACTAATTAATGATACAACCATTAAATAGTAGTTTGACAGGTTTTATTCTTCCTGCTTTCAGAAATTAGTAGCTACAGTGGCGCCGACTACTCTACCACAGCTGAGTAATGCTGAACCTCGTCAATCTCAACCTAAACCAACTCATCATGATTCTACTATAGATTCTAATACTCTACCACAACTTAAATCAACAGATGTTGGTCTCTCCACAGACAGAAGTAAACGTGATAGCTATGGAAATCGTTTACCTCTTTCTCCTTCCGGTAAGAAATTAAAGATCGAAATTGGTTACCAATCAGTCAAAATTAGTTTTTCTGAAAGCTTATTATATCCCATCAATATTCCATGCAATTTTTTTCGGTCAGACTTGATCAGGCAAGGATATTACCGGTAACTGTCATTTACATTGATAACAAAGTTTTGGTGACAAGTGAAATAAATCAGAGATTGATTAATGTGTAAATTTTTAATGGTAATACTCCTGATGACTTATCTCATAACCGAAGCATAATGCTTATAAATTATCTGAAATACTCAGACTATGGTATTCGGTACAGTGTTTTAACAATTAAAGACAGTGGTAACTCTGTTTATATTTAAGGTCCATTGTATTTTGACCAATATATGTTAATATGTACACACAATTGCCGAAAAATAAGTGAATGATGAGTAACTGACGATAACATTGTGGTCAATGCTCACTTTGCAGCAAACTGGATGTTACAAAGATAGTGTTTATCTACTAATTTACACAAAAACTAATTTACTCACATTAACGTGTTGCTTTCAGATTGTTGGTTCGACTCTGTTTTGCGCGAGATAGAAATGGGGGTTCAACATCCACTCAACCCAAACTAGGTCATAGTGGGGCTAACATGTTACCATTGTTTTTTTCAATAATTCACTTTCACGTAGGGGTCTTTATCAGTGGGACAAAATTGGGTTGGTATGCGATCATACACCTTGTCTTAATCAGAAACAGACTTGAGATAGAGATCGAAACCATGCCACTTTACTCAGTGACAGACCTTATGATCTACAGCGCCTGGACTACCTGGCATCAAATTAATACTACCTCTAATTGACATTTCATACTGTATGGAAAAGTTACTGAATCAGTTGCATTAAATCGATCTCTGTTTAATATGTATCAATGGTTTCTAATTTTAAATAGAACCAGAAATCAAATTACTTTTGACGTTAATGTATTTGTGTTTGCAGAAGCGTTAAAGCTGTATCGTGGTAAATTAACTAATTTTGAGCAAGGAGAGATTCTCGATTTTCCCGAGATCTGGTTTCTAGGTTTGGAATCAAAGAAAATAGAAGGTGTGTCAGGTGGTGCTCAAAACAATGGTTATGATGATGAAAATGGCTCATACCTTAAGGTATGATAGAATATAATCAGATTTTTCTACCTGTCTACATGATATAGGATTGTTAGGCCCCAGGAATTGTTTCTTCCTTATTTCTTTGGCAAATAGACATATTTACAAACCAAAAGCACTTGTCTGTACTGTTCACAAGCATTTAGTTCCAAATTTGAAATTTAAACAAAACATCTTTCACTTGATTTAAGTGGCTTTTACTTATATAAATACCCTGAAAAACAGAAAATCAAATTGGTGTGACCTTGTATATTTTTATTACAGTATATACTCCCATTGTACTTAAGTTGTGATCAGACCAGTCAGTGGGACGCAGTCGGCCAATCTGGACCATTTGTAGAGTGTGTATAATAAAACTTAGTTTGTGACTCACTAGAACTCGGTTTCCCCTTGTCGGTGAAGCAGGACGAAGGTCTCCTGTACACATTGGCATGCACATATATATAAAAGTACCCTTTACAGTTGGAATATGAAATAAAGAGTAGCCCATAGCACCGCTTTCCGAGCAAAATTTCCATCACAGCATTTCTAACTTACACTGATTGTTTAAGCTGTATATTTCCATTGCCTTTTACATTGTGAATTTACAATTGTCAACGGATGATTAGTTGATCCAGCATTCAACCAATCTGAAATCATTTGCAGAACATGTCACCTTCTAGCGGTGAAATTAACGTATCTACACCATTTTCGAGCGCTGTATTTATTTTTCAGGCTATGCATGATCATCTTGTTTATAGATATGAGATTTTAGAAGTTTTAGGGAAAGGTTCATTTGGTCAGGTTGTGAAATGTTTTGACCACAAATTAGACAAGATGATTGCCATTAAGATCATACGAAACAAGAAGAGGTTAGTATATCCTTACTATTTTCATTTTATTTTCTGAAAAACACTTCTACTATGTGTTTAATTATTTTGGAAATAGGTCCAAGTATCTAAATCCAGATATTAAAAAAGTTATCAATTATTTTGAACTCTATAAAGATATTATAAATGTTTTCTTTTCTAACTGAAAATGACAAATATATTGTGTCGTGTCTTTGACTAAAAGAAATTATTAACCCTTTAACATTTGGAACATGAGAAAAGCTATCTTTTTTATGTTGACTTTAAAGCTCATTTTTCTAACCACCCGAAATTACTTCTCCCTAGACCACCTGAGTCACGGAACCAATATACGGTCCTAAAATATTTCACAGCTATTTATGTGCCTCAAGTGGTTGGAGGTGTAAGAGGGAGAGTTAGTTTCGAGCGATCATGTTGCCAATGGATTAACATAAAAATCTTTATTGTTTCAATGTTAGGTTTCATCATCAAGCCTTAGTAGAAGTAAAAATACTGGATGCTCTAAGACGTAAAGACAAGGATAACCAGTACAATATTATTCATATGTTTGAATATTTCTACTTTAGAAATCACCTATGTATTGTATTTGAATTAATGGGGTATGTTTTTATTACAACATAATAAAAGTTAAATATCTAAAATGGCTCATTTTTATTATTTGCTTCTTTTAAGAAAATTGATCAAATTTTGAAAGTTTATGATTATAAATATTTACTTTTAGATTCTGAAGTGTTTTCAAAAAAAACTTTATATTTAGTGAAATATCCAGAATAATCTTCAGTTTAAATGTTAATGAAACTAGTATTTTGATTATTTATTGAAAGTATATCCTCTATTTCAGAATGAATCTGTATGAGTTAATTAAGAAGAATAATTTCCAGGGTTTTAGTATTGCGTTAATCCGACGTTTTGCTTTTGCTTTACTACAGTGTTTAAAAGTTTTACAACGAGAGAAAATAATCCATTGTGATTTAAAACCAGTAAGTGTATTGGAAATATACTTTCAAGTAAAGGAATCCCAAATAATTATAAAAGTGTGGGAAAGTGTTGTATTTAATATCACCACTAGTTTTGCTTGATAAAGACGAGAGTATCATCGTTGAAACGTTGCATGTTAATAAACCAGTAATTGTTATTCCATAAATAGTGTTAGTGTATCACCACTAGTTGTCAAATGGCAAACTAGTCCCCACAGTGACAAGTAATGATTATTAAGACCAATGGCATACTGGCCAAACAGCAATGATCAGTTTATTAAAGATTAGTATGGGTTGGAATATGCATTGTTGAATAAGTCTTTGTGAACTCTGGCATGCGATATCTGCAAATGTTTAGATGAACAGGATAACATTAATTGATTCTGCTCTCAGCTGATTTGTTTTCCTTTAAAGTAGTACCCCTCTTTTAGTACTACGGGAATCCCTTGCAAACTACAATATAGTGAAAGTTTTATTTCTTAATAGGAATATCAGTCCAAAAACAGTTCAATTCCAATGGGCCTAGTTTAAATACAATTAAATCCAAGCTGGGAAATTTTGTTTTCTTAATTAAATTTGATATTTAAGCGAAAATGCAAATGACGCATCAAGCCTTTAATAAGAACTTCTTAAAATGATAATCACACTTTATCTTTGGTAGGAGAATATTTTATTACGTCAAAGGGGTCAAAGTTCAATCAAGGTCATAGACTTTGGGTCAAGTTGTTATGAACATCAAAGAGGTAAGTATTAGGATTAGATATAAAATAATTATTGCAAATTGAATTAAAAGTACATGTACACCAGTTGTGTGAAATATACAAAGTTAGTGTCTGTACGACTCCATAAATCAATATGAAAATACACCTGTCAATATTAGAAACTTACTTATAGATATAACAATAGGGCTATGCTCTGGGATTAAAACTTAGGATGATATAGAAATTCAGGGTAATTTACTAGTTGATGTCTCTATGTTTCAGTTTACACATATATCCAGTCTCGTTTCTATAGATCACCAGAAGTAATACTAGGTTTACCTTATTCTATGCCTATAGATATGTGGAGTTTTGGTTGTATATTAGCAGAACTCTATTCAGGTAATAATAACTAAATACTGTAAAGCAAAAAATAAATATGAAATATTGTGGATGAACAAATAGTTTCCAAAACAAAGTCAGACGATTATCCAATCTTAAAACTAGTTCTTTGAAACACAGTAGAATCTGGGGTAGTCATGTGGTTGGGACATTAGAATGTTCAAGGTTCACATCTTGGCATTATATGATTAGAACTTGTAGGATTTTTCTAGCCCTGTTTCCAATTGTCAGTTACAGAGCTTGTGTGGCATACAAGAAACTTATGTTTAGTGACTTAATCTAGACACAAATCGCAGTATCCCAATAGATATTACCAGAGTTTCCGATAACCGGTATTTTCCGGTTTTATACCGGTAAATTTAAAGTATACCGGTAAATTATCTTCTCGGCGGTCCATGGGACCGGTAAACAATGATACGGAAAATCATAAACGTCAACAAAATTAACTGCAACTTTATCTTTCCATTCATAACTCATGTCAAAAATCTCGTGCTGACCGTGGGTGTCGAAAAGTGGTGCTATTTATAGTGACTTCGGTATGATGGTTTCTTCCGTCTTGAAGATCGCTGCTTAATGTCTGCATGATCTTCACAAAATGGCACCAAAGTAAACGAATCTTTCGTCCTGTAACGGAGGTTGTGATACATGTATCAAACGCAAAAGAAATATTGTTATATCTTTGGTAGTTCCAGCAGAGGAAAGACAGGTTTACGTCGGCAAAATTTAATATACGTCTCTGAGTAATCGTTTATCATAGCACCCTAGTTTTTGTCTGTCACCTTTTAGTTTTTATTCATTCGACGATGATAGACAAACTACACAATGATCACGTGACAACCACAATTGAAATTTCTTTAAAATCATTTTATTTTTTTTTTTTTTGACTATGTCATAGCCTTTAATAATATCGACAGCATCTATAATAATACAAAGCTTCTGTCAGCATGTAGTATAAAGTAAAAAATCATAACGTTAAACAGTATTTAAAACTAAAGCTAACTTCGCTGATTCATTGACCTAATTCCAGCGATGTCACGTGTCATTGGTATTCCGAGATTTTATCGGAAAAATATGTTAATAATGACTGTTTCTCTGAATAGTCGGTGTTTTATCAGTGGATTATATTCAATGAAGATTTAAATTGAACTAACAACTGGTCTGTGAAACCATCACATCTATCATCCAATTATTATTTTAATATCTACCTAGAATTCATATGGAGCGTCAATCAAAGACGCGCGATTCTCGAGATTCACAATACAAACCATGACGAGATCCGCTTGGCTTATTTTCACAATCTGTTCAACATGTTTCAATGAAGGGTTTATTTATTTGAATACTTTTACAAGATTGATTAGCTGTAAAATTTTGTTTTCATCAGACTGGTAAAATTACGAGTGGACCGGTATTTTTTACCTCTACCGGTAATTTTTTTAAACTAGCGGAAACACTGATTACCAATTTTTTTAACTATTGCTTTAATTTGTCATGTAGTTCCTTTGATATTTGAATGCGATAGTACTGGTAAATGAAAACTATGAAGTACCTATGCATTTTTTAAACTTCAGGATATCCATTGTTTCCTGGAGAGAATGAAGTGGAACAACTGGCATGTATTATGGAAGTCTTAAATCCACCTCCACAAAATATTCTTGATGCTGCTACACGTAGAAGACTATTTTTTGGTAAGACATTAAAATTGAAATTGTTGTGGATCGTCAACTTATAAATAGAAAAATTAGTATTTTAACGAGAAAATGGATTGTATATTTTGCTTATAAATAGAAAAATTAGTATTTTAACGAGAAAATGGATTGTATATTTTGCTTAAAATTTAAAATGATTTTCATTTGGTGACTTTTAAAGTATGGCTTTATTGTTTTTAGATTCTAAAGGAAATCCACGATGTATAACAAATAGTAAGGGTAAAAAGAGACGAGTTGGATCACGAGAATTACATCAAGCAATTAAAACCAGTGATGCCACATTCCTTGATTTTATTAAAAAATGTCTAGAGTAAGTTTTGTAAATCTTGGAATTATGGTAGTGCTCAAAGTCTTTATCTTCTGCCTCACCATTTATATTGGCATCGCTTATATTTATTGTAATCCTTCTATTATCTGTTGTGAAATTGAAAGATATTTGTACAGTATTTTTTCAAAGAGAAATCTGCCCTTGAAAGACAAAAACTATCTAAAGATTTGTTGCATAAAAGAAGGTGCATAAGTAATAATAACTTTCTGCCATCCTTCATGAAAAAATATAATACAAAAGATGATAGAGTATAACAAATAAAAGAGAAGGATGAACAAGAGTATAAAATAATCAGGATGAAATTATAATACAAAAGGTGACAGCACCAAAAGAGAAAGATATAATAACACATAATAAGACATATAACTTACAATAGCAAAAGGTATAAAAATGTGAAACAAGGAAAAATTACTTATAAGAGATTCAAGTAAACTTTTTGAAGCCTTAATAATTTAGTATATTTTGACAGAGTAAATGCTCTGAAATGGCTGTATGTTTTCCAGAATTACAAGGGTTTTTTTTTTCATATTTTTTTTTAAATGCTATTATTTGTTTTTTATAGATGGGATCCTGCTATGAGAATGACACCCGATGAGGCATTACAGCATGACTGGATTAAAGAAGCTCTTGTACATAGAAAAGAACGTTCTAATAAATCTCAGAATAAACGTTATTCTACACCTACAACCTCTCAGGATCTTAAAGATCCTTATAAAACCCCTGCTCAACCCCCTAATAAAGGTATAAATACAACAGAATTTTAGAAATCTGGACAAGACTACAGGGCTTGATAGGATAGTAGGGTTTTAGTTTCATTAAGTATTGAAATGTTTATATAACAAGTATGCAGAGCAGAGTTCCATTAGCTCCCTTAAGTTATATGCCCAGGGTGGGTGGGGGACCGAATGGATTGGTTAGCATGTGCGCGTTGTATCATAAGGTCTGTCATTGAGTCAACTGGTGTGGTTCGATTCCCTGGCTGTATGTGAGAAGGAGTAGGGTCACCTGTCCAACCTCGTGGGTTTTCTCCAAGTCCTCCGGTTTCCTGCCACTGCAAAAGACCCCTACGCACATGCCAATTACTGAAATAAAATTGAACCATATATTAGTCCCAAAATGACCTAGTTTATGTCGAGTGGATGTTAAACCCCATTTCTGTCTTTCTTTCATATGGCCACATTTACGTATATCGTCATCACCCCTGTCCGTTCATCTGTCTGTCTGGACTTCCACAATTTGTTTGTCGCCAGTCTACAGGTCACAGTTTTTATTCGATTATGACAAAATATAGGTTTATCTTCCAAAGATCTTGGTTACTTTTGAGGTCACAATTTTTATCCGATTTTAACAAAACCTAAAATGTATTTTTATAACCCAAGGATCTTGGTTCCTGTTAATATTTGCATATATTGGACTGTAATTTCTGGATTATGGCCCCTGATTGTACGAAAAATCCTTTTTTAGCTTGTTCCTTTAGAGGTCACAATTTTTATCCTATATTAAAAACTGTTTAAATATATCACCGTAACACCCTAATGATGGTTGAGTTTGAATTTCTTGAAAATCAGACCAAAACTGCCCGACAAAATACTATGGTTGTGGACCCTCTCTAGAGGTCACAATTTTTATCCGATTCTGATGAAACTGAAAATATATGTATATATCCCAAAGATGTCGCTTCCTTTCGATATTCATGCATAGTAGACCGTAACTTTATGGATTATGGCCCCTGATTGTACGAAAAATTCATGTTTTTAGCTTGTGGTGCCTTTAGAGAAGTTACATTCAAATAAATGACTGTTACCCTATAAATAGCCGCTCTTCTCGTACACAAATAGTAGCTTAGTATGTAATAGTAATACCAATGTTGTGGACTCTCTTGAGGTCACAATTATTATCCGATTTTGATGAAACTTAAAATATACATTTATATCCCAAAGATCTGTATTCCTTTTGATACTTGTTTGTATTGGACCGTAACTTCCTAATTTTTTCTAGCTTGTTTTCTGTCCATCTCTTGCAAAATGTGGTCGTATATCTTGCATGGCAACCGCTTGTTTTAAAAATTTAATATTCTTTAATACGAAAGTGGAGTTTATGATTGTACAGCTATGTTAGAGATAAATCTATGAGAATTATACTAATTGTCTTTGGCATCTCCACAGGCGCTCCACTGATGTTTTACCCAGATTTCAATTGCTTGTTGTTAAATAAAATATGTAATTATAAATAGTATCTTGATACAGTGGACTCTGTCACATCCGACATCGTGCAGGATCGTTACAATAATTCGGATCACACAGCGTTTCGGAATACCTAGTTTTCTCCAAAACCTGAAATACTGTAACTTCGAAAACCGGAAGTATTTTTATATTGTAGCTTCGAATCACCAGAATGCTATTCCCTTTATAAATTATAAACTTCTCTGTAGTTTCAAAATTTTATTATATTAAATAATTAACAATAACAATGCATGCGTACAATATATTCATAAATCGTTTACATGTAATATCAATGCATGCATACAATATATTTATAAATATCAATGCATGTAATCGTTTAAAGTAGTTTGCTTAGTTAAGATTACCGGAAGCATATCTTAAGGCGGAGTCCTGGGCAACATCTTCTAACAAATGAATTGTTGCGATCATCTTTTCGTCTTTAATCTGTGCGAAGTGTTTAATGTCGTTGAGCATGCTTAGGAATTTTGAATAGGTCAAGTCTGTCGTTAATGTATATTCTTCATCGTCCCCGTCTTCAGTCAATTGTCATTTATAATCTGTCGTTCTATGTCCAGTTTTTGAAGCCAATCAAAGTAAACGGCACCTGTCATCCAAGCTTTGCGATTGGCCGACCAATTGACTGGCAGGTAGATCTTGTCCACTCCCTTAAAACAACTCGGGTTCACTGCTTTACCGATCAAAGTAATCAACACAGTTTTAATCTCACCGATAATTGATTGGTGATTACTTGTTAATCTTTTCTGACTTCACACCCATTGAGTTTTAATCTCACCAATAATTGGATGCTTCACACCCACCGTTTGAAGTACGGATTATACGGTGTCGATTCAATGGAAATTATGTGACGGGACGGCTGATTGATTTCGGAATCCGGAACATACAGAATTCGGATTTACCAGCGATTTTTTGGCTGAAGTAATAAGGAAATAAATCGGGACATGAAAATCATACCGGATGTCACAGCAATCCGGAGTGATCAGAGATCGGATGTGACAGAGTCCACTGTATATTCTTTCAAGCCAGTTAATGTAATGAGAACCATAGAGTGAGAATATGAGACTAATTGTTTTTGATCATTAAAAATCTTCCATACCATCATTATATTGATATTATATATTCTTTATGTATTAGATAAATCCAAGTCCGATGATTGGAAGATAAGTTATAAAGATAAGCGAAGTGCCAAAACCAAGGAGCGAGTTCCACCACTAGGGGCATCAGCAGAACAGAACCAGGAGGATTCAGCTAGAGGTAAACACTGGTGCTATCAGTCACTTGACATAATGTAATTGTATCTATGTTAGGACAAAATCTCCTTTCTTGCACAGGCTCCCTGATCATCATACATTTCCCCAATGACTTTCATGTTAATTCCCATCTTTATGACCGACTCTAACTTTAACTTTTCTCTAACTTCAATGTAATCAACTTCTTAGCTCACAAAAATCAGACACAAAATGTAAATCAAAGCTTTTTCTTTGATTCTACAGCAAAAGGTTAGCAAAATAGGGTAAAGGGAGAGAAATACAATAAATAGAAGGAACTACATTCATAAGTAACCATATGAGATGAGGATGATTAATTGTAAGCTGGGTAATGGATAAAAAAAATGGGATTTAAAAAAAAGTTTAGTTTTTGTTGTACACGTGTTGAACACAAGCAATAGATTTCTTGTTAGTGATGATTTGTTGAGGAGTAGGTTGTAGCTATTCCAACACAATTTCAGTAGGGGTGCCTGTCCAACCGTGTGTTTTCTCCTGGTCCATCAGGTTTCCTCCCACTGCTAAAGACCCCTACGCGCAATCAATTATTGAAATAAAATTGAACTGTGTGTTAGTCCCAAAATGACCTAGTTTGTGTCCAGTGGATGTTAAACCCCATTTCTCTCTCCAACACAATTTGTTTTTTTTACATACAGTCATTGTTGATAAAAGAATCAGCTACTCTAATACTCATAATGATCAACAAACCTTAATTCCATTTCATCAGAAAGATAGACATTTTTGAGGAATGAACATCTCTGCTAAATGATGCTCACACTCATTCTCAAACTTTACTGTGTTCAAATTTATTCCATAATCCTGTGACGTTCATGATATTTCATAATTACAGCTCCCAGTACTAAAAGTAGTTCAAAGAATTTGAAGAAACAAGATATGGAAGCTATAGAAGAAAAATCAGATAAAGATAAGTCCTCTTTAATATCTGAGAAAACTGGATTGACTCATCAAGATAGTGGTTTAGAAGAAGGTGGACAATTTCTTCCTCCAATTACAAAATAAAGAAAAGTTCTATCAGAGAAGAATTATTAAGTTATCAGTTTTCCCTGTTTTTGTGACTGAAATCCTAAACTTTGTGAAATTTTTATATACATAATTTCATTAAATTTCTTACTAATTAATTTCTCGGAGTACAAAATGTAATGCTGAGTTCCATCTCTTGAGACTATTTATTATTAATTGGCTACTACCTTGTTAGTAACAAAGATATTAAAAACTATCATGAAGATATCCAAAGCTAGTTAACAAAATTCACACCTATTTTTAGTTAATGTTATTTTTATGAATGATGGCTTTAATGATTACCATTTGTAATTATCATATAATGTGAAACATTTATATTTTTAGTAAATTTATATTTCATTTTGAAAAGTATTATTAAAGAGCATACTAAGAATAAATTTCAAAAGTTAACTGATTCTGTTTTATACTGTAACTTAATAATCGATATAATTATTAATTTGTTTTAGCCTTGTATGTACGTTATTTAAGGCTGTGATGTTAATGATTTGTTAGGCTATAAGCTGAAAATTGTGTATTAGATTGAAGATGCACTTAGGTTACCTACATATATCCATATTGATCGTTAGCATTGAAATATTTTTATTCAGTTGACATGTTTTGGAGAAATGTACAATATCAATATATAATATATCATTTACCCACACATCATTGCTCAATTATGGATTTTATATTTGATTTCTCTTGTATACTACATGTTTCAAAACAAACTAAAAATTATACTTTTTTGTCAGTTCATAGCAATATTAGTATGTAGAGTATAGGAATTTATATGTAATACTCAACTCAAATATGCAAGAATATTTAATATTTTGAAGATAGGTATTGTTTTAAGTAATTCATTATTTGTTCAAAAAAGGTACTAAATTTTATTTTTACTGTAGTTAGTATTCAGATAGACTAGTATCAGTAATTCAAACAGGCTTCCATGCCATGCGCAGTACAAAACCTTACCAACCTACTATTGCACCTAATCATGTATAAAGCATTTTTACCACTGATGTGTTGTTCTGCCAGTTACTAATAGAGCCCAGGGATTATTCAAAGGTGTAGTTGTGTATAAGTCTGGTAAATGAAGATTAATTATGCCAATGTTCTCAGATAGTAATGAAATAGACAATAATAGGATTAGTTTTTCTTGATATATGTTAAGACAAAAAAGAAGGATAAGATTTAATAGTTGAGATAAGTAAATTAGACCTGGCAGTATAAGTAGTGTGTGCTTTGCCATATTCTTGCTTATAAATGTCTTATTGAATGTTAACCATGCTTTTTGAGGATTGATATTAATGCAAAACTTAGAATGACCTATTATCTGAAATTTTTGGTTTATTTGTTATACCTTTTTTAAGTTAGAAAAGGATTTTTAAGTTCCCAATATTTGAAATCAAAAGGTGATCAATAACGGTTAATGGTTTTCCCATACAATTATTTTCAATAGCTACATGAGTATTATTTTTGCTGTCAATGTGCCTCTGTTTTTAAGAATATTAGACATTTTATTCTGTTATGTAGTTAAGATGTTATTGTCTGTTTTACTGTTTGTTAATAAGTTATGTTATTGTTAAATTGAGATTGTTTTTTAAAACAAATGTGAACACTGTATGAAAATCAAAAGACTTATTAAAAAAAAATTTTATTCATTAAGGTTTAGAAACACTTAAAAGTTTAAGAATTGTGCAAATAATCAAAAAAATGAAATCAGTATTAATTTTATTAATGATGGAATTTAGTAATAGGGTTTATTAATCGTTTCAAGAATAATTGCTACCCTTAGAAACTGTGTTGTTTATATTAAAGTTGTGTTGACAATTTTTTAATAATTTATATGCCCACATTTTAATATGGTTTTATATTACCGTCACCCTGTCTGTCAATTCGTCTGTCATTCACATTTCTTGCTAGCTCATTAGAGGCTACATCTCTTTGAAATCGATATAGGTTATTGATCTTCAATTGTTCTCGATAACTGAGTTATTCCCCTTTGTTATACAATCTTGTTACCACCTTATAGAGGTTTCAGTTATGATCCTATTTCTTAAATTTAATTTGATTGTCTATCCATTGAAAGGAAGAACTCTATTGGTTTTCAATAATTCCCATAGTTATGGCACTTTGGTCTGTCGTTCACATTTATTGTAGTACAATAAAGGGCACAATAATCAATATACGTTTTTGAAATTAATAACGAAGAAGACTGTAGAACTTTCCTGGAATTTATATTATGTTGAAAGGAACAATCCTATAGATTTGCAATAACTTCCAAAGTGGATTGAGTTTGTTTAAAAATCTTGTTAGCACGCTAGAGACCTTACAGTAATTATGACCTGATATTTTTTAAATGTTTATGAGTTAGCTAGTAACTTTTTAGACAACTTGGCTCCTAGTGGACATATGATTCAGTGCCTGGCAAACCATGTTTTTATTTTCTATTTGCGGGGTGACGGATATTTCTTTTGGTGTTAAAGTATTCCAGTGTATATTTAAAACATTAATTATGCAATTTTGATATTTATATCAAACTGAAAAATCAAATTATTAAATATTTTTTAGGGTACAGTTTTGAATTATTTAGTTTTTTTTAAAACAAATTCCTTGTTTGTGACAATGTATGTGCATGTTTACATTATGTGTTACACAATGCATACTACCAAAGCAGTATTTATGACCATACCAGCCAGTTTTGTAGAAAGTTTTATTTTATTTGTTATGTATAAATATATTTGTTTATAATCAAAATATTTTTAGTGGTTAAAGTTGGAATTTGTAAATACAATTCTGCACACAAATTGTTGTTCTGGATACACAAGGATGCCTGGAACCATATCAAGGCATTTGTCCACATATTGCAAATATTGATGCATAAATTATATATATTCTATACCATTCTAATTAAAAAATTTAACATGGTATATAAAAACAAAAATAGTTTGTATTTTGTATGATTTAAATTACTTATTTTTATGCTGGTGTATTTTATAGACACATTAATTATGTATTTAATGAAATTAACCAGGGATACACAACATTTTATTTTTCTGATTTATAATAATCTAAGGTAACAGGGTTTTTTTTGTTTTCAGTTGTATTATGTTGTGTTTACTCTATCATGATTGCCCTCCCAAACTTTAACCATCTGCCTACAAAACCAAAAATTAAAAAAGTATTAAAATTGTGACTTATTAAATTTAAATGTAGAAATCGATACCACTTATTTATTTTCAAAGCTAACATACTTTACAGCTCTTCTTTTTAAGTTATTTCCAACATAGATATAAAGATATGTTCCAATTTTGTATTATGGGTATAATACGTATATGAAGTGTGCAATTATATTAACATATATCAATATATTTGTTATTGAATTTATTATAATTTATCATGATTATTTTATATAAAACTATGATTTATTTGCTTTGCATCATGTATATAAGATTGTTTTCTAAATTATTTTTTTTATTATTTTATGAAAGATTTTAATCAGATGATAAATATAATGAATATCTATTCAAAATCAACTGCATTGTGTATTTGTTTTTATATTTAGAGAGGGAGAATTTAACTCAACGCAAACTGTCATTATGGGACTAACACATACAATATTATGTCAATAATTCACTTGCAAGTAGGGGTCTTTAAAAGCGAACACGTGAACTCTACTGCATCATGTAGTAGAGTACTGCGACAAGGACTTGTGTACCGCTCTACTGTGCGGTACTACTTTCCTACCTGATTTCCAGCAAAGAGTTTTTTTCATATTTTCGCCAAAACTATGGAACATATAGTCCAGCAGCTCCAGGTGGGGAATCGCCATTCGAGAGGAGAATTTATGAGATCAAGTTTTACCAGAGCAGTTTTTATACACCCACAATTTTATGTGGACATATATTGTTGCCGCTTCTGTGTATCCGGACATCTGTCTGTCCACAATTTGTTTGTGTACACTCTACTGGTCACAATTTTTATCTAATTTTGATGAAACTTGAAATAGGCATGTATCGGACCATAACTAATGGATTATGGCCCCTGATTGAACGAAAAATCACGTTTTTAGCTTTTGGACACTCTAGAGGTCACAATTTTCATCTGATTTTGATGAAACCTGTAATGCATGTTTATAACCCAAAGATCTTGGTTCCTTTGGATATTTGCGCAAATAGTGTAAAAATATGGCATATCAATGTTGTGGACCCTCTAAAGGCCACAATTTTTATCCGATTTTGATGAAACTTTAAATTTATGTTTATATCACAAAGATCTTGGTTCCTTTGGTACCTTCAAGAAGTCACTATTTTTATCAGATTTTGATGAAACTTAAAATATATCTTTATATCCCAAATATCTCAGTCAATTTCGATATTTGTGCATTTCAGATCATAACTACCTGGATTATGGCCCCTGATTGTAAGGAAAGTCACTTTTTTTTTTAGCTTGTTCTCTATCCATCTCTTGCAAAATGTGGGCGTACGTACCCTGCCTGGCAGCCGCTGGTTTGTATAGATTTTGATTCTGGATGGTGATCAGGTGATTTAAAGAGCTTTTCCGAGATACGGCTTGGGTTGGTCCAACGTCTTAAATTGGGTGGAAATGTGATAATGTTGATTATCATTTTATAGCACTTTCCATGACTAAATAAGTATATAGGACACTCTTGGATAACTGTTTTGTTTTGTGTAGGGAACTGGGTAGGACGAGGACTGTTCAGGCGGTCAAATGGGATATCCATATAAACCATATCTGTTATAAAGTAGGGAAACTTATCAATTTTTTTCGATCATTAAAATATCGACTTAACAGAAAATCATTAAAAACCAGTATACTTCTTTTATTCTACCCCATTTCGATTAGGCTGACGTAATTTTGGATGGCTGCTCAGATAAATTAGCTTCAAAATTAGAAAAATTATTACAAAGAACCATTTGTATAGAGGGGGTATATGTTATGCAAGACTCTATAAAGAAATAGGATCTGTTTCATTCGATGGAGACATTAAAATTATTCCATATGTTAATCAATTTTTAACATTATCTTAAAGAAAAAAATTATGGTGACTGATTGGTATCATCTCGTAATGTCGTGATGTTGTCTTTCATAACCCGACATCACGACATTTCTACTTGACAACACGACATTTCTACCCGACATCACGACATTTTTACCCGACATTACGACACTAAAAATGTCGTGATGTCGGGTAAAAATGTTGTGATGTCGAGTAAAAATGTCAGGTTGTCGTGATGTCGGGTTGTCGACTTTCATGATCAATGTTATAAGCGGCCACGATCGTTTCAATAACAGGACGGTACCTATATTAATATTTTGCTGTCTGTAAACACTCTACAGGCCGCGATTCTTAATGGATTTTCTTCAAATTTGGCATGAGCATTATTTTCAAAGAGAAAATGGCACCTACAGTGTGTAAGTTCATGAGACGAAGACGCCTAATGATATTCAGCGATTTCCAATAATTAATGCCAGAGTTGTGGCCCTTGATCAAATTGAAAATATTGTTGACGCTCTACTAGATGCTAAAGTTATCAACCGATTGACTTGGAATTTATACACATTGTTTTGTTCATGAGATAAATAAGCTGATAATTACTTTCAGACTTATTGCTCTTGATCACTTCTCAAAGTTTCAAGACGATCCGTTAGAATTGTGGCCTGTAGGCGATGCACAGACTCACACACACACGCACAGAGAGAGAGAGAGAGAGAGAGAATTGAGGTTTAACGTCCACTCGACGCAAACTAGGTCATTTCGGGACTAACATATAGTTCAATTTTATTTCAATAATTCGCTTGCGCGTAGGGGTCTTCAGCAGTGGGAGGAAACCGCAGGACCCGGAGAAAACCCACGAGGTTAGACAGACGACCCTACTCTTTGTCATGTACAAGCTTGGGCTGGAAACCACACCACTTGACTCAATGACAGACACACAGACAAGGACGGCTTCATAATATGTTCACATTATGAAATGAAATGGGGTTTAACGTCCTACTGTTCTGCTCCGACTGAGCTAATGAAGACGGTTCACATTATGAATGTGGACGTATACAAATGGATACGAATGCAACTCAAACTGCACTGTGAGTGTGAATCTACTTCCACTTGATCAACCATTTTCTTAATTGCCAGTTTTTTGTTATGAATATCATCGTGGCCGCTTATAACATTGATCATGAAAGTCGACAACCCGACAACATGACACCACGACATTTTTAGTGTCGTAATGTCGGGTAAAAATGTCGTGATGTCAGGTAAAAATGTCGTGATGTCGGGTAAAAATGTGGGGATGTCGGGTAAAAATGACGTGTTGTCATGTTGTCGGGTAGAAATGTCGTGATGTCGGGTTGTCGCGTTATGAAAGGCGACATCACGACATTACGACATGATACCAATCAGCCACCATAAGGAACAGCGTCTTGTGTGGATGGAACTGAAAAAGGAGGTCCCGTGCAGGGCCGCCGGAAGCAATTCTTGATTTGGGGGTGGGGGGGGTATTGTCGGGTAAAAATGTCGGGTTGTCGGCCATATCCCTCTCAATACTATGATTATATACACTGATCCTGGTGTTGGTCAAGAAAGTTCCCCAGGATTTTGCAACGTGGTTTCTCCCTGTCGGTAGTGCAGGACAAAGGGTCTGGCAAAGTACAGTGTCTAGTTGTGTAGATGGGACGAAAAACAAGCTCCTGTGTACACACTGACGTGCACATAAAATAATTCTTCACAGTTGAATTTCGATGAAGAAATGCCACGGTCCATTGAAAATTTCCGTCATAGCACTCTGCATAGCGTATGCCTATCTTCAATAGCCCGATTGGTACAGAAAAGTAGGAAATTGAATGATATGAAATTGTGTTTAACATTCTACTGTTCTGCTCTGACTGGGCTAATGAAGACGGGAATACACTATACAATGTACTGTGAGGGAAACTTTGTCCGGATAGCGGCGCTACGGCCTACTCTTATAATGAATTACAACTGTCAGGGTGTCTTTTACGTGCTCGTTAATATGTACACGCAATCTCGATTTTTCGTCCCATCCAAAAGACTATACGTTATCCCCTGCCAGGCCCCTTCAACATTAGCGAGCCAACGTCTTACTCACTGAGTCACCGTGACTAGCAGAAAAGTAGGACATTAAACCCCATTTCCGGAGTGATTCCTCTTTGACAGTGGTGCAGGACGGGGGCTTGACAAGGAATAACGTATAGTCGTTCGGGTGGTACGAAAAACCGAGGCCCCATTTACATATTGGTGTGCACGTAAAAGAAGCCCTGACAGCTGGAATTCAATATAAGGGTAGGCCGTAGCGCCGCTATCCAGGTAAAGTTTCCCTCATAGTACACTGTGTAGGGTGTGTCTTCATTAGCGCAGTCGGAGCAGAACGAAATGAAATGAAATGGAGATTGGATGATATGAAATTGTGTTTAACGTCCTACTGTTCTGCTCCGACTGGGTTAATGAAGATGGGCTTACACCATTCAGTGTGTTATGAGGGACATTTTGCCCGGACAGCGGCGCTACGGCCTACTCTTACATCGAATTCCAATTATCAAGGGATCTTTTACGTGCACGCCAATGTATACACGGGCCCTCGGTTTTTCCGTCCCATCCGAATGACTAGACAGCTGTCCTTGTCAGGCACTCCTTCCTGCACCCCTGACAAGGGGAAACCACGCCGGAAAATATTGATGAACTTTCTCGGCCATCGTCTTACTCACTTAGCCAATGTGGCTCCCGGAGCAGAACAGTTGGACGTTAAACCCCATTTCATTTCATTTCATTTTCCTACTTTTCCGAACCAATCGGACTATTGAAGATAGGCATACGCTATGCAGAGTCATATGACAGAAATTTCCAATGGACCGTGGCATTTCTTCATCAAATTTCAACTGTGAAGGATTCCTTTATGTGCGCCCCGATGGGTACACAGGAGATTGTTGGGGTTTTTTTTGTTTTGTTTTTTTTTTGGGGGGGGGGTGTCTGTCCTATCTACAATACTAGACACTGTTCTTTGCCAGGCCCTTTGTCCTGCACTACCAACATCGAGAAACCGCGCTGCAAAATCCCGGCGAACACAATCATAGTATTTAGAGGAATATGGCCGATAACTCGACACCACGACATACCGATATCACTACACCACGACATCACGACATTTTAATCCGACAATACATTTTTACGCGACATTACGGCATTTTTAATGTCGTGGTGTCAGGGTAAAATGTCGTGATGTCGGGTTGTCTTAGTGTCGGGTTAAAATGTCGTTATGTTAGGTTGTCGGGTTGTCGCCTTATGAAGGGCGACACCACGACATAGCGACATGATACCAATCAGCCAGGGGATCACATGGCTAAGTGGGTAAGACGCTAGCTCGCTAGCCTGGAGGTCGGGTGTTCGATCCCTGCATTGGCCGAGAAAGTTCATCCAGATTTTCCGGCGTTGTTCTCCCTTGTCAGTGATGCAGGACGGAGGGGCTGACAAGGAAAGCTGTCTAGTCGTTCGAATGGGACGAAAAACCGAGGTCCCGTGTACACATTGGCGTGCACGTAAAAGATCCCTTGGCAGTTGGAATTCGATATAAGAGTAGGCCGTAGTGCCGCTGTCCGGGCAAAATTTCCCTCATAGCACACTGTATGGTGTATGCCCTTCTTCATTAGCCCAGGTTAGGAGCAGAACAGTAGGACGTTAAACTCCATTTCATTTCATTTCATTTCCAATCAGCCACCATACCTAAAAGCACCTTTTCCAGGGTGTGTTTCTAATCTATTTCATTGTTATATGTAATGCGTGTATAATACGTGTATAATGTTTTATTGTTACCTGTAATAGGTGTTGTAGTGTTTTTTTGTGTATATTTGTATTTATTGTATATATGGTATTCCCCTTTTAAATGTGTGGGACTGTCTCTTTAATGTTATATCTTCAAGCTCGCCAAAATCTCTTTTCAATAGCAAGTCTAACCTATACTCTCTTTTAACTCACTAAACTAATCACAGCTTCTCTGTCAAACCCTCACATGCAAGCTAACCTTTCTACAATAAACAGCACGTCGTATTACTTGGTAAGTTTTATATTTATTTAACTTGATTTTTATATCTATCTATTTAATATGGTATTATAATTAGGATATATATTTTATATATAATGAAGTTATAATGAAGTTATTAGTATATTTCTATAAGTATATTGTGCATTTTGAGAGTATTATACTTAGTTTAATTCATTCATTTTATTAATTTCAGTCTTGTATTGCTTGTATTTATATGGTATCCATATTAAAATAATACGTATTATTATAAACTCCTATTTTATAGGGTATGTTTATGTATTTGTATGTATTTATGATTAAAGAGTCCTTGTAGTTATCGCTAAACTAGGTCGCCATTTTATAAACCTTTTTACATTTCTTTATTTCATATAGATGACTTCCCGCCAACATTTTAAATATATGAATATAATGAAATTACAATTATTATTTTTGATTTTTATGGTTTTTCATGTGTACGTATTATGCCGTTGCCCCTGTCCGTCCGGACTCCGCCCGTCCACAATTTGTTTGTGGACACTCTATACAGGTCACAATTTTTATCCGAATTTGACGAAACTTACAATATTGGTCTATCTCCCAAAGGTTTCTTTCGATATTTGAATGTATCGGACCATAACTTCATGCATTATGACACCTGATTGTACGGAAAATCACGTTTTTAGCTTGTGGACACGCCAGAGGTCACAATTTTCACTCAATTTTGATGAAACTAGAAATGCATGTTTATAACCCAAAGATCATGGTTCCTTTCGATATTCGCGCATATCGGATCTTAACCTCCTGAATTATTGCCCCTGGTTATACGAAAAATCACGTTTTTTTGCTTGTGGTCCCTCTAAAAGTCACGATTATCCGATTTAAAAATAAAACGTTTGAATATATCACCTTGACACCATAATGTTCGTTGAGTTTGAATTTCGTGAAAATCGGACCAAAACTGCCGAACAAAATGGCCGCCCCTCGTACGTAAATAGTGTAAACATCTGGTATATCAAGGTTATGGGCTGTCTAGAGGTCACAATTTTGAATGAAACTTAAAAGCCATGTTTATATCCCAAATCTCTTGGTTCCTTTCGAGGTTCACGCATATCAGACCGTAACTTCCTTAATACCTTAAATCACTGTCCAAAGTTCTAGGGAAGACCCCAGATTAAACGAAGGGCTGTCATATTGCTGTGAAGTTTGATTGAACGGGAAGAAAAGCACACTCCCTCAAAAGCTCAAGTATCATATATCAATCCAGCAATGGCCAGAGAGGGTTGGATGATGTTGAGTTAGAGACTTAGCTAATTTAATATGTAATTTATTATTTTAATCATACAAATGCATTGATTTTATATGTTTGATTAATTATACATGTTATTTATATTAAAATTGTATAATTTCAGGGTTTTATTGGATAGTTTTTAATAAACGTTTGTAAACCCGAAACCGTTTGTGGTTAATTTTGGCCCCTTACAACATTATAGAGAACAGCTGAAGTCCCGACTGCTTGACGACTGATGATACATCAATCAGGTATGTAAAAGTTCTTAATTTTTAATGATTTGGCTAAAGTTCAAGAAAATTAGAATGGTTTTCATCAATTGACATAGAAAGCCATTTTCGATTCGACAGAGTTTGACTATAAATTAGATTGAATGCAAAACAGCGGATTCATTTAGATTATTGAATTCGTAAACACTTTAGTAAATTCAAATAATACTTTTAAATCTTTGTAGTAAACTATTCATCGCCTTACAAGGCAAAATGTATGGTGGCTGATTTATGGAAGCGTATTTGGGTCCCTACTTATTGAGATAATATCGCAACACATCGAACTAAAAATGTCAACTTCATGAGTTATATTACAAAAAATCGACTAAATAAGTCGACTCGACGCATTAAATTCACCTCTAAACGACACAAACTATGTCGATATGTTTACATCATGTCAATAGTCGATTTGACTCTAAATCAACAAGTCATATTTTAATGCAATATATAGACTTAATAATGTCGCCGTTTTCAGTTATGTACCACGTGCTTAATTTCATTGCCCGAGATTGCTTATTCATGAAAGTGCAGCCAATGATGGGGTTTAACATCCACTCGACACAAACTAGGTCATTTCGGGACTAACATATGGTTTAATTTTAGGGGTCTTTAGCAGTGGGAGGAAACCGGAGGACCCGGAGAAAACCCACTAGGTTGGACAGGCAACCCTACTCCTTGTCACGTACAACCGTGAATTCGAAACCACGCCAGTTGACTCAATGACAGGCCTTATGATACAGTGCGCACGTGCTAACCATTAGCGAGGTTGATGTTTGCTCCTGACTAGAAGTCAAAATATTTATCCGATTTTGATGCAACCTAAAATATATATATGTTATCCCAAAAATCATGGTTCATTTTTATATTGTCGCATATCGGACCGTAACTTAAAGGATTATTCCCTTCGACCCTGTCCAGTCTATCGAAATGTGGGCGTAACTTGCAGTTGCATGGCAACCACTTGTTATTATCATGTTATTATGGTATTTTTCTCATGAATTTATGTAACAGACGTCTACTGTTAATTATTTATTTGTATTATATGCATGATTTTGCCAACAGATGGGGTTTTTTTTTACAATATATGGCTAATAGTAAGTTAATACTTCCAGTCGATCAGAGCACTTGGAAAATCATAAATGGGAGTTAGGGTTGGAGAGAGGGGTGGGTTTAACATCCACTCGACACGAACCATGTCATTTCAGGACTAACATTGGTTCAATTTTATTTCAATAATTTGCTTGCGCGTCGGGGTCTTTAGGATCCAGAAAAAAAAACACGAGACAGGTGACCCTACTCCTTGTCGCGTACAAGAGAAAAATCGAAACCTACCACTTGACTCAGTGACAGACCATAGGATCCAATGCGCATGAGTTAACCATTCGGCCACCCAACTCCCCAATTAGGGTTGCGTAGCTGGTTTTCAATATGATAATACCAGACATTAGAGATTGTCAGAAAAGCCTACTAAAATCGATATAAATATTCATAGTTTATCTTGTTAGTTGCCTTTGGATAACATAATCCAACAATTTATTAATATTGACAGTGCATATAAAATCTATATTATTTAAGTTTTAAAACGTTTAAAGCCATGTATTTATTATAAATGTTTAATATTGTTCTGTGTTGCTGTTGGCTCTTCTTTCCCTTTTCAGGTAACTTTTGTCTGAGAAGAGTCATCATCTACCAGGAAAGTTTTACTGGACTGCAGACTATAATATGTGATTTAAAACGTTGAAGTGGTGAACTGTTTTAAAGGATTTGAAGTTATATACATGGAAATAATCGCGCAAACAGTTTTTAATATGTAAATAATCTACTGGTCGACCTATGTGTTTTTTACTGCGAGAACTTCGCTTTTCTACACAAAGCAAGCAGATTCTTTTTTTTTTATCTGCAGTAATGACACTAACCATCAATTAGCTGGTCCTGTTTTAACTTGTTATTATTATACATTTTAATGTATTAGACAAATTAATTACTGTACATGATTTATTTTTTCTATAGGCCTATGTTAAACGATAGTTAGATTTTTATAGGCCTATATTGCATATTACAGAACAAAATTCTAAATTTTCTATTTTCCTAAGCTTGGAACATAACCGTTATGGGAATTTGAATGGGGTCAAAATTATTTCGAAATTTTCGACATACTAACATAGTGTGGTGAGGAGGGGTATTATGCGTGCCGGTCCGTCATGCTACAGGTCCAAATTTTAAATTTCCTTTTTTCCCTAAATTTGGAACATACCTGTTTATGGTAATTTTAATGGGGGCCGAAATCATTTCGAAATTTTCGACATACAAACGTGGGGTGGTGGTGGGGTCGAGGCGATTTTCATAAGATTTTTGCAGGCAACCACATTAATATTTTTTGTTTTATCTATACCCATATATTTATATATTTTAAAATATCGTTGAATGTGCGCCAACGGATAATTCATCAGTCGAAATAGATTATATTATTTCTCAATCAATTATATACTTATAGATAAGAGATTTTCATTTATATTCGTATTTTCCATTGAAAGTTTTTGTTATTGTAATCAAAATATCCGATGTTAAATTAAACAAATCATAATCTTGTTATTACCAAAATGGTATTTTTTTAAATGAAGTTGTATGACAAGTGTCTATTGTTATAATTTTTCATTCATATTATATGCATGATTATGTATTTTATATTGGGAGGTCAATAGTGAGCAAACATTTACAGTTGATACACAAGGACTTGTTTTGCTTTTTTTATGTTTTTACCCATTTGCTTTTTTTATAGTATGTCTTGATAGGTAAATAAGTCAATTAAATCAACTTATCCAAAATATCATAACATAATGCATTGGACAGATTAATTATTGTACTTTATTAGTTTTTTTTATGTGCCCATATTAAACAATAATCAGATTGTGTGCCTATGTTTCATGATACAGAACAAAATTCTAAATTTTCCATTTTCTTAAACTTGGAACATAACCGTTATGGGAATTTGAATGGGGTCATAATAAAATTTCGAAATTTTCGACATAATTGTGATGAGGGCTGGGGGGGGATATGCCTGTCGGTCTGTCATGCTACAGGTCCAAATTTTAAATTTCCCCTTTTGCCTAAATTTGGAACATACCTGTATATGGTAATTTTAATGGGGCCAAAGTGATTTCGAAATTTTCGACATACAAACGTGAGGTGGTGGTGGGGTCGAGATTTTTTATAAGATATTTGCAGGCAACCACATTAAATAATTTTTTTTTATCGATACCCATATATTTATATATTTTAAAATATTGTTGAATGTGGGCCAACTGATAATTCATCAGTCGAAATAGATATTATTTCTTAATCAATTATGTCTTGTAGAAGATAAGAGATTTTCATTTAAATTAGTATTTTCTATTGAAAGTTTTTTGTTATTGTAATCAAAATATCTGATGTTAAATTAAACAAATTATAATCTTGTTATCGCCAAATTAGTATTTTATTTAATGTAGTTGTATGACAAGTGTCTACTGTTATAATTTTTCATTTTTATTATACATGTACATGTATGTATGATTATGTAATTTATAATGGGAGGTCAATAGTGAGCAAACATTTCCAGTTGATACACAAGGACTTGTTTTGCTTTTATATGATTTTTTTATAGCATGCCTTGATATGTAAATAATTCAATTAAATCAACTTATCCAAAATATCATATAATGTATTGGACAGATTAGTTATTGTACTTTATTTAGTTTTTTTTATATGCCCATATTAAAGTTGCAATTTCATATTTTTAAGTTATATTTTTAAAATTTATTAAAATAAAGCCTTAAAATAGATGGTATCTATAAACAGTCCTACCTTGTTAAAGAATAATCCTATTAATCCTATAATTCACTATTGCCAGTTGAGAAATTGGCAAAAATATCATTTTCATCTTCAAATTCCAACGTTTGAAGATAACTACTCCATGGTGGAGAATATAAATCAAGGGAGGTAATTGTGTTATTATTTCCTGTGTAAATGAGTTTTAAGTGTGAGAATGACATCTATGATCGTTTAATAGTGAGTGGATAACCCATTGAGCAAAAGACATAGAAATAATTATGTTTTGACTTTCTTAGAAAATATGAAATTGTAACTTTAAACAATAATCAGATTTTGTGCCTATGTTTCATGATACAGAACAAAATTCTGAATTTTCCATTTTCCTAAACTTGGAACATGACCGTTATGGGAATTTGAATTGGGTCATAATTATTTCGAAATTTTCGACATACTAATATGATGTGATGGGGGGGGGGGGGTACTATGCCTGTCGGTCCGTCATGCTACAGGTCCAGATTTTAAATTTCCCTTCTGCCTAAATTTGGAACATACCTGTATATGGTAATTTTAATGGGACCAAAGTGATTTCGAAATTTTCGACATAAAAACGCGGGGTGGTGGTGGGGTCGAGGAGATTTTGATAAGATTTTTGCACACAACCACATTAAATATTTTTTTTATCTATACCCATATAATTATATATTTTAATATGGGCCAACTGATAATTCATCAGTCGAAATAGATTATATTATTTCTCAATCAATTATATACGTATAGATAAGAGATTTTCATTTATATTCGTATTTCCCATTGAAATTTTTGTTATTGTAATAAAATTGTCTAATGTTAATTTAAACAAATTTAATCTTGTTATTGCCAAAATAGTATTTTTTAAAATGAAGTATGACAATTTAGTTGAATTTAAGAAGCCTCACTGCTTTGTGCCCAAATCGGAGGTTCACAAGAGAACTCGTGTATGTGATTTTTGTTGACAAGAAACTAATGTATACTGTCGTTGCAATCCGTTGTAATGTATTGTAATTAGCGACTGATTAAACATACAATATGCAGGAGCTAAATCTACCTATTCCAGGTCTTTCTTTAGGCCTGAAATGTTATCTCAATTATTAATTAGACATTATTTAACTTATCCAGACCATAATCACCTCACGATGCCATCGCTAGCCTGCGATGTTTATTGGATTAGATTCCGATTTGCTGTTCGACTTCAATTCATGATTTAATCATGAAATGGATAATCGAAACTGTTTTTAATCGTACCGACTTTAGTAATGATGATCCAGACTAGGCCGAAAATTCAATCGCTAAAATCACGGTTCAGAGTGGATCAATTTGACTGAAATTTTCCGCAAATTCCCTTTACATTATCTAGTTTTTAACTATTATAGTGAGAACTGCCAGGTCCTTATAGTAATTATATGCATGAAACATGTTAGGGTATATATAGTGCAATAAACAATTCAATATTATAGCTATATTTATTTATAATTGCAAATTGTGTCGATTCTCACTTTCGGTCATCGACATCGTAACCTGTTTTGAAATAAATAAATAAAATCAATTTAGATAAGTACGGCTGACAATTAATTGTCTCTGCTCAGAGTATTCTCACGTTATCATAGTTTATTGTGTTGTGATTGTATGTGATTTGTCACCTTTTACAATGACAATATTTAAAGATTCGTAAATCCGATATTTTGATCATTAAAGGGAGACTACTCGTCATATGTGGAGAAAACCTTGTAACTCGTCATATTTCAAAACTATTAGACATAGAATTTGAGATGTTTTAAAACAATTATGTGTAGAACTTATTTGTAATTCATCAGTATTAGCCAGGAAAAAGACACATTATTTCGGGCTATAAATACAACAGCATCTTTTGGTGTTTTTTTGGCTGGTAAACTTCACTGTAATAATCTGGCCAGTTTTGAAATAAAGCCATTAAAGATACATCATGTAAGATTTAGATAGAGTTTGCCGTTCTTGTTATAATAGTTCAAAAGTGGATAATGAACATATTACTCCATGACATGAGCTAGCGAAGATTTAATTAACGTGGTTGGGGGCACCATCAGATGGAGCTGTTCACCTTACCGCCTAAATTGATTTTCTGACTCATCTCTTGTACATCCACAAAACCTGTGTCAAAATTTTCCTTGTGATCCCCAATGACAATCATTCCTTCTAAGTAGTCAATTGCTGGGAGTAACCCACTTCTAGGTATGTCAAAGGTCGCGAATTAGTCGGCCACGCCCAATCTATGTTAAATGCAAATTTCATTACAAAAAATGAAATGAGGTTTAACGTCCTACTGTTCTGCCCCGAACTGGGCTAATGAAGACGGGCATACGCCATGCAGTGTGCTATGAGGGGAAATTTGCCCGGACAGCGGTACTTCTACCAACTCTTCTATATAATTCCAACTGTCAAGGGATCTTTTACGTGCACATTGTAGATCATACAGACTTCAACTAATCTAGCCTAGTAGGGTGTTGGGGTGGTTCTTAGTATTTTGAGTGTGTCTGTCAGGGGTAACTCATCACCCAAACTGTCTGGCAGTGGTCATTCTGGGTTGATGTGGTGGTGCTGAACAACTTCCAAACAGTTTTAGGCAGTAAGAACTCCAGCTAGACTAGCCTAGTTGGGGGCCTGGCATTTTTGGCTTGTCTGTTAGGGGTAACCCACCGCACAAACTGCCTGGCAGTGGTCATTCATGATTCATGTGGTGCTGAACAAATTCCAAGCAGTTTTAAGTGATACGGGCTTCAGCTAATCTAGCTGAGGGGACTGGTGTGACTTTTTGGTCGCGTGCGTTAGGGGTAGCCCAACGCACAAACTGTTTTAGGCGGTATTGACTTAAGATAATCTAGTCTAGTTGGAGGGGGGGGGGGGGCGGCGGGCATGGTATATCGGTGTGATTCCAAAGTAGCTTTAAGTGGTACAGATTTCAGCTAATCTAGCCTATTTGTGGTCTGGCAATTACATAACTCTGTCGGGGGTAACCCACCACTAGGAATGTCTGTAATACTTGAAGATGTAAGGTACACTGCTGTACCATTTTCATGTGGTACACTTTTAAGCTAATCTAGCCCATGAATTCATGCCCAGAATCGCAGCCCTCACAGCCACACTCACCGCCAGATACTCGGCATACTTACATTCTGATGATACCAGATATGCATGCTTTGGTACCATATAGGTGAAAATTGGTACACCTTTCAGCTAGGCTAAAATCGTGAACTTCCATGATAAAGACGAGAGTGTCCTCGTCGAAACGTCGCTTAGTATTAACGTCAGTAATTGTGTATCCATAAAATTGTACCCTGTGTTAATATGTTTTATTACTAACTGCGAATCAAATATTAAAACGAGTTTAGTTTCGAAAACACTTTGAAATTGGGCCAATTTATAGTAATGAACTATAGCACATAACTAGGCCTATGAAAGAAGAATTATTAATTTATTTGCGCGGCATTTTCTAGCAAGTGAGTTATAATCATATTTTTTACATGGAAACAAATTGGACTAGGTTTTGGTACACAACAGCGCAGGGTGTTGATGACAGTGTCTTCCACTTTATTATTGCTGTGGTGGGGTCGTGGTGGTTTGACACTGTCAGTATGGTGCTTGTTCACCAACCGGTCTGGTTTACGCTGGTCAGTGGTTCAGAGATGAGGACTTGGCATGGAAAGACGTCTAATAATGGAATCATATCTAGAGGAAATGCTGCTATACGGGTAAAAAAATACCCACATAACACACTGCGTGGCACTTGTCTGTCTTCATGAGCTCGGTTGGCGCAGAAAACTAGAACGTTAACACTATTTCATTTACTGCTGTTGGAAATGAAATGAAATGAAATGGAGTTTAACGTCCTACTGTTCTGCTCCTAACCTGGGCTAATGAAGACGGGCATACGCCATACAGTATGCTATGAGGGAAATTTTGCCCGGACAGCGGCACTACGGCCTACTCTTATATCGAATTCCAACTGCCAAGGGATCTTTTACGTGCACGCCAATGTGTACACGGGACCTCGGGTTTTCGTCCCATCCGAACGACTAGACAGCTTTCCTTGTCAGCCCCTTCGTCCTGCATCACTGACAATGGAGAACCACGCCGGAAAATCTGGATGAACTTTCTCGGCCAATGCAGTGATCGAACACCCGACCTCCAGGCTAGCGAGCTAGCGTCTTACCCACTTAGCCACGTGATCCCCTACTGCTGTTGGACAAGTTGTATTGGACAAGTTTACCAGTTGTACACTGTCGGAAGACGCCCCTATCATCTAGTAAGGATATAAAACAACCCGTCGCCATACCGGGTCCATATTCGCGGAAATTTTGTTGATTAATGAAAATAAAATGAAGACAGGACAAACACCCCACCAATCACCATCTATAGGTAGACAAAAAATACCATATACCAGAGAGAAAAAAGATAAAACAATGATTTATTTTCCAAATAAAAAACAAGAAGTAATAGGATAATTGTAAGGTTCACATATTTGAGACATTTCTATGAAAACATCAAATCTATACAATTTAACAAAATCTACAACGATTTGATGTGTTTATAAAAATACAAGAACATATTTTGGCTGTTATTTAATAGGAAATATTTTGAATACAGAATTTATTATATTTGAATGTGTGATGAATTTAAGTCCAGTTGTTTGAAAACCGTCAGTCACTCTTAAACTTAAGAAATAGCACCATACCAAGAAGAATCAAGGAATAACATAATATAATCATAAAACATAAACAGAAAAACGTAATTATGAAAAAATAAACGATAATATATAGCCTAAAAGGTGATATTGCGACTCAGAGATATCAAAAAATTTCATATTTTGTGACATACTAGTATTCCAAACTGTCTTGTATAAATGAAACCGTAATATAGTTTCAATAAAATGTTCTACAAAGATCCCGAAATATCATAAACAAGTTCATGATGAAATCTTTAGCTTAAAACACAACTTGCAAAATTCGACGGATTTCTTTTTTCAAAATTTCTTTTCTTTTCATGCAAATATCACCTTAAAAACAATAAACTCTTTTAAAATTCCCAAGTTAGTATTTAGTTAAACATTGAAGACATTGTATGAGATGAATTAGTTTCGGCTAAATAAAAACTATTTAAAAAATATATTAAAAAAAAACTGTAACATATATAATTGGATTTCTAGTTTTGATTATATTGTGTTTCGATTTTGATTTACTTTATGTAATCGATGTAGTTAATAGAAGAAGGGCGATTATTATTAGTCGATTTTTGTCAACAACTTTTATACATCAATTAAGGATAATATAAGGGGGACGTGTAAGCTAAATTTAAGTACACATTTCTCATTGAAAAGCTGTACTTCATTTTGATTTTTTATACTTCAGTAGGAACTGATCCATTCTGTGACAAATTATATCTTAGTATCGGCAATCTAAATATATATACAAATATATATGTCTCTATTTTGTTGAAACCTGTTGACAGTAAGAATTTAGTTTCAGGGCAAATTATCAACAAAGAACCATGGCGGGCTAATCGTAGATTATAATACCTAACAAAAGTTAATGTAAAGGTAGGCCAATTTCAAAACAGCTGAAAGACAATAATACTGCGATTTTGATTACGCCGAGAACACAGGTATCGTGATGCATATAGCAGCTAAGAGTTTAATACGGATAAGGTAAGACCCCATCCCACCCCAACCTTTAAAGTATCGGCAAAAACGACGACAGGAAGAACACATGGGAAGAATGCAATTTTTCGTTCAGCAAAATATCCCCCATATTGCCATAGCCCGTCATAGAAACATTAAAACAGTTCCGACAGGCGATAAACTTAAAGAGATGTTTTCCCAAGAAAGTTTTCTTTTAACATATTCTTGAAATTTAACTAGATGATGAAGTATTTAGCTCAGGAACATCCGAAAGTCCGGTCTAAAAACTCAACATCCGCTTTAAATCCGATTATGCCGATAACATTGTAAGAAGTTTACAAAGCCTACCCACCCCTTTCCCCTTTCATTTCCCTATGCACTATTTCTTTGATTAACTTCTGTTAACTAATGCTAGTAAAACTAATTGTAAACAGATAACAAGACTTAAATAGATTTGGACACCTTTCTTAGATCCAGAGCTCAAACCTAACTCATTGTTAGTTTCTACAACACGACGATTCAGAGGTTGTAGAGGCCGGAAGTCATTCACGAGGTCCTTTTCCTCTTCTCCTACTTTGTTTCTTTTGAGAGACCTGTATTTGGACATCTGAAACAAAGAAAGTATCGTTATGGATCGTAAAGTCGATGCAGAATAAAATGTTGCCGTGAACAGTGAAAACACAATGGTAAAATGATAAAATGAAAGATGATCTAGGGACGGATCCCTAACTCGAACCCTAATCATGATGTTCACTGCACGTGTAATGTGTAAATATGCGTGCCTGGCAGACTCTAGTATCGAACATTCATTGATATGCCCACATCATAGCTGGGGTTGAAATTATCGCAGGACAACAAGGATACCCAATAAGCAACATGTCAGTATACACTTTGCGTGTATTCTTTACTGATCTCAGTTAATGCCTATCAGGCCAGATCAGTAGTTCAATTGGACGTGAATAAAATACGATACTATCTATATTTACTGTACCTGTTCTTCGGATACAATGATTGGTTCATAGAATAATGTCCAGATAACGGTTTCGTAGCAAGGCGGAGTTGTTAAGCTACCATGGTAACGCCAGAACACTGACATATTTTTAGGCAAAAGGGAAGAGAGCTTTATTTGTGTATCCAGTTTTATCTTGTCTTCTGTAAATCAAAAAGAGATAAAGCCAAATACATAATAATTCAATGCAAATCTTTGGGGCGATTTGTGGATTAGTTCAAAGCCTCCCTTGCCCGAGGCCTTGATCGCTGTGATGCGTAGACCTTATCCAGTGACGGACAGATTCAAAATTTTAATCAAAAAGCATCTGGAGGGATTTAGTACATTTCCAAATATGTGACGAGCATATCAATATAAGTCAAATTTTCAAACGCACAAGTATTAAAGATGCATGCCCTGCCCGCCTACAAAGTGTGTGATTTAATGATATATTGTACTACTATTGTACTTCAAATCCATCTAAAAAGATTTGAATCCGAAAACATTTACTACATGCCGTAAGAATCTATTTTTATCATCATTGTTTACCACGTGACTTGATTGTGGGAGAATCCATTTACAGCATATTTGACATTAGTCGCTGTTCATTCGTCATAAATATCGAAGCCTAGGTAAATACTTGGATTATCATTTACCAATTTCTATCTCCGTTTAATCGCAGCTTCTACTCTGGGTCGTTAAATTCTCTCAATGCTCTTTCAACCCTTGGACATTAGAACAACACATTAGAAGTGTTTCTTACGTTACGTCTTTTAGGGATACACTCACAATTTTACCTGGTTGCCGCCCCGCGGGTGTTTTTCAGGGAATACAATATTTTTCTAGTAAGATTTGGTATCTCTACTTTCCATAAATACTACTCGATAAATTATTTGGTAGGAGCTGTAAATGATTACCTGCATGTTCAATACTACCAAATTCTGCCAACAGTGAATCAAAAGCCGGATTTGTCTCACCCACCTGCAAAAAGCAAAATATAATAAAACATGGTTTACATCAACATTAATCCATAACCATGTAAAAGACCTGTTGCGATTACATTGGCTCCGCCGGGCAGAAATAATATTGTCATATTGGGTAAGTTTATTCCCGTAACCTATCACTGCTAACGGGTTCTCGGTGGTTGGGGCACTGGTCTCTCAACTACAATGTCCCGGGTTTCAATCACTTGTAACTATCTAGTCACAATTTCCTTGCCAGGGACGAAAACCCGGGTTAGATGGAATTCAAAGACGACTAAGCGGAAACGCTCTGTCTGGCCGAATTCTCGCATTTCAGACGTAACCAGTTAATTAAAAATTGACATACTTTTGTCTCAAAATGGCCGAAGTATTGTGTTGACGAGACGATAAACTCCATTCCATTCAAAACATTGTACAAATTAATTTGTCTGTTTAGTATTTAGAGATATCTAATTTATTAACTTCTAGGATATATCGCTTTAACTTAGTTTTTCTAGCCACCCTGGTTTTCCTTTTTTGACCTAAGCTTCCAAGTAGCATAAAATTAATCCATACGGTGAAAATTTGTTTCCCGGAAATGAATCCGGTAAACCAAAACAAATAAAGGGTTGAAGTATTATTGTTAAAGTTAAGTTTACCTTAAAGAAGAAACCCAGAACAGCCAAACCATCTGGTTTATCTAGAGCGTCTGTTAAATTGGCATACTGAGTAGAATGGTGAACGATATGCATCTGAAAATAAAAAAATTCAATTAGTATTCCTAAGCCTGCAATTAGCAGGACACGGGCCATGGAGGATTTATATAAATGGGTATTAATCAAGTGCAGGGGGGTAACTATAAAGACATTTCGAATTTTGCCCCAAAAGTAAGTCGACCTTGAAGAAAATCTATGTGGTATGTGTCTAACCATTCTAAATCTAATTATCCAAAAACTATTCGGAAAACTTTTTCCTGGGTCATAAGGCAATAATTCCTCCAAAACAAAATCAGTTATATCTATATTGAGAACGACTGCCATTTACACATCAGTTAACGATGTCTTGGCGTGATTTGAAGCCCTGGTTGTTTACAGTATACAAGTACAAAAACGACACAGTGGTAGCATTTATCAGACGTTAAATAAAATTGAATCCAGTAAAATGCTAAATATGGAATAAGATGAAAGAAAATGAAAGAACTGGTTCCGGGCAACGAAACATACGTCCACCGTCCAGGGCAGTTAGGATGCCAGAGAGTCCATACAGGTGACCACATTGCGAATCTTTTGGTTAACTAATATGAAGACATAAATAAAGCAAGGGCAATTTTACCCATAACTCAAAGCGTAATGAACGCACATTTTTAAAATATAATAAGCGCCCGCGTTTCACCAATATAAATAAAGAATACAAATTTCAAACAAATCGAATAATAACTTATGTCGTTAGAGCCTTCACAAGATTCTATTAAAGTATTAAGGAAAATAACTGAAATTCAATAGGTTTATTCGTCCCGCTAATGCGTACAACATATATAATATTACAAAGATGGAATTAAAAATTCTGGATTGTATACACCTACAATATTTCAACTGAAAAACATCTGACTTTAATTAGATTGAAAGTTAGTCAAACGTGGCGCTAGCTTAACCTGATCCATCTATTGAAATTCCAACCAAAGACCTTGAAGGAAAATAGAACTCGGTTAAACAAACAAAGCCCATGGGATTGAAACCCTTCTAAAAGAAGGTCAACTGTGCTGGTTTGTGGACAGGGGTCCCATACATACTAACCCCAATAAATGTCTATTAATCAAGGGGGGATAATTGTAAAGATATTTGGAATTTTAGTCTAATAGTAAGTCAACCTTGAAAAAAAATGAAATGAAAAGAAATGGGGTTCAACGTCCTACTGTCTGTTCTGCTCCGATTGGCCATTGAAGGAAATCAATGTTATATGTGTCTAAGCATTCTAACGCTAATTGTCCGAAAACTCTCTGAAAAACTATTTTATTAGGTCGTAATGCAATTATTCCTCCCAAACTAGATCAGTTATAATTATATCGATATTTAGAACGACTACCATTTACACAAGACTTTGGAGATCTTATAAACAGATCAGGGAACAATGTCTTGGCGTGATTTGAAGCGCTGGTTGTTTACAGCATACAAGTACAAGAACGACACAGATGTTTTAAAGTCTATAATATGTATAATGTTTAAATGCTAACCTCCATGCTAAAGGGTTTTCCGTTCATTTGATGTTCAGATCCATAAGAATTTGCAGAACCCCAGTGAAAGTGAAACTGGTCAACCTTATATTCGCCTGCAAGACCTCCACCAGTAATAATCAGAGACAGGCCGCCATTATATTTAACTTCAGCTGAAAACAATAATGTATTACTTTGTTTCCGTCAAATAAAAGTTGTGTTTGAACGAAAGATCGGTCAATTAATCTACATCTTTGCGGCGATGGAGACGCGGTGGCTCAGTGAGTAAGACGCTAGCTGCGCTGGATATTGTCTTTAAAAATGATTAGATTGAAAACTGGATCATCTGTAATTCACTCTCAGACCGATAGCTGTGGGGAAGGGTGAAGTTTTCACATTATTTGCGTCTTTAGCAGTGATGTATTAAGCCATGACCCATGACATGTCCTCTTTGGTTCCCTCGACGATCCACGACATCCATCAACAGGTTACTTTTGCTGCTATAGTCAACCTTTAAGATAATACTGGTGTTTGCCTTAACCGCTTTTGGGATTTTAAACGGGCATTTATGTAAGAGCTAAATCTGCACATTGTGGGTCTTTCTTGTGGCCTTAAATGTTATGTACATTAATAATTAGACATTTATTAACACGACAAAACCATAACCACTGGTCCCGATTTTAAGCAAATTATAACTGTTCGGTCATTTAAAAATGGAGAAGTCAGACTGAGACTCGAATGACCAGTAAGGTGGTTACGATCAATGTACACATCTTGTCAAACTAGAACCATTGATAACTTTCCTTAAAATAAAGTAATTTGAATGAAAATTTCAATATATTCATTTTGCATTATCTTTTTTTAAAAATATTATAGCAAGAAAGGTTAGCTCTTCACCTATTTCTTACATAATGTCCCTTTTACAATGCAAGATAAAATTATAATAAATAATAAGAATGATACCTGTGTGTCCCCCAACATTCTCTAACTCTTGATCTATACCATTAACTGTGTCATAACTCGATAAATTAAAATCTGGTATACTTGTATTAAGACGCACTTCGCTCGTAACAATATCTATAGGCGACTGCTCCTGTTTACCACAAATTTCATAATCAACCTTCCAATGTTCCGGACCTGTATTAAATTATTACCTGTATTTGACTTAAAGTGAAACATTATAAGATTTTAACTACTGGTCAGTGAAAATGGATTATCCTCCATTTTAAGTTTATTCAGAACCAAGATAGAATTAGTAGTAGTAGTGATATTTATTGTGTTACGTTCTATTCAGTTGCCCCCTGATAGTAAGATGCTAGATCGTATATCAACTTTTCCGTTTACAATTTTCGTAAATAGGTAGAAGGATTAGTTTTGTGATAGCGAATTTAAACAGGTACATACCCAATTCTCCCTCATAGGTCCATCGATTACCTGGAAAAATACAGAAATCAAAATAAGAAACAAAAAAGAGAGGATGTCCAGTAATTATGTCATAGTACTGTTTGTGCGTTTCGTGTTTTTCGTGCGATGTCATTGTTAGTCTCATATCCACATATCTTCAATAGACGGCTTGATCTCCCTTCATGTAATACCCTGCACATTTCGGCACTAATTTCGATTGGCTACTGACCCAGCTGGAGAGCCAATCAGATTCCGCGATCATCGTGCTTTCCAGTTGAACTGTCTACCTGTGAAAATCGAGTTGCAATGTTCAAGGTTCGTTCAATGTCAAGGTTCCCGTGGAGGTCGCCATGTTTGATTTGAGTGTATTTGTGTCGTTCACGTGTCTAAATAAAAGGGAGATAATGTAACCATAAGTTCGTGAATTGCAGACCAGTCTAGCAACGTCCACATGTTGTAAAACTCACGGCCGTTGGATCAGGACTATGATATCCCCTATACTGCAAATCTTAACACCGAGTCTTTTAATACTTATGATAATCATTTAAAAACCAAATCATACACAATTGCTATCAAAACCAAACATCATCAATATGTGATCAAAATATCGACTCCTTTTTATGCTATTTAGATTGTGATTTAAAACTTTCGTCTGTGAAATCAAATTCAACTCATCAGATTGATAACGCTAAACTTACCAGGACATAAAATCAAAGTAAAACTGCATAAGTTTACTGAAAAACAGATGTACCAAAGTCTTGGTACCAAAAAAAGCAGGTGTTTGGTAGAATATACATAGCATATTATTATATAATATATTTATCTTTTCTTGTTGGTCACGTTTTGCAATACTTGGACGCTATTGACAAAAGATCGCCCTTGTCGGTTCTTGTAGTAGTAGTCACTAGATATGTAGACATAATTTTGCTGTTCTTGTCCATTCGTTCTCTGATTTGGGCTATATACATTGACTCTGACGCAATATAGCCCGGCTGGGGCTGGCGTGCTATTAAACACAGTTTCATGTCTGTTAGATATAACAATAGGTTTTTAATGTTGTATAGAAATATGGGGGAGGGGGATTTATATCTTGATAATTTATTTAAACAATGTGTATCCAATTCATACTGGCTGCATCGTCTGTTCAGTCAGCGTCTTATTGCTTAGTGTTCCTCTTTAGCTTGTTGGGAATTATTGCGTATTGGTGAAGTGTATCAGATTGAAAAGTAATTCAATAATAATGCATTTTCTAAATAAACTGTATATTTCTAGTTTTAATATTATTAACTGAAATGAAATGAAATGAAATGGGGTTTAACGTCCTACTGTTCTGCTCCTATACTGGGCTAATGAAGACGGGCATACGCCATACAGTGTGCTATGAGGGAAATTTTGCCCGGGCAGCGGCACTATCGCCTACTCTTATATCGAATTCCAACTGCCAAGGGACCTTTTACGTGGATTCTAATGTATACACGGGACCTCGGTTTTTCGTCTCATCCGAAGGACTAGACAGCTGTCCTTGACAGGCCCTCCGTTCTGCACCACTGACAAGGGGAAACCACGTCGGAAAATCTGGATGAACTTTCTCGGCCAATGCAGGGATCGAACACCCGACCTCCAGGCTAGCGAGCCAGCGTCTTAACCACCTAGCCACCAATATTATTAACTCTTTACAGTAACTTGAGTAAGTGGTAAATACTTATTATATAGACTAGTCTGTTATTATAAAGACGCATGTTGTTACCGGCTCTTAAAATCGATATTTAATTATATAATTTATATAATTATATTCTATACCATTCCTTGCAATCAATAAAGTACTAATAAAAAAAACTTGGCCGAGAAAAACGGTATTGGGGTAGCGTCTGTGAGGTTAAAGGATTAAAATCTTTAACTTACTATTTCGAAATTAAAACCACGAATTATAATTCAATATTGGCCCGTTTCATTCAATGTTGGTGTTGTTGTCTTGCTGTGAAAATATTTAAGACACAATGGACATTTTATAATCAGTACACGAGTCGTGCATTCTATCGTTTCGGGTGCCATTTGTGATTAATAAAGAAAACGTATCAGTGCGGAATTAATTAGTAAAATCGTGTCCCTTGTGTACATATTATTGGCATGAATATAAAAAAAACATTGGCAGTTTAGGCAGTCGAATATTTTAAAACAAACCATTGTCAAATAACTATTGAGCGCATTCCTGCGGCTTGGTACTTGAGTTTAAAGTAGCTAAGTCTCTAACTCAATATCATCCGACGTCTTACACGTAGAAAACACGAATTATTTGTCAATTCAATTCAACATTGATGTTGTTATCTTACCTGGAAAAGGCAGGCTTCTGATATCCAATATTTAAGACAAAATAAACATTTCAGCGTCATTTGTAACAAGTGACCAGAAAGAACGAGGCTAGACATATTCCACAACTCATGTCAAACAGCGACGCCATAACTTGTCTGGAGAGCATCCGCAATAGACTGGAATAACCAGACGCTAGAAATTTCTATTCGGTTGAGACTCATGCCGTATTTCGCTTGACATAACTGATTTGAAATTAGAGTCAAAACGGAAGTAGTTGAATGTAAATCAGTTCATATACAATCAGATTACATTATTATATGCGTTGCGACCCATTTGGGTCAATTTCTAGGTCCCAAATATTAGCGATTTAGCTCCTTTAAAACTAAGTTCGCAAAGGCTAAACAATGTTCTCTGTTCGCCCTGGTATATTCATTGTTCCAGATAATGTTAGTGGGTTTATTATTGTATCTAGCCAAAGACACATTTTAAATATGGAAGATTTTCCTGTCCGAAAAACATAATGGAGAAAATCATCTACTCTACATGTGGTTAATCCTGCAGCCCGCCCGTTATCCGAGCCTAAGTTCAAATATTTATCGTTGAATGCCGATTGGGCTTTTTCTCGTCTACTTAAATTCTTTATGTATAAGTTATTCTCCGAGCTGTCAGAATAAGATTGACGCGAGTCTCTTTCATAAATCCAGTGAATTAATATACCATATAGACTCTATTATTATTTATCTGACGTACAGATGATTTATATATTACCCTTTACAATAAACGTGGTGACCATGACACATTGACAGAGTTATCTGAATAGTTTGTAATAGTAAATCAATCTTTTACATAATAGTTTCAAAATAATTTAATATTTGTATTGACAGAAGCAATGTCCATATTCAATCACTTCATTTTTCTGCATATAAAAATATATTCAGGATTTATTAAACATACATTATGCAAGAGCTAAATCTGCCTATTGCATGTCTTTCTTTAGGCATGAAATGTTTTCTAAATTATTAATTAAACATTAATTAACTTATCCAGATCATAATTAACTCTAGCTGTCATCGTAGCCTGCGATGTTTATTGGATTAGGTTCCGATTTGCTGTTCGACTTCCATTCATGATTTAGTAATGATGATCGCGACTAGGCAGAAAATTCAATCTCGGTTCAGAGTGGATCAATTTGATTGAAATTTTCAGCAAATTCCCTTTACATTATCTAGTCTTTAACTATTATAGTGAGAACTGTCAGCTCTTTATCTAATCTCCCATAATGTATCTTTAAATAGTTTTAACAGGGGGCAACAATAAATGGAAATGGTTTCACCTTTAATTAAGAAACTTAACACGCCGGTCATAACTTTATGAGAGCCATTGTCAATGATTTACATGTATCTGGAAATGTAAATAAAGGGATGAGCAGCATTGTTATTTTAGTATTCGAATTAATGGCGTTCATATTGTGGGTTTAACTGCAGTCAAGCGATCGCCAGGGCAGATGTAAACACGCCCCTCTAAGTAAAGGGAGATAATTAAAATTGTAGAGGACGGGAATATCATAACACGTGATGTTTGTTTATATATACAATAACGACACATAATCTGTTATTAGGTCGAAATACTATATACTCAAATACAACAATAAATATAGAATATCGCGAGGGCAGAATTTTTATCTTCGCTAATGGCATGTAATGCTGCAAGTTTGAAAATAAAAGTCAAGTTATGTCCTGGACCTGCGACATTCCTCGGGGCTTCGAGCGACACCATTTGCCAATAGTAAATATGTTTGATATTTATTGTCTGAATATTTATCGCCACCGACTAGCTCGGTGGGTGTGTCCACACGTGAGTCTTAAAATTACTCAGTGAATTAAAACCGTTGGAATCTTCATATGTCAAACAAAATGGCGACTTCTAACTAAATTATGTGTCGAAAAGCGCGCATGACCGCATCCATGAAATAAGTTTCAGACGACTTATTCGCCGCGAAATCGCCATAGGAATTCGCGTTGTATGTCCACTGCGTTGCCCGAGTAATTTCGACGGCGAATACTTCGGACGAACCAAGAGGAAGAAAATTCGCATAGTCTGTGCCAGGTATAACGTAACTCATAAAAATTGGTATTTTTTGCGCTAACAACAGTAGCGGCGTACTGTCTTGTGGGTAGAGATTATTGATTATTAAAGTAAAGGTTTGTAGTTTGTCAGAGTTCAGGAATACTGCAAGTAAAAGCTCTTTTTAGGCATAGAATTTGATAGTCGTCTGTGTGATATCATGATTCACCAATTTTAATGCTCCCCTTGAAGTCACAGAACGCTATTTATATTTTTCGGAAAACTTATTTAAATTTTGATATTTGGCTGTTTTTGATTTCGGTTGTTTTGATTTTACACAGTTTTTATTGTCTGCAGAATATGCCGAGTTTAGCGATTTTTTTCATTATAACAAAAATAAAAAACTGTGCAAGGTCAAAACGAACGAAAACAAAAAACATTTTTACGGTTAATCATCAACGGTCGTTGAACAGCAGATATGATTAAAATCTGCTGAAAATCGAAGTTGATTATTGTCTTGTCATGTTAGTAAATGTTTAATTAATAGTTTATATAACAATCGAGGCCTAAAGAAAGACCTGCAATATGCAGATTTAGCTCTTGCATAAATTATGTTTAAAGGAGCCAAGTCTCTAACTCAATATTTTCCATAATAT